ACTGTGGAACTAGCACTGTTTTACTCATATTAAATAGTATTTCAATTTCATTCTTAAGTTTATGAATTTTGAATTTTTTTTAATATCGAAATTTTGATTTATAACTTAAATTTTGTAGTATTTAAATAGAAAAATTTGAAGGTCAAAAAATTTTTTTTTCTTTTCAGAAACTTTTAGTCATGTTATTTTAACTCATATCATATTTGAATCAATTTATAATTTTTTTTTTTTGTGTCAATTTACGGTCTTGAACACGCATGGATCATGGTGACTAACGAATTTTTTTCAAATTTACATAGTATTTACTTTTAGGAAATTAAAACTTCTGGTGGAAATTTGATGATGGAGAAATAATTTTAACACTACTTATAGAATTTACAAAATTTACAATTTGCGTATTATGGAAAATCCACAAACTACGTAATTTTCAACACTTAATGTTTATTTTTTGTATTTATTCTGCGTTCTGTACTAGATTAAGTTATTGGGACTCATAACAAAATCTTAGGAGCAATGGCTAAGTTCGGAAAAGCTCCATTACTTTTCTTTATAAAGTTAATTACATCAATGGATATTGTTGATTCTTCGACTATGTTATGACAAATTAAGAATTTTTCAAATAAATCATATGCACAAATATCTTTTTCATCTTCAGATTGTAAATGTAATACCAAATCCATAGAATTAGGTCCGAGTTGCTCTTTATTTTTATATATAAATCATTTAATTCCAGTACAATACAAAATAGTCTTTTAATTCAATTACTGAACACTGAATTAACTTATAAAATAAACCAAAGCAAATACAGTTAAAGTTACTTTATGTAATATCCACTTTAAGATACTAGTCATGTTAGCGAAAAATATAATATAGTTAAGTTCAAAATTTAAACATCTAACTTTTTATAGCGTTTATATCCAGCCTTGATTATAGTTGATATCGTTAGTATAATAAATTATATAACAATATATTACGAAGCAGTTCTATAGGTGTGTCTATAGATAATTATTATATTACTTTCACAAATAGAATTATTTATAAGATTATTTATTAACACGCAATTGAAAGATAGAAAGTATCACTTGATGTAAATATTTTATATTTAACACAAAATTCGTAACCTAAAATATTTAAGGAATTGTGTTTACCCTTATATAAAATATAAACTATGCTGTTAAATACTTTGAGTATTTCTGAAGTCTGCTTATTTAGCAAAAAGAATTATGATGTTTTATGGAAGTTATTTATATTTCAAAATTAAAATATGTAGTGCATATTCACACATACAAAAAACTTTTTTTATCTGATTATTAAAATTAAAAATTTTCTAATTAAGATAAATATACAAATAATCATAAGAAAATTATAGCACTGGTCAAGAAAATATAAAATAGTTTTTGGAAAAATTACTAATTGATATAGTGTGATATAATTATATTTGTACATAATTATATAATTGCACTTATAAAAAAATTAAAAAAAATTTACAAAAACTTTTTTTAAATCATTAGTGGGATGTTATATTTTAGAGGGGTAGTAGAATTTAAAGATTGAGGGTTCAAAGAGTAAGGAAACAGGTTAATTTTCAAGATTGAATGAGAACAAGAGATACCATTTTCCTTACTTATTGAGCACCTTTGGGCTTTTAAAATCTATTTTGAGAAAGATTTTGTAATAATTAAAGTTAAACATTGCACGACAACTTTTTAATGGTTTCACGTATACTTAAGAATTTTCATAGCGAGTAAAAATTTTAATTTTTATATTTTTTACATAATAAAACATTTTTATATTTACTTTTAACCAAAAAAAATATGTAAAGATCAAAGTTTAATCATTATATTATTGTAAAAATTGACTTAAAAAATTGAAATAAATTCATTTAAAATCATATGCCTAATTTGTTATGATTTTTAATACAAAAAAAAAATAGATTTTATTAGATTTCCTGTGAATAATTAAATATATAAATCAAATAATTAGATTAATTATTTTATAAATTATAGAGAATATGTTTGAAATTTATTTTCTAGCGAGTAATTATTATAACATTTTTTTTTATTATTATTCAAATAAATGCGCAAGACACTTTGATCATATAATAACTATGCTCCAGACCCATCGGCCAACGGCCCTCACGCATCTATGGTGCGTTAGTCTCTTCAAGCTGCCCTTACAAGTAGGCCACTGATTGCAGTAGGAGTACCCAACCCAACCTGTAACAAAAACTTTATTATAGGGTATAAAAAATGTAAGAAAATTTCCTACCACGAAGAAAAAGATTGTTAATATATTATATTATAATATATAGTAATAAAAAAATTATTCTCAAAGAAAAAAAAGAGAAGGAAGTAAAAAAGGTATTAATGATAATAATAATGGATGAACTTTTCTGTATTAGAATAATTATTTTTTTATAGATCCTTTTCAATAATTTTTATTTGATACTTGAAATAATAAATAAATTACTTAATAATATCATTCTAAAATATTTAGGTGCACTCCTAAAGTATCTTTAATACCGTGTTACTAGTACACTTGCATAAAATTTAAACAAAATTGACATGCGTGAACCAAAATATTATTTTATTAAAAACTATGCATGTGAACTTAAAAAAAAAAATCTGATAACTTGGCCAAATATGAACAGATTTCAACAAAATTTTTAGGAAGTTTTGAAATGTCTATAGACAGCTCTGGTGAAAATTTCAGGATTTAAATCGAAAAACGTTGGCGGCAATGAGCGTTTTGATGAAAATTTTAAATTCTCATGGCGTGCTAAACTTTGCGAATAATTTTCCTAAAATAACGTCCAGTTTTTGCATTAAAAAAAAAAAATTTGAAAATCATAGGTCGTTAAGTAATTTTTCCAGCATTATCTAATTTTTCAATGTTTTATGACATAATAAGTAAGCATGACACTTAGAATGGGTAAAACCAAAGAACCAATATTTTATATAAAAATACATTTATTTAGTTACTATATGTTTATTCTTTAATTTAATGTATTAATTAATACATTTTATTCTTCAATTAAGTTACAATTCAAATTTTTTAAGAATTTACTGTAAGTAAATTGATAAAATTATCAACCGATTATCAAAAAATGTTTGTTTTAATCGTTATCTTTTTATGTTTGAACTTTTGATTTACATATTATTACACCACATTTGTACTATGATGAAGTGAAGCTGTTATACTAAATAACTTAGATATAAATCGAGTAAATCAACTCAAATATTTTTGAATAATAAATATATAAATATTTTTAAGTTAAAAGTAAAACGAAGAATATTCTTTAAATATAAGTATGTATAGTACAATTTTTTAGAACTTAAAACATTTGACATTTTATTTTTTCATATATAATCAATATTGATTTAATTTTTTAGTCATTATATGATTGTTAAAAATTTCATAAATACAGAGTAATTTTTTGGTTATAACTCACGCTTTATCTTGAGATATATGTATATATTTGTTTATTTATTACAACATATATGCCTAAGTAGACAAAGAGTAAAAATAATACAACATTAAAACATAAATGCAATAATATTTAGCATAAAAAGCACGTGTGTTATGGAAATAAACATAATTTGAATCATTCAGTTCATTTTACACATACATTAAACAAACAATGGAGCATTGATACTGTAATGAATAATATGTTGTAATTCTAATTAGAATTTTATATATTATATATAGAATACATTAGATATTTTACTTTTTAAAATTAAATAGTATCCATATATTCTATGATTAAAAAAAATTTTAGTCAAATTCCTCTTACCCTCTCAAAATTTTATTAACTTAAGTTTTAAAATAATAACATATATTTAAGCAGTTTAAACGATTTGGATCCGCACTACTCCTCTAGCCGAGGTAGAAAAATGTTAATGTTAATGTCTTTTAAAGTTTTGGTACAAAAGATGTGTTCGCCCGGTCATTTTTTTAATCATATCATTATATTATTTGTAAGCTGATGAAACATATATGTTTTCATTTAAAAAATAAAAGTTGACGTAAATTTAAGGTATGGAAGGGGTAGGCTCCTACGCGCTTTGCGTAAGTATTAACTTCTAAGTAGTAAAAAATTTCATGTTTTATACTTAAGAAGATATTGTGTAGATCATAGATAAATAATTATCCGGTACACTGTACAGTGTACAGTTAGAAAACTTTAAAAAAGTTAACAAGACATTGCACTTTTATTAATGCTCTGATAAACGGAAATAAATTGGTTTAAGTTTTTAGTTTAGTGGACATCTATTGTATAATAATGAAAAATTCGATAAAGGACCCTTGAATAATTTAATGATCAGACTTCTCGAGACTTAATGGGCCAAGGACGATGGGTCATCGTGAAATACCACTAAAACTTATTGAGTTAACTATTACCAAGGAATACAGATACTAAAGATTGTGTCGAATAACAGTAGTTAAAAAATAATTATAGGAAAATATATAATAGAGGTCTACATTTATTTTGACATTAACATGTACGAAATAATTATAATAAAAAAAGGCCGGCGCTCAGCGTATGCAAAATCATAGCAGTAGCGCTTACAATACAACGAAGAAAATGAACATCATTATAATGGCAATAATGACAATGACAAAGAAGTACGTGATTCAACTTTTATTTAATAGTTGATTTTCCAAAGCCTTTAATTTATTTTTAAATTTATAAACATGTTAGTCTATTGTCCATTTATGTATAATTTATTGTTAAAATGTCCAACTGCTTTTCATAAGTCAAAATCTTTGTTATGATTAATTTTCAACGACATTTTCACTCAGTCCTTCGTGACCAATTGATTTTCCCAAACTTCTAGTATAAGTAGGAGGGTAAGTAACTGCCATAATATATTTAATATGTATAAGTTGATGGCAGTTTTTTTTGTTTCTAGAAGTAAGTATATATGTATACAGAAATATATAATTCATTAATATGTGGTTACGACCAATGAGGGCCAGTGGGGTGGTAAACTACGGTGCTTGTAAACCATAGGAAGGGCATTTTGTCATATACACTACCCTTTGCGTGCAGCACAGTGGACGCCAGACCTACCAAAACGTGACAGTCCCTCGACAGTAGGCCCCCGGCAAGTTTATACGTTTTATTGCCACACACCTCAATGATACTCTGGGATGATCTCAAGGGGCAAAGGTAATTATTTTATTTCTTACTTTTTTTTTACCAGCACAACTATTGTTTGGACTCGTCCGTCTGATTTAACACGACGTTATTAGAAAAATAATAATAATTATAATGACAACAAATAAGTAATTATAATATAGTAATAAAATGAGGAAAGAAACTAGTACATAAAATATATATATAATTATTAAAGTATTGAAATTATTTAATAATCACTATACATTTTTACAAGTCAATTGTGAAAATAGAATTGTAAAATGTTATTTTAAAAATTATTGTTATTTGAAAAACATTTTTTATTAATTATTCAAACTTGACCTGAGTATTAATAATTGAGAATATTAGCTTTTATTGTGTAATACATACACACCAAAAATGTTCTGATTTGTAAATAATATATATTCCTATCTACTAGTAAAATATTCGTCATCACAGGACTGAAAATCGATTTTTCATAAAACACGTGTTGTAAATAACACACTGACTGTGTTTGTATTAAACCTATAGATACTATCGCAAATGTGTGTGAATTCATATTTAAAACATATCATTGGTTTACAAATGGATTTTATAGTATGCATAATATATATATATATATATATATACGTAGAGTAGATATGTATTCCAACAAACAATTACCCTAGAGTAGATCCCATAGTAATTATTGTCACCATAACACTGTAATAATAAATAAAAATCAAGGACATTCCTGTTAACGTATCATTTTCTTATTTTTCTTCTTGTCAAAAGCTTTATATCTTGTTCATATTTAGACTGAGTACTTATTACTTCTAATATAATTATTATTAATCTTTATAGGTGATATATTTGAGATTTGATTAATTAAAACACTGGTAAAAAATTAAGGTATATCATATTTTGCCGTTTAAATTAAAACTTATATGTTACATTTAGGTAACCTCTAAATTATGTAAGGTACATTTATTATTTCAATACGTTAAGTTTAAATATAGAACCGTAATTGTTTTTTTTAAGTGGAAGCCTTTGGCTGAATAAATAAAAATATTAACATATCACATATATGTTATAAAAATATAACAGAATATAATATTGTGAAATAAATATTGATAAATTAATAATTATGCTAACCAAATTAAGAAATAATTATTTAAATATGGTGATTATTATGATATGGACACAAAAAATAAATTTTACGAGGAAAATATTTTATATTGTAAATTCCATTAAGAAAATTTTTTTTATTAGTTATTTAAAACTTATTTTTTTCTTAATGTTATGTTGTTAATAATAGCGTATTAAATAAATAGTGAAATATGAGTTACGACTTGGGCTAAAATCCAAATATAATTAACTAAACAAATTCAATACGATGAGTTTACAAATAAAAAGTTTACATATTTTTAACAAATCTTAAATAATTATGAATTGTTGTCATACATTCAATAAAAAATTAATTTTCCATTAATTAACATTTCAATAATGTGTATACTTTTTAATTCTTAATCGAACATTTGTTGATATGGATTTAAGAAATTCATAAACAAAAAACATAAGTTTCGAGCGATTGACCTAACTTTGAAAATATATTTATGAATAATCAAAAAAGTTAAAATAAAATAATACGAACTCTAAATAAGGATTTCTATTTTAATAATTCAACTGAACACATTCATTGATATTAAAATGTTCAGTATTGACCTATGCTGAAATAGGTCATGGACAATGTTGTTAAGGATGCTTAAAAATATAAACTGTCCGTTTGTCTTTTTAAAAGTTGATTATTTAAATTTAAAGATAAATTTCATAAATACTTTACCTAAAAATAAATAGTTTTTCACCCAACAATTTTCCTATATCAAGATATTAATTTTTTAACAAGACTAATAATAGATATATTAATTATGTAATTGAAGCATTAAGTTGAGAATAATGAAAATAATAATTTATGCCTAATAACAATCAAATATTTTTTTTTTTGTATATAATAATTAAATTTTTATTTTTCTTATAGAAAAGGATCGTTTAATAAAAGCGAACGATTCATCATACAACACTCAATTCAATTATGCTGTAAGAGTTATATTTAGCATTTTATAAATTTTTTATTTGTACTATAAGATTTGTTTTATAGACGAACTACATAAAAACGTCCAAATATTCTCTGCTAACATTCTTGCCGTTGAATTTGTTCGAACAATTTCAGCGATTAGCCAATTTTTATTTTCTCTGTCTAATGATGCTGCAAATGATATCTATTATTTCTTCATTGACGCCAATCACTACGTCCATTCCTTTGGTCGGTGTCCTTACCATCACTGCCATAAAAGACGCTTACGACGATTACGTTAGTGTTAAAGTATTAAACATTCAATAAAACATTAGTCAGGGCCGGTGGAGGGCAATTTTACCAATGTACTTATATTAGTCTTAAAAATGAAGATTAAAAGAAATAAAATGGTCTTTTTACAGTAAAAATTATTATGGGCTCCGTAATATGTAGCGCCGGCACTGAATATACTATAGTGATTTTTTAGGACCTGTAATAAGAATTAAATAATATTTCTATAGCAAAGGCACGTCAACGACAATCAGGTAAACAACCGTATATCAAAAACGGTAAAAAACGGTCACGTTGTAAACGTGAAATGGAAAGACGTGCACGTTGGAGACGTTATCTTGATGGAAGATGGTCAGTTCGTTGCCGCCGACGTTCTGCTGTTGTCTACAAGCGAACCAAGTGGTCTGTGTTTCATAGAAACAGCTGAATTAGATGGGTTAGAACTTATCTTAAATTTGCTTTTAAATTATTTACTAAAACTTGTTACTTCTAACAACAGAGAAACCAATCTCAAATGCCGGCAGTGTCTAGCCGAAGTGGCGCAACTGGGCCACGATGTGGTCAATTTTAACGGCCTTATACGGTGCGAAAAACCGAACAATTTGCTCAATAAGTTTCATGGTGTATTGCAATGGAACGACAAAGAGTAGGTCACAATATAATAAAACTACGGTTTAAAAACTTTCACGAACGATAACAATAAATCTTTTGAATTATCATGACTAAAGTTTTAAGATTAAAATTAAATTTTAGATTGATCTTAAACAATGATCACATTATATTAAGAGGCTGTGTTCTCAGAAACACCGAATGGTGTTATGGTATGGTAATATTTGCAGGCCGAGACACAAAATTAATGCAAAATTCAGGAAAATCTCAATTTAAGCGTACCTCCATTGATAGACTGCTCAACTATCTCATTATTGGAGTAAGAATTTTTGTCTACAGTTTTATTAATTTAAAAATAATTATTTTACGATGATATCAAAATAAATAAATCGACTTTAAAATCGTTTTTTTTTTTTGTTAGATTGTTCTGTTCTTATTTGTATTATGTATGTCTTGTATGATTGGTTCAGCTTTATGGGAATATAAAACGGGATGGTTCTTTCAGACATATTTACCATGGGACGCATTGGTACCTACTGATAGATTATTTGGGTCCATAACCGTAGGTACTTTAGTGTTTTTCTCTTATGCTATCGTACTCAATACATTAGTGCCAATTTCACTATACGTGAGGTTTGTTGAAGTTTATCATTTTTATTACTTTTTATTAATAACTACATTGATATGATATAATTATTTTTATTACAGTGTCGAAGTAGTACGATTTGTGCAAAGTTTTTACATAAATTGGGATAAGAAAATGGTTGATAAAGAGACGGGTATATCAGCCAAAGCCAGGACGACTTCTTTAAATGAAGAACTTGGACAGATACAGTATATATTATCAGATAAAACTGGTACCTTGACTAAGGTAGAACTAAGTGGTTAATTAAAATTGGGTATTTCATAATTGTATGATTCCTTTTTTTTTTTTTAGAATATAATGACATTCAACAAGTGTTCGATAAATGGGATCGTCTATGGCAATCAAGACGAGTATCAATACGGAAAATCCGAGGAGATGGTCAAGGTATTATTAATTTATTATTTTATATTTTTATTATTTATATGCAGTACTGTCTTTGTATTGTCCGAGCTTTTTGTGTTTTCCATTATTTGTGACTGTCCTTATTAGACCTGCACTGACAAGCAAATTCCATCAGCCGCCTTCAAGAGTCATAAAGAAAGTATAGATCAAGTGGACCATAGAAGAGTAACTATAAACTCTCCGTTGCACCGGGTACTAATTATTATATGATGTCTCGCTACTTTGATTGCGGTAAGTAGTATATAAATAACGGGTACTGGCTCTTAAAGGTGCCGACAATGACGTCATTAATTGTTCTGGAGAAAAGAATGGGTGCACAGTAGGATTTTAGGACTTTTACATATTTTTTATTGTATGTAGTATTTTTATGAGTTTTTTTATTGATAAAACAACAGTTAAGTTATTATTTTTTATTATGTTGTTATTGAATGCGATATGAGGACAGCTTATGTGAGCGTAGAGGATATGGGAGATCGTGTCAAGTGAAATTTTAGGATAAGGGTGGCCGACCCCAAGTATTTGGGATTAATGGGAGGAAGAAGAAGAAGAAGTTATTATTTTTTTTATTTCTTGTAAAATTTTCATTACTTGAGTTTTACTTTCATAATTCTAAGTTAAGCAAAAAAAGAAATTTATGATATATGGATCAATTATTTCTATTAAATTTGCCTATAAAACTCAACTTAAGAAGTTACGGGTTAACTTTAATGGATCAGTTCCAAATTTTGCATAGCTAATTTTTATGAGAAATAAAGAAAAATTAAAGAATAGTAAAAAAAAAAGACATTCGATTTTTAAGGACCACCGTAGTGACAAGTGAGATGCATTCCCCCCTAAAGACGTCACATCTGACATGCTGCTATCGCCCTGGTCCCACCAATGGTTGAGGTCCGCATCCAAGTACATACAGATGCTGTTTATGATGTTATCTCCCTAATGACATCACACTTGAAGCCTAATCTACAGTAATGGCTTATGATGAGTTCAGGTATGACGTCAGTTGGGCGGACTGCATGTCACCTGTGCACTCATTATTTTCCGGAGAACAATTGATGACGTCATTGTCGGCACCTTTGAGAGCCTGTACCCGCTATTTATGTACTACTGCGGTAACATGGGTAAATATAATGCGTATGGTTAATGTTGAATGAATATGTTCTTATTCCTTCAGGTCGGTCCTCCACCAGTGGATTTATCGTGGAATCACTTTTATGAACACGATTTTTTATGGTTCGATCAAAATCTTGTAGATGTTATCAGAAGTAATTCTATGGCTGACAAAAATACAGAAAATGCAGTTTTAACATTTTTTGAACTTCTTGCTTTATGTCATACAGTTATGCCAAACTGGAAGAACGGTAATATTAAATGTTTATTTATAACAATTTTCTTTTGTGAATTATTGTTAATAATATTTTGCTAAAAGTTGTTCGTATACTTACTATTAGAATATATGGTACAAGTGTTAAATCAATATTTCCGAAACAGGTGTTCTAAAATATCAAGCTCAATCGCCTGATGAATCAGCTTTGGTAACAGCGGCTAGAAATTTTGGCGTTGTGTTTATGGAGAGAACACCAAATACTGTGACAATCGAAGTAATGGGCGAGATTAGAGTTCATGAACTTCTTTGTATTCTCGATTTTAACAACTTCAGACGTCGCATGTCAGTGGTATTTAAGGAAAATGGTAAAATACGACTTTACTGTAAAGGTGCCGATAGCGAGTTATTTGAGAGATTAGAAACAGGGAATGATAATTATAAATCGTTGACTTATCATCATTTAAATGTAAGTTAAATGAAATAATCATACTTTTATGTGTAATTGATAAAATATAGATATGTAAAATAAAATAACAAATAATATTGAGTTTTTTAGGAATTTGCTGGAGATGGTCTACGGACGCTTTGTTGTGCTGTAAGAGATATAGATGAAGAATTTTTTGAGGCTTGGAAACGAAGGTACATGGAAGCCGCTTCATCAAAATCGGACCGTGAAGAGAAGCTTAATAAAGTTTATAACGAAATTGAAACTAATCTTAAACTAATCGGTATTAATAAATTAAGTTTTTTATATTTTTTCATAGATTAAAAAACTGTTAATATAATAATTAATTAATTATTATGCTATTGTTAGTGTGGTTCATTATTAATGTTCCATATTTATAATGATTCATCATTAGTTGATTCATTTCTAGCATTAAGATTTTTAATTATTTAACAATATTCTAAGAAATTTTGCTCTTTTTTTATACTCGTTCCTATGTGGCTATTTTTAATTAGATCTCTTCATTTCACAAGATAATTCTGAAGCAATGATAATAGTAGGCAATGTGCTACGACTCCTGGAATCTACTAGTTGACTTCTCTTACGTGTTTGTGCAAGTTTATGATTCATCATAAAGTGTTCCACTATTAACGTATAGATTATCAATAGATGCCTCTTTCTAATTTTAAAATTTTAAATTCAACGATTTCTATGAAATTTCGTTGTTTTCACTCTTTTTCTTACAAATTTTTCTTAATTTGTCTTTAATTTTTACAATATTATACCTTCTTATGGTATATCCAACTTCAGCATCATCAAACAGAGAAAGGTCCACCACAGCAGTACTTAGTACTGTGGTAAATGTACACTGTGGTTACTGAACACCCTGTATAGTGCATCCAGAGCCATAGAGATTTTCAAATGTCATATTCACTTTTTAGTATACTACCCTGTTGACAAGAATCTATCACTTTGTATGGGATTCATTTGCTGTTTGCAAGCAGGTATGTCTACTAGTCCTAAAAATCGAAAGTGGCTAGCTGTATAAATCGTGTTTCCACTTGCACTAAATGACTAAGGTTCGTTGGATTGTCATTCCAATTATCATTAATGATCTCTTGCAGTAAAGAATTATACTTATAAATATATCTATGTTACTCCAGGTAGAGAAGGTTTTTGTTAATTTTATTAACTATTCAAGATAATATTCTTAAAGCTAAAAAATAAGTCAATGCCTTATAATAATATGTCAATACAAATTGTATTTAGTTTTTTTTTCTTAAAATCAAAAGTATAATGAATGGTTTCGTACAACTTATATATCTCAAAATAGGTGTTACTGCCATTGAAGATAAATTACAAGATGCCGTTCCTAAAACTATAACAAATTTACTGTTAGCAGGAATACATGTATGGATTCTTACGGGAGATAAACAAGGTAAATTCATAAAAAAACATATCCAAGAAATCTTAATAAAATTTAAAAGTCTCCAATTAATGTGTGAACATTAAACATACAATTTTCAGAAACTGCAATTAATATTGGTTACTCTTGTAGTCTTTTAAATGATAACATGGAACTTTTAATTGTTGATGGAAGCACTCAGGATCAAGTGGAAAATCAACTCAATCAATGTAGTAATGCAATTTCAAATAAAGAAGAATATCAACGTTCGGGTAGAAATAGTATGGCTACAAGTATTGTGAGATTTAGGTAATTAATAACTGAATAATTATTGGTTTTATTTTATTAATGGAGAATACTAAATTAAAATTGGCAATGAACTTTTTGTGCATATAGTGAACCAGATGATGGCCAGCAAGTTAACGAAGAAGAACATTTAGAGTATGCCTTAATTGTTAATGGTCATTCTTTAGTACATGCCTTGCACACTGAACTCGAAAAGATATTTGTCGATTTATGCACAAACTGTAAGATCGAAAATTGGTTAGCATATAATTAACTAATATTTTTAATTGATAAATAGGTAAAGCTGTAATATGTTGTCGAGTTACACCACTGCAAAAAGCAATGGTTGTACAATTGATCAAAAAATACAAAAATGCCATAACTTTAGCCATTGGCGATGGTGCCAATGATGTATCAATGATTAAAGAAGCTAATATAGGTGTAGGAATAACTGGTCAAGAAGGCAATCAAGCTACGCTGGCCTCAGACTACTCCTTATCACAATTTCGATTTTTAGAAAGATTACTTCTTGTACATGGTAGATGGTCTTACTACAGAATGTGTAAATTCTTTCGATATTTTTTTTACAAGAACATTGCTTTTACATTGTGTCACATATGGTTCGGATTTTACTGTGGATTTAGTGCCCAGGTAGGTTTTAAATTATTGTTATGCCAAGAAACTACTATTTATACCCATATAAATATTTTCAGACTATTTTTGATCCATTTTATATATCTGTTTACAATATGTTCTATACGGCTCTGCCCGTTTTGGCTATCGGAGTATTAGATCAAGATGTAAGTGAACGCAAAAGTGTTGCATATCCTAAACTTTATACTCCAGGGTTAAAAAATATGTATTTCAATACTAAAGAATTTTTCAAATGTGCTGCTCTGGGCACATATGCCTCTCTAGTGATATTTTTTGTACCATACGGTATGATAAATGTGATTATAAAAATAGTATTTCTAAATAGCATTGAACTTAATTTATTTAAATATCAGGTACATACTTTTATGGCATGACGTCCGATGGTTTGAATGTTTTAGATCATATGTATATGGCAGAAGTAGTGGCTATGATACTTGTAACAGCTATGACAGTTCAAGTAAAGCATATTTAATATACATGCATGTTCTAACTATTTAATACCTTATCTAATAGCTCATGAATATAAATTTGTTAGGTAGCTTTTGATACATCATATTGGACCATTATAAATCATATAGTGATATGGGGTTCACTAGTGATGTTTTTTATAGCAGAATATGCTTATAATTATATCTTTGGTGGATATTATGTTGGCTCGTTGACTATGGTTAGTAGCAGACCTACTACGTATATAAAATCAATCAATTTAATGAAATGTCATTAATTTAAAAACATTTAGATCATTATTTTTATTTATTATGTGTTTGTTATTTATTCGACGATATATTTTTATAATAGGCTATGAAGCAACCCACCTTTTGGCTGGTTACATTTTTAGTAGTAGTAGTGATTGTTGTACCCGTAATAGCTTGGAGGCTGTATCTATTAGAAACCAGACCCTCGCTCGTAGACAAATTACGTTTGAAGCAAATATCTCGATCGTAATTATTTTTAAAAAAAAGTTTCCAAAAAATGTTTATAAATGTTTATTTATTTTAGTAAGCAAGTTTCTGAAGATATGCTTCAGTCAGTATCAGTAAAGCATAAAAGGCGTTCAATCAGATCGGGTTATGCTTTTGCTCACCAGGAAGGGTTTGGTCGACTTATAACAAGTGGTAAAATAATAAGAACGCCAAGAAACAGTGAAGGCAACATCAACAGGAAAAACTCTGACATTTCCGACATAACCGTTTAATAAATTTTATTAAACGATTAACATTTAATGTTAAATTTGTCTATTGACTTTACCCTTAACAGATGATGTTTAATCGTGTTTTTAATGTTTACTATTTTTTTAATAATTTTATTAAAAAATATAATGATGTTATAATAATATTGTTGATGCTATTGCAGTGACTCATTACGAATTATTAAAAATAATATTGTGATAGATAAACTAATTTTCATGTTAGTAGTAATTGAATTACTAACAATAACAATTACTGATTCTCACTGATTTTTTTATCCGTGGTTAACTAATATTCATAAATTTATATTATATTTAATAGATTACCTATTTTGTCTTATAAATCTGAAAAGTATCATAGCGTTTATTTTTAAATATTTAGTACATATTTCATAACCAAAAGTATACTATAAATCAATATTAAAAGTTTACTCTTCAAGAGTGCGCCACAGTTCTTTTTTCATACAAATTTTTAGTTAGTTAAAAACATCCAAAAGGTTGGAAGTTTGAGATAGCTTAAATTTTGAAAACCCTATGTGAAACATATTTTGAAATTAAAAACTAAAAGTAACTTAAATATACGAAAAAAATTTTTTTAAGACTGCTCATGAAATTTGTATTTCATTTATTATTAATTTTTAATTACTATTTATTTTATATATAAATACAAAAATACATGATAATTCAACAGTATAGTTAAATACTTAGCTTAGTAGAATTTGAAAATACAATTTAAAATTAAAAAAAATTTATTTTGAACTTAGGAAAATTAATACTTTTTTTAAAGATTGAAAAGTTTGAACTAATTTCTACAATTAGATATATAGTTTAGTCTTTGAACACATTAAAAGTTATTATTATAAGTAACATGACCTAATTTAAGAAATCAAATAAATCCTAATCAGTGATTAGGAAATAAATTTTTTCTGCTTTAAGATTTCAAGTATATCGGTTTTTCATTTGATTACTCTTAAAATAATGGCAATATTTAGTTAGGTACATTTAATGAATTATCAGCTAATTATTACTTTTTAGAATCATATTTCATGACTTAAAAAGGTATCAATTTTATTTTTTTAATGGAAACATACATATTTCACTAATGTGTACGTTAGTGAAAAACCAACCTACTCTTTTTCATTAATTTATTGAAAAAAAAATGAGTTTTGACTATTAATGCAATTTTCCTTCATTTTAAAAAAGCCATTAATTTTATTACATTTTTTAAATTGAACTCATTTTTTTGTATTGACAGAAGTATATACTGCAGTATATGTTTATTTGTAATGAATATTTTTAATAATGTCCGTGTTACAATAATGTATAACTTTAAAAATATTTTTCTAATAACAATTCATATACTATTCGACTACACATAAGTGTTGAGTTTAATCTTATAAAAATAATCCTGTTAAATAACTAAAAATAAAATTGAAAAATGTATAAAAAATATTATTTTGTTTTATAAATCTTAACTTTTTGTTTTTATAATGTAAAAACGAAACATGTAATTTAGAAAGTTCTTACTGAATAGTTGATGTGGATAGTTTTTACATAATAATATTGATTCATGAGAAAATTATTTTGAAATAGCAATAAATGTTTTAATGCCAAGTATAAACAATACTCAGTTATACAACAGTACAAAAGTCCCAACTTCCTTATTAAATGCGCAATTATAAAATAAATGCTATTTTTAATATAAACATAAAATTAATTGAAATTCTTCTTCTAATATTAATTCGTAAAAAATATAAATTTACTAGAATAGACCAATTATATTTCGTGTACTAACAATTGGCTATCGTCTGCTTAAATTACACTAACAAGAAGTAAGAAAATAGATCTCAGATACAATAAAAGCTTATATCTATTTATGTAATTATTGATACAACTTTGGATCAATCATCAATATAATGAAAAATCTCTCTTTTGTACAATTTGAGGAGTAACAGTAAATGAAAGCTATAACAAATAACTATAAAATTTTATATAAAATCATCAAATATTACACTGTAAGAAACAATCCAAAAATTCCTATACGTTTTCATGATATTTTACATACACGTTAATTGTACACATAAATTGTGTAACTTTGACATAAAGTATCGAAAATTCGTATACAATACTGTTTTTTCAAATATTCGATTACATTGTATGTATTATAAGCTTCCAGTATATGTATGTAAAAATTTTGGACATTTTTTTTTTAGATTGTGTTCCTAAGAAATTGAACCGGTGGTGATGTGGCAAAATAGCTCATTCGACCGTCGCCATAGCATCGATGTTCAGCAGCGCTGTTTGCTGTTAGTTCTCGGGTGGGTGATCACTTCACCAGTTAAAACTTTAACAGTGACACACAGATTGCCCTTTACTGGTTCTCATGCATAATAATGTTGCGTTAAGCAGACAGCCGGTGTAAAAATCCTGTTAAATTTATTATACGGTAACCCAAAAAAGCAAAGGTAGATGCTAAGGAGATGATGATTGTCAGGAAATTGAATAAAATTATGATATCACAGTATTAATCTAAGAGTATCATTATATCCTACAACCTTGTGCAAAGGCGTCAAGCTGGGGAAATGGCTAGATGACTAGCCACTCCAGAAATGTGGCAAAATTATATGTACTAGCCCAAAAAAGTCCACACTTAGCTTAACACACTTAGTTAAGACAATACATTATTTTTAAAGACATTTTTTCTTTTATTTATATTTTGTTATTTTAAAAAATATAACAATTATTTTTTTTCTTTTAAAAATAATATTTACTAATTTGAGAATTTGTCCGTAAATGTAAATATAATACTAATAATTAGTGAATGAGTTTCCTTTGTCAGTTAGAGCATTGGTCTCTACTGGAACCCTTTCGGGTGGCCCAACTTTAGTAATTATATAATCGAAACACACTCACACCCTTTTTATGCCTCTTAATTTCATTCTATTTTAAATTCTTTGAATAGAAATAACTATGTATCGGTTATAAAATGAATACACATCGTTATTATTCAGAACAATTGCAAATTCTAGCCAAATCCAATTAATAAATTCAGGTTGAGGACAGTCGAATTCTCATAATGGCCCCATGAATAACGTACTCAGCATTTAGTGTATAATAAAAGTAAATACTGCTAAAATAATGTAATCCTTAGTCAGGTCTCCGAATTGAGTAAAGACACTTAGAATTTATTTACATTAAATATACCTATTTTATAATAGGTGGATAAAATGTAATTTGTCGAAATATAATTGGTTGGCTTTTAATAATAGATACGCTTCGTAAATTGCAGGAGGAATTTAATTCGTTTTTTGTAATTGAATTCATTTAAAGCGTAGAATCGGTTAATCCTTTTTCTAGAAGAACTCCTACAAGTATTCTCCGCCAAGGTAATCCTATTGTTCGTTCGGTTGGTGTCGTGGCGAGATTACAGTTAACCAGAATGCAAAGTAATCATATCCATTTATTTACAATTCGCATTAAACACATTGATAGAATGCACTTCTATGTAAGTGTAAGTGTATGTAAGGTGTAAGTGTGTGTGTGCAATTTTTGTAATGCGGTAGTGCCGTCAAAGGAGCGCCGGCGTCAAGCGGCGTTACGCGCACAGACGGCGCGCTGAGCTTTGGAGGATGTCAACAAGTAATTCGGCGTGCCGACACCGGCCGAACTGAACCGATCGGCCGCTTGTCGTCTACCGCGTATTGATTGGAGAACGGCGTCCGTCGCAGAGCACCCGCACCGGCGTCCGCGGCGTTACGCACTGCACGTTACACACAATCAAATACTCTTTCTCGTCTACACGCGCGCGCATATTTTATACATATATATATATAAATAATAAAACACAAAAATATATTTTATATACATCATATACGCGGTTTAAACGGAGCGCCGACCGGGCCCCCCTCGGTAACCGAACCACATAGACATACTTACGACACAACACGATGGCTGCGCCGCTCGTATGTACGCGATTTAGTGACAATTACGAGCTAAAAGAAGAACTCGGAAAGTAAGTACAGAACATTTAAAATCATTCTCGTGTTCAAATTATTTCCGACCTTTAATCAATCAGCTTTATCTAATAAATATTTTGAGTATACTGATAGACAACAGTTATCAGAAAGTTTGCTCTGCCCGTGTATTTCATTATCTTTGAAACCTTCATTATGTTTTTTAAATCAACATTTTTCTCTAAACTACTGAAGTATTCCTTAATTACAATAAAAATTCGTTTAAATTTTAGTCATGTTTTTTTTGTTGCTTGTTCTTCTTTATTTTCAAATTTATTATTGTCGGTATTATTTACCGTTGTATTAAACACGTAGCAATTATTGTTTTAACTGGGATCGCAACACCCGGTGTGTGTTTTTCACTTGCTTAAAAATAATGTGTTTTTGTAAATTGTACGCTTTTTATTTATTGCCTTTGAACTTTGATCGCTACTAACACAACGAAGTTGCCGTCACTTCGTCCGATCGATTATCTCCATTAACTTTCCGAGTTAACCCTTCAAAGATAATATAAATCCTCGAAATTCTGAACGCGCGCGCGTGTCTGCACTGAGTTAGATGTGCCCCCACTGATCACACCTGCTTTTAACACGTTGTACATGTATTTTTCTCCAGAGATGATAATAATGTTAACAAACAGTGATGAAGCACGAACTCACACACACACATACATTCGCGCGATGAACAGAGAACACCGACGTCGCCGTACCGAATAGAATCGATAGCGCGCGTTTACCAGTCCAAAATAGCGGCGCGCATGAGTAAAACCCAGTCGTGGCGGTCAAAGTGAAAGCGAGAGGTATACCGAACACATTATTTTGTATCCGTAAGTGTACAGCTATACTTGCGATAATTGTGGAAAATGGGCACGAATGTAAATTAAATTATCGGTAGGCTTACACGGTAATAAAAGGCCTCAAACGAGTTATGACTGGGATTATTGCACCGTTAAGCTTTTTGAGCGCGTTCGCTCCACTCATAACTCAATATGGGTATGCATACATGAAAACGAATATCACCGAGAGGGATTTTGCCGTCTACCGGCACGACTCCTGTATGTACATACTAAATTGGACTGGGCCATCGTAGTCCCTTGTTCCTCTCTTTTGTTCTGTTCTATCCGCAGTAAGAGGCGCAACTAGCAAAGCACATGCTCGTAAATCACGTGGCTGGTGGGCTCATTGCATGCGACAGTGGTTGGTTATCGGGTTATAGATAAACGATTAAATACAAGGGATCGATCGTGGACTTTTTTTTTTATGAAAAGTAAATAAAATAAACGTATTTTTTATTCGAGTGCACTATTTTTTAGTCACGAATCTATTTTTTTTTCTGCTAGAATAACTCATTAAAAAGTTTTCGTTTTTCCCATTCGAAGCAACGAACTGAATTATGATTTTTTTTTGCTTCTGTTCTAACCAACATGTATCTTATTTAGATTTTATAATAAATAATCTTCTCGCAGAGGTCACGAAAACATGTCATAAAATAAAACAACAATATTTTTGAAAAATAAACTAATGTTTCAGTACAATAATCTAAAAATTATACATATGTACACCATTTCCGGCCAAGGACAGTGAGGTGTCTCGTCGTGTCTTTTGTCATTGTCGAATAACAAACAGTCGGGTTTATCGAACTTTTCTCTCTGTCCTCTCTCTTTCATCGCGACTCGCCCACTTTTATTTCCCTCGCCGTGGCCATAGTCATCTCTACAGACCCTCCAGTATCTTTATACATACTCATTCTAACAAAAATGATACTTCGGCAAATTTTTTAGCGAGCATGCGCTTCTTTTTAACGGTCCTTGGACTACAAACCACCGAACCACATACACTTGCATATTTGTCTCTTGGTATACAAAATACACAATGAAAACAGAAATAGTACAGAGGCGCCACCAAGTGCCCTCTTGACTTTCTTTTTTATTTTCCGTTTACGTTCATAGTTCCTACACCCTTCTTTCTCGTATATTTAATTATGCGCGGCATTAACGAGAGTTTGTGTTTGTTTTAAACTTTTTTCTCTTTGGCGTGAACTACGTAAAGAGGAAATCGATAAGACAAGCCGTTGTCCCGTCCTGATATTGTCGAGACGAATATTCAATTTTATGAGCCACAGTCTCTTGAAGCGTTTTCCTCCTCAGCTTTGAAATTTTATTTAATTAGATTATAATGAATTTCAAAGCATAAATATCTATAATATAAATAATGAGGAGAAAAAGCAAAGCAAAATATTTAAATTCTTCGTGGCACTTAATGAATGCATTGTGTTTTCGCGTGCGTCCAGTCTGATGGGTATACTTATGTATTGTGTATATATTATGCTGATGGAGGGGCGGTAGGGGAGCGTATCATTTTCACAGATATGATTGTTATACGCGACACGATTAGAGCGTTCAAACAAAATCAATTTATCGGTTTTCGTTGCTATGGAAACAATTTCATTATGTTTAAGCTTAGACGCGATCCGTTAAAACAGAGAACCCACGTTTTGAATGAGGAAATTTCGCATACATTTATCGCTTGTTCAACAATTAAAATCATCATTGAACTATCAGGTTGAGCATAATGTCGGATGTCGATATGGGTATTCAATGGTGTTAGGTAAAAGACAAGGTAGCGGATACGAGTAAGTAAGTTGCGGTGATGTAACAAACAATCTATGTAATCTATAATAACAATGTGTGTCTTGGAACAATTTCATCGTTTGTACGTTTCTATGTAATATTCACTCGAACCAGCAGAACGCTCTAGAGACTTGACGAAGGATCAAAGGAGAATACAAGGGGAGGTATTAATATTTAAACGAACACGGCGAACTTGCCGGTGGGGTCTTTCTGACAAATCAAAGAAGAAGCTTACCGAGAAAAATCTGTTATTTTATTTATAACTTTATGTCCGTTACAGAGAGTAGGTTGATTTTATTACCAATCTACAGAGAATATATTGATCAGGCGTATAAAAAAAACTAAACATTCATGATTGTATAATACACTTCAGGCGTTTAGGGTGTTTGGTGGTAATCAGACAATTTTATTCCTTTCGACCGATTGTAGATTAGCATCTGTTGAAGATATCCCATGTAAAACAATCTATATCACTTGTAATTTTTATGCAGAGGAAAGGATATTTGATCGTGGGACTATTTTACAAATACAACTCCTAGGCTTGTCTGAAACACTATTTTTAATTTTCGAAACATTTAAATTAGACTTGCTGGACTACCAGCTATTTATAAAATTGCAACTTTTATCTAATTTTTCAATTTTTCTTATAAAGGTTTATGCTGAATTTTATATATAAGAGGAAAACTTTTCAAATAAAAATGTGTTAAAAGGCATATCTTTGGTAATTTTTAATATTTTACTAAGGAAGTTATAAAAAATAATGAAATTTGACACCGGATTTCATAAAAAAAAAAAAATTTCAAGCGATAATTAAAAAAACTACAAGTATATGGATAACTAAAATATACTAACGTTTGCCAAATTTATGAATGAAATGTAAAATCTCACTCGAATACATTCTACTGCGAAAGTAAAATTATAAGTACCTTTGATAGGACAAAAGAATATTTTATCTTTTAATCCTTGTGCATTTATTACTGAATTTTGCGTTATTTTAAGTAATATAAGATTACTAATCTGATAATCAAGACTTGAAATTTGTGACTTACTAATGCAGTTGCTATAGGACATATGAAGAATTATAAATTTTATATATAATTTTACGTAATCGATATTAAACAAATAATTGTTTAGAAAGAACAAAACAAAGTTTATACTTTCAATCAAACATAACGATCATAGGTAAATCGATTGATAAACATTTAATCGAATTCTAAATAATTAGACGACTCAATGATTTACTTTTTGATAGAAGCACGACGATATTAGATTATCTTGACTATAACAATTTAGTTGAGTTAAAAATTAAATGATGATCTATTTTCAATTCTTTCTTGTTTGCAAACAAATTTCTTGTAGACATTGTCAATCTATCATTATAATATTGTTCGTTTCCTCCGTTCAAATGAAATTGCTCTTACAGTGAAAAAGGGTCGACACGAACAAGTGGAGATGTTTAAGAGCAAAGCGCAGAATAAGAAAACGGTGTAACTACGACGTAATTAAATCAAAATGTTTGATTTGAATGAAACGACAGGTCGAAAAAGTTGTATCATAACATTAGTAAAATAACGACCCTGTCAATTATACGCCGTAGAAGCCTTTAGCCGTAGTTTTTGCACTTATGTCGTCGGCGAAAGAGGTTAATTGAATTTCCCGTTTCGTATCAGTAGCACTTTCCTCACACCCCTAAAAGGTCGGCGTCCCGCATTGTTGTTCACTAATACTATGATTGTTATGGCGAAATGAATTTTGGGGCGCGTAACTCCCGCAGGACGGAGGTAGAGGTGTTTAATTGGTTTGCGTGACACCGTGGCTCGTTATCAGCGGTGTCCATGTGTTTGAAGCTAGTAGAGCACTTGCAGAACCCTTCATCGTAGACCGTCCCACAAAAATAAACACGATGGTTCATAATATTATTATTACACTACACCAGCGGACGGTTTCGAAGTATACCGCATACGTTTGTGTGTGCGTATGCGCTTGCAGTATAATAGACCCGTGAATGTCCGGAGGCGTACAGTTGTACGTCCAACTTGCCAGCGGGTCTCTTTTTCGCGTTTGGCAACGCGTCTCCCATAGCGGCCGAGATATATTTTTAAACATCATCGGCCATGGCTGCCTGCCTTCTTGTCGCGCGTTCATCATAATAAAAACACGAGTATACGAGCCGGTACCTATTAATATAAGCCCTGGACTGTGAAAAGTCGCCACTGACTTGATTTATTTCTTATATTTCTTTCTATACCACTTTGGCCTGCGTCGTCTTCTGCTTCATCTAATATCATCGCGAATACCTAACAAACGTTTATGCCAACAGCAATAATACTCGGCGCCGCCAATTTGCACTTTCACTTTTCACGTTCGCTGATCCATTTATGGACATGGTCTTTCAGTAACGTTCGCTGACAATCCCAATGCTTAGAAACACATTAAACATTTTTTTTTTTTAATTACATTCAACACGCCCGTTTAACAAACGAACTTTACGGTTTTAATTTTACAAATTCAACTTGTTAGTCGACAATTTACACACGCATTTTAAATGGTTCAATACATAATTTTCTTTATAAATATTAGAAATAATCAGAATAAAAAATCGCGATGTAATTTGTTGCGTGCGCTTAAATGATTCGAGGAAATTAAAGTTGACATGATGTTAAACTTGAGACTTTTACGACACCATTCGAGATTATAATTAATTGTAGTTCGAATTACTTCATGACAAGAACATCATACGAAGAAATCTGTTCTAGTAATATAATAGTCGATATCACTAAATAAATATACCCAAAATAACAAAAATAATTAATTAAAGAGTCTGTGTCGGTACAAATAATAAAATATTCGACAGAAAAAGTAAAAGCACAAGTCTAAGGGAGTTGAACTACATCAGAAAAACTCAAGTTTCCGAAAATCGCTTCGGGTCATTAATTTTCAATATATATATCATTCTACAAAGTTGAACCTAATGTTGAAAATTCCTTTTTAAGACGTTCCATATAAATACTACTCTGTAATCCATTGGCATTTTACAAATATATATATTTGGTCAATCGTTTTAATGGGCCTCTACCATTTGTCTTTATATTAAGACATTGGTGTTTGATTATAAATCAATGACTTTTACTTAGAAAAAAAAAACGTTTAAAACGATAAAACGTCTCTTATTTAGATGTATATACTCCACTGCGAGCGGTAAAGCTAAATTAGACTATATATACTTAAAATTATAGAATATTCTTCGTCTTTTTTGAATTTCATAAAACGTTTAAAAATATTTTATTTGATTTACTCTATTCATATCTAAGTTTATCAACTTCACTTTATCATAGTACAAATGTGGTGTAATAACATGTAAATCAAAAGTTCAAACTTAAAAAAATGACGATTAAAACAAACATTTTTTTGTAATCATTTGACAATTTCATCAATTATAGTATATTCTTAAAAATTTTTAATTATAGCTTAATTAAAGAATAAAATGTATTAATTAATGCATTAAATTAAAGAATAAACATATTTTAGTATTTAAAAAACGTATTATAATATAAAGTATTTGTTTCTTTGGTAGTAACCGTTCTAAGTGTACGCTCATTATCATATGATATAAATGTCTACCGCATTTATATTAAAAATAATGAATTCTTGATAAAAATAACGAGTTGCGTTCGATACAGTTATTTTACATTAATAATATTCATTTTTTTTTTATAAAGTTTCAATTTTAGGTATAAAAAAATGACAAATAAAATTATTGAACCAAGCCAAGTCGTAAATATATAGTAGAATTATACATATATTTTTGTTGATAATTTTTACTGTTTTTTTGTATGTTAAAACTTTTTTTGTGTTTCCTAAAATACATTTTTTTTTTTGGCACATAGAACGTTTGACATTTTCACTCTTCAGTTATCCATTTTACTTCCAATTAAAAGTGATGACGAAAGAAATTGATAAAGTGTGCCTTCAAAAAAGGCGCTATGTTTTAATTAAGCTTTACGCTTGATGTCGTTTTAATATAATTGATCATCAAAATTGAATGTGTACTGTGTACAATGGAACTATCACACAAAGTATATGTTTCTAGTTGAAATCAAACAATGAAACTTTTATCCGACGCAAATATCGAGTTATTCACCGGTTCAATGTAATCCTGATGCCAAAATTATTTTTTATTATTCTTAACATTTTATCAGAAGCCAATCAAGTATCGGTACAAGTTTATGCAAAAACAACATTGTTATCATAAACTATTTTATCTCAATAATGCTTTTAGTAAAAGTTCATTTCCCAACATCCATATAGTTGTTGACAATTTATTCGGCATTTGCTGAATTTGTTGTAACACTGCGCCAATAGAGTTTTAGTAGTATGTACGTTTTTACAATAGAAATTAAGTTCGATTGCAAATAAAGACCGTTGCGCGTCGTCTGCCGTTTATTACAGGCGCGTGTCGATTGTACTCGAGTCCATAAATATACATTTAATTTGCCCGTTCCAATTTATGAGTACATTTCTGCTAGTCGTCTATTAACATTGATCTAAAATTACGGTATTTGTACACTTTTGCAATTGGCCATCTTGTTTGAACAAGGTTTTTATTCGTTTATCTTAATGCGCATCCATAAAATACTCCATGAGAAAATCGGATAGAAGGTCCGATTTCCTTTAAACGCGTAATGGATTATAAATTAGTAAATTGTACTCTAAGAAAAATTTCTTATATCATTTAGGTAATTAATTCTCTTTTTTTTTTTCAGAGGTGCTTTTTCCGTAGTACGTAAATGTATTCAAAAACACACGGGACTGGAGTTCGCAGCCAAAATAATCAACACAAAAAAACTATCTGCCAGAGGTGAGTAAAACTGATCATTATTTGTTTATATTATAATTAAACATTGCATAAATTACTAAAATAGTTTTCTAACTAATTTATAGTTAAAAATGATTTAATCCTACAGGACTTTAATATTGTCATATCTATTTAAATCATTTACGAGTTTAGAACCGTGAAAGTTGATAATACTAGTAGAGAAAAAGAGAAAGGGTTGCAAAAAACTAGCTAAATATAATAAATATGAATGTTTATTCACTCACTTGACCTTATTTCATTTACTGCTCTTCGTTTTCTTTAATAATCCACTTGAATGTATTGTACTCAGCTATTGCTAATTGTATTTTCATTCTGCCGGTATGCGTTAATTAGACGAACAAAATTATATCTATGTTTTGATATGAAAAGTCAATGATAGTCGTTTTAATTTTTTTATTTTACTCAGAACTCACAAAAAATGATTGACATTGACCACACACTAATCAATCAAGATACGAATTTATAACGATCGAAATAAAAGCAATAACCTAAAAATGTCAATAGGGTCTGACTTATGACATCAAATAAATCGTACAGAGTATCCTTGAGATTGCTAAAAGCATATAACCTCAATCGTAGTGTTGTTCAAGCGATTATTACTTCGAACATTGTATTCTGTCGTTTCCTTTTTAAATTTGATTAGAAAACCATCAATTTTACATAAAGGTTATACAAATAATCTTTATGCTTATACTTCAATACGTAAAAATTGTAATTCAATCAAATAACTAAATCTGATTCAGTTATTATTTAAATTTTCATACGACTAATTAGTCGTATTTCCCACGTCGAACTATAAGAATTGATCTTTGATTTTTAAATATTTTATCTTAAGTTTTACAGAACACATTCAAGTATATAGACTCAATGGTATTTCAAATCTAAAAAAGAACATCATCTCTTATAACTGAATTTTTAGCTTATTTAACTCATTTAAACGATTTTTACAATTATAAATAAATCATTAATTAAAAAAAAAAAATCAAATTTATGACATTATTCATTGCAATATAAATAATACCCAAAAAATTATCTTTCGGGCGAATGAAATTGTCGTACTGTATATTATCCTTTATAGGAACATGCGTAAATTTATGTAATAAAACAAATCGCTTACATGCAAATAGCTTAATTAAAAAAAAAAGGAAATAATTTGTAAATTTCTATGATTTTTTTTTTACTGGAGAAGTTTTTCTCGTTAGCAAAGAATAAAAATAACGTATATTAATAACCTCATAAAATGTTGAGAATTTTTAGATTAAAGCATATAACACAATATGAGTACATTAGTGTAGTAACTCAAAATTTGTCAATTTTATATGTTTTCTTAATGTAAAAATGTTGTTTTTGATAATACAATAGTATATTAAGTCGTATTTATAAAAGTGAATGCGTGATACTAAATAATATTGTTTATCAATAACAGGAAATGATAAAATTTCTTTTATATCATATTTTTTTACTTAACGTTACTAATAATATGATGACAATATTTCAAACAGTTGTGTAACACGCTTTGGTTCTAATTCGTATTTTAAGATTTACTGCAAATTTTAAAAATGTGATTTACTTAATATGTAATGTTATGAGTTTCTACACAAATGTACATATAGTGTAATACGTTTTATTGGATAAAATATTACATTACAATCTATACAAAAAAATGGTTATCTATTATTTTATCGTCATCATCATCTATTAATTAAACCTTGTCGTTGAAAATTATTTTTAAAATATTATTTTATATTAAAAATTACTTGCGTGTACATATTTAAACTTGACTTAAGTAAGGAAATTCAAATTTGTAAATTAACACGAATTAAAAAGGCGAGTGTAATAAATGAATTTAGAACCGTATTTCGTTAACATATTATACTAACAATTCATTTTATGCCCGTTGTTTACTTAGCACGAATTACTAATGAAAAAGGCACAGATGGTAAGCGAGTTTGAAGTGATAATTTATTGTTATTAAATAAGATACTAGAAGATAGAGTTCCACTTTTAAAATTACAGCGGTAGTTAAACGAATTTTTACTAATATTAGGTTTTATTTTTTTGTTTTCTAATTTACAATATACGTAAAACTTGCACAACCTAAAGAAAATCTTTTGGGTAAGCTTAAATTCTTTATAAATGAATCTGTTAAATAAATTTCAAGTCTGAATTCTCTAAAGACATGAGTTTTTGATTAATACGTTGCAGGTTTCTTTCAAATTTCGGAAGAACTTTTTTAATAATTCTTTAAATAATCGTTAAATCCTTTAACTTCATTAAACAATTAAACACAAATGCCATGATATAATAAATTGGCTAATGTATTAATTACTTATTAGCTAAAATATGGAAGAAAGTGTTATCAAAATCTAATTAGATTATATTACTTTTATATTAATATATCTATGAAAATATTTCAAATAATTTTTATTACTTTTTTATTATCTGTGCGATTATCACTACTTTTAACTATTAGCGTTAATCGAAGGAAATCTTGCTAATTAGGGTATTAGCGCTAATTGATCCATCCAAACGAAGGGCTTATGTTATGATTGATTAATCAGCTTTCCACTGAATCGTAAATGAAACAAAACAGTAGTATAAATTGTTAGCACCTACATTCAATTTCACAATAAAAACATTCAATAAAAGATTTAATATCAAATATGCCATGAAAAAAATAACACGAGATTGTATTAAATCATTATGAATAATACTTAACCAAGTTCTATAAATTTCGGACAGTAAAGGTTTTCAATATTTTGTATTCACATCATATTTACAGTTAAGTATATTCTTTTATTCGTTTGTTATACATTATATACAGTATATATTAAGCTATACTCTGTGCAAAAATAAAAAATAAATAGTTTGTTTTCGTTAGGAAAGAGAATCCATATCAATTAGAAAATAAAAGAATGTATAGCTAATAGTTTTCTAAGTTATTTAAAAAAATGAAAATACTTATGAAATTTGGTTTCCTTGCACGTAGTGTATTTTATTTATGAATTTTTTTGAAGATCTATTAACACCCATAAGAGAAAATAACTGAAAACATCAAGTATAGATTCTATGCTCATGGGTATAAACATTTGACTATTCTCCAATGAAAATTGATCAACACAAACCTAAAAATATATGTTAAAATCTATTAGTAATATTATTTTATAGTAAAACCTTAAAATGATTATTCAAACAATGGCGATGTAATATCACGTAAAACTTTTTTAACATACCAACTGTTAATGTTTTATGTAAAATTATCCCTTTACACAATACTTATATTCTGTTTTAATGATTGCTTATTTAATTTTTAAATAATTTAATCACTACTAATCGTCTAGAGCAATTGTAAAATTAATTTAAATTTAACATTACTGCATCATCAATCTATTGAGAATATAACATTTTATTTAAAAACCATTTTCCAAGTATGGAAACAGGACTTTCTTAAGTCATTAAAGAAATATTATTACTACGAGTAAGTTAATTTGTTGATGGAACTTTGACGAGCAAAAGGGTTAATGTCTTGAAAGTCGAAACTGTATCATAGTATTGAGTTATTGATTAACCCAATTTCCGGCTACTATAGTGGTTTTTAAAGGTTTTTTACCAACTGAAGCTAGACTATTGGATGTAATAAGAATGGTGGTCAGAAATCTGTTTATTGTTAATTCGAATATGACTACGACTTGGTTTTAGAATGTTTTGTTATTCATGATAAACACAAATAATACAGCTCGGTCCAATCCTCTTTCGTTAGTGAGCTAAGGTTAGATGTGAACAAAAAGGGTGCAAAAGTGCTTTGACACTTTGTCACGTTTCACTAAAGCACGTATACCACATTACGATATTCTACAAACACAATATTATAAATCAAACAAAATATAACAGCTCTACAAGAGAAAAACTAGAGGGTAGCAGTATATAATGTATATTATATAATTTATTACTTTCAGAATCTAGGACATGTATGATTCGTTATTTTTTAATCGATATGGATGTAAAGCTGTTTACAAGAATATGAGTTTGACTATCATATTACACAAACGTGTTAAGTGGGATTTTTAGTTGAGAGTTGTGCTATTTGATCTCCAAACATGTTGAACAATTTAGAATTGTATCTTAACACTTGAATACATTTATCTTGCACCAATAATGATTATTATCACACCTGTTTATTTCATTAAAATTTACAGCGAGGTAATAACTGTATAAACCTGTGAAATTGAAACAAATCTTTTTTTTTATTAAGTTTTGTATATTTTTGATGATACGAGTAGTAAAGTTCATTTACAAACCGTTACAATCGCATTGTACTTGGAAAGTTGACAACATTTAATTTTTGTTATTTAACTTGTAGGTCAATTTTTTTAACATTAGAGCGACTAGTTTTTTTATGATTTCAGGAAATATCAAAGTAATAATAAGATTTTAAATGGCTACTTTTATACATGGAAAAATATTTTATTTAAAGGCTATACTTTTGTGGGGCAAATAAAATTAGATGTATGATATCCCCTAAATTACTCTAACGTTATTTATTAAAATTTTTAAGCTATCGATACACTTGATAAAATTTAAAGACTAGCTTGTAATAATAATAATAATTAAATTCAACCATAAAAAAATAATTAAAAATTCCTAAAACTACTATACGCATTAAATTATTCTCTTAACGCCTTGTAAATTAATTGACGAATATAATAAGTGGCAAGTTGGCAAGTAAGATTAATATTGCTCTTTTGTGTTAATTTCAAAATAACATTATTATGTAAATATTAGAATAAACTAATATACTGCAATCAGAATTCATAAGTAGTATGGACAATTTTCGTTCGTTAAACATTTATTACACAGTTGTTTATTTTATCTAATACACAATTTTTATGTACAATTATATTTGTTAAATTTCTTTGTAGTATAAACGATAACTTAATTTCACTGAAATTTTAGTGCTATAAAATAATTTGATACAACAGGTTAAACATACATATTTAGAAAAATTTAATAATCTACACAATCATATACATATACAGTGTGATTCGTTTACCATGAATCACTTAATTCGTCAAAAAATAAAAATATTAATATGAACTTTTTTGTTTTGGTTTTTGGTGCATGTTTTTCTTTATATTTATCAATCATAAAGTATTTTTTATGTTTATCCCTTGTACCTTATAAAGGTATCAGCTTTATTTTTCACAAGAAAACATACATAATTAACTAGTTTATTTCATAAATAATGATCTAATTATGAAAATGACTGATCCTTGAAATTTAACTTTGAGTTCAGTATTTCGGAAGTTATTGACTTTTTTATACCTAGGTACAAGGAAGAGTACAGCTGTAAAATGACCAGTGATAACAATAATAAAATCCTTGTCTCATCTCCAGCCTACACTAAAATATTAATAACTTCCAATGTACTGATCCAAAAGTTGTTATCGATTAGTCAATTTCGTAATTAGTTATATTTAATTTAGATCTAATTATCTATTAATTAATCTAGTTAATTATGCATGCTGTCGTGTGCAAAAATAAAATTGACACCTTTGTAAGATATAAGAGATGAACATAAAAAATACTTCCAAGTTAATAAATTTACAACAAAATTTACTGAAGTCAAATCTAAAAAGAAGTTCTCGATATTATTTTTATTTTTGACTAATTAAGTACTTCGTGACACATACATAATGGAAATCCATTATATACAGGGATACATTTTATACCTAAAGTATTATATTTATTGTAAATAAAGAATTTTCATTATGATATAATTCAATATTTACTATATTATTTACAGACTTCCAAAAATTAGAAAGAGAAGCAAGAATATGCCGGAAGTTACAACACCCCAATATCGGTAAGGCTAATAGAAAATATGTAAATTAACTTCTTACATTAGGAAATATCACTAGAATATAGATAGTATATTATTTATTTTATACAGTTATATAGACTGTCGGCAATCAACTTTAATTTTTGTTAAATATCTCTCAAAAAAAACTTAGAAGGCCTAGAATAATAGGTTAAAATTAAAGTATGTAGGGTGTTCATTAAATAAGTGGATTTTTATTGTTCTTATTGTTTGTAACAAGTGATCTGTTTCTTTACTTGTTTATCACTCTGTATATTTCTTTTAAACAACTATAACTTACATTTAGTTAATTATTAATGAAAAATATCTAGAAATCATCCAAAATCGAAGAATTACGTTAAAAATTATTTTTGAAGCCTAGTAGAGAAAAGGTAGGCGATGAGGATAATATTAGTTAGAAAAGGAGCCACGTAATAATTAGTGAGTCTCTGGAAAATTTATAATCGTGGATCTCAAACTTACTACCTACTGAATGACCTTTTATTAAAATATTTTTTACATGAAGTCCTAAATAAGTGCTCCAGTCGCTTCCTGTCATGTAATATTTTTAAAGAGAAAATGTCTCTAAGGTGTAAACGGATTTAACGATTTTTAATTATACCATAAGCACTTTCATTATTATAGCCATTTTACAATAGATCTCAATTTTTTTTTAGAGGATGTATTTTGATAAATAATATAATTACTTATAAATGCCAAGATGTATATCTGGAATAATATTGTATGAAAAATAATTCATCTAAACAACATATTATTTACATCCTAAGTTACTTAAATCGATGAGATACTATTTATATTTACGATTATATTTAAATGTGACTAATGAGACTTATGATATAATTTTAGTTCCTTTTAAGGTACAATAGGTATTTCAACAAAGATATTTATTATTGAAACTGTATAAAACAGACCAACAAGAGTGAATCACAGCTTAACTTCATTAATAGGCGAATAAAAAAATATATATGACTAATAAGATGGTCTATCTCGTGTATGATCGATTGTAAATTTTTTAGTTAAAAATGAATTCGATAAAATCGTAATTTATATACTTCTATGTGTTTTGTTGCAGTTCGGTTGCACGATAGCATCCAAGAAGAATTATTCCACTACCTTGTGTTCGACCTGTAAGTATAGTATTTTGAATTTTTCAAGTATTTAAGTAGCTACAATTTTTTTTATACTGATATACATACAAAAATGAAACCAAGAAAATTAGATACACTACAGTGTGAGACTTATTTTTAACTAATTAGTTATTTAAGAATTCTACCTTACAACTTTTTATCAGAATTGAGAAGTAAACTCCAAAAAACTTTCAGGTAATTCACTCTCCAATAGACTATTGCGATCCATATATAAATGATCATTATAAACATTTGGATACTATAATATTACTATCATCATTTTTAATTTCTTATTGTTAGATAATTTTTTTTCATAAACGCAAATTTATTACAGCAACAAGAGGTGTAAAAAAATCATCTCATTTAAATTATAAAAAAATAAAAACATAATTTTCCACAAAAGCGATTGTACACTAATTTATCATCTTAATAGAAAATTAGGCCAAGCGCTCTTAACACATAAAGTTTCATAGTGTATATTAAATTGATATTTAAAATTAAGTTATTTTATTTTATTTTTTTATTTATTTGTTTCTAAAATACAAAAACTAATTTAATTTGAAAAGCACTTGTATTTTAAAAATGTCTACGTCATTTATTTTGTTTGTTTAATAAATTTGTTTATGCTCTTGCGGCATTAATTTCCAATAATGTATTCTAACGCCCCCGCCTGTGTTTTTAATAATAGTTTTATTGATTTTCTCAACATCTTTTAATTATTTATTCAAATAATTGCCATTAACAAAAATTAAAACAACCCGTTTAACATAATTCGTGTAATAAATTTTACAATTACTGGTCGCGATCTCACTGCTTATAATAAACATGTTACCTACCTATAAATTTATAAAAATCAAAAATAGAGTTATTTTTTAAATGGATTTGAATTAATACATTTTAATTAAAATATGAAAAATTTTCATTTTACATTTATGAAAAAAAATAATGATTCGTTGAATAATTTAGAAACAAATAATTATAAACTCATAATAAAATGTGTGAGCCTATAAAAACTAAATCAACAAAACATAATTTTAAAAGACGGTTTAAATGAACAAAGATTTTTATTTTTATTATAAAAATTTAATATTTTAAGCATAATATAAATGTAATATACAAATTATTCACATAAAGTTTTTTCCTGTTTAGCGAAGTTTAGAAATGCATTATATCTTATTAAACACATACTTGGATTTAATTTGTTTGTACAGTTTTAAGGTTTCCCTATCCTTTTTTACGAAATATTTTGCCCAGTTTTTCTAACCCCATTTCTCTGTATTCTCTTAATATTGGATTTCAAATTTGAAACATAGATTAAGCTCAATTAGTTTAGAACATTGTAAAAATATTAGTCTTTAATGTTAAGCCACTTCAAAATGAGAAAATTTCAAAATTGACATTTTTGTTTTAACTGCCTGACTAACTCATTATTAAAATTATAAGACACTTCTTGAATAGGTAAAAACGTAAAATTTAGTAAAATTTTCTATAGAATAAAAAAGGAGAATATCTGAAAATTGCTATTTTTTCAAAGTAAACGATCTTACAGACAATATCGTTAGGGCGAATAGTCACTTAAGTATGATTAATCAATTAAGTATGATGAAAATAATAAATTATTCTGGCTTAAACCAATAAAAAGGAATGATATTCTCAATAACAAACCAAACTGTAAAAAAGTTCCAACCTCATTCTTCCCAAAAAAGTCCGCCTGTCAAAGTAATAATGTTTACAATATAGACAATTTTGCTTTTTCTTTAATTTATAAACTTATATCCTATTTTCATGAGCACATTGTACTTTTATTCGTATTGCTTAATACTTGGCCAGATTTTAAATGAGGTATAAAACCCGTCTACAATTTTCAATGATTCCCGTGAGGAAATAAATACTTATTTTCTATATTACGAATTGTTTTTAACAATTAGTTTAGAATATAAAATACACGAGAAAAATTAAAATAAATTATCATTGAAATTAATTATTTTCATTACCTGACGTTTTTTATCCATATGAAAATATGGATAATATTTTACATAAAGAACAATAAAAAAATTAATTTTTTTTTCAATGCTATGTTTGATATTTTAGTGTAACGGGTGGCGAACTTTTTGAAGACATAGTAGCGAGAGAATTCTATAGTGAAGCAGACGCTTCTCATTGCATCCAGCAGATACTGGAAAGCGTAAATCACTGCCACACCAACGGTGTAGTTCACAGGGATTTAAAAGTAAGAACATTTTTTATTTCATTTATTACTCATTGTTGCCCTTATCGTAATACATTGTTGGTACAGAGTTAGCAAATAATAGGCTTCTACCTTTTATTATTTTTCCTGTATTTAGACCAAATATTACAACGACTGCTATACTTACCTCTCTTTTCATACTTATAATGACATTAGTTTTAAAGTTGTTCGCTGAATTTGGTTTTTCTCTTTATATATTGTTTCATTAATTTTATTATACGCGAGTGCATTAAACTGTCAACATAACATTATTATTTCTATTATATTTTAAAATATATTTATACAAGGTGATAATTTTAATGCTAGTCGCTCAATTTCCATTAAAGTAAAAATTATATTAAGAAAATTACTTATGGTGTAGTTTAGTTTCATATATTTCTCGATTAATCAGTAATTTATTACTTTTTTTTAATTCATTTCAAATACCTTATGAGGTTGTCAAATTAATTTATTTCAATGGTATCATATTTAACTAACTTATAGAATAAAATATGATATAATTAAAAAAATAAATGGGGATAACAATTTTTGACTCACATTTCGTGAGTTGTAAATAATTAAAATTATAAGTTGTAGATAAGGTGCGGGTGTAATAATATTTACTAGTTTTTTGAGGAAATCACCTTTTTTTTGGCTCACTAATAATATTTTACTCTGCATCTATTTTAAAAAAATTGGAATGATCAAAAAGGTTACACGACTGAAAAATTCAAACATCATTATTAAAATCAGAGGTTTACAACCCCCTTACCTTCTAGTATGTACCACTGAGTTTAAAATGTATGTTGCCATTGAATAAAATTAAGCTGACATCCTTATGAGGTATAAAACATAAATTTAAATGTAATTATTAGCTAATAATTTAAACATTTTTTTTTAAATTTTAAAATAGGTGTTTTTTAAAACTGTTATGTCAAAAAAATTTAATGGGTCAATAACAATGAATACATATTGTTATTACCTCATTTAATTGTTTTAAGAAAAACTGAAAACGGATATTTAAAAATTAAATAAAAAAAAATATTGTAATTTTTTTATTATTAAAAACAAATAATAAACAATTTTTTTTAACCTAGTCTAAGAGTACATAAGTTATTTCAAACAAAAGTAACATAAAACATTTGATATATCAAGAGTTATTAGATTTGTCAAAACATTGTGGACGATCTTGTTTAATGACCATAATATTTGAGATATTTTGTTATTATTTTTCATAACTAGTTATAACACATTACATAAAATAACTTTAAAAAAATGTATGTTATATAAATTAGTAAATACAGATTGCATTACAGTTTAGACACATATTATTTAATCATATTTAAATATATTCATATATACGTTTTTGGAGGAGGTACGCATTCCTCCTTGAGCTATCGTCACTTTCTAAAGAAAAGTCTTTTGAATGATGAAATTGGCAAATACTTGATTTCTTGATGTCTAAAAAAGTTTTTTGCGCTCCCATAGACACTCCTATGGAGTGTTTTGTTACATAAAAAAAAATTTTGTAGTTTTTACATTAAAATGTATGAATTGATCTAAGTACTTAATACACTAGGGATGTGACGCGTACGCCACGTTTAAGGAGAATAACTACTTCATTTCTGTAGAATCTACAAATATTTAAAAATATTACTACTTTTTAGCTTATTCATACTTTACTGAATTTAATAATTCAATAGAAACTTAAAACTTATTTTTTTTTATATAAGAAATATATTATTTAAAATAATTTCGAAAATATAAATTTATGAAACTATTATTTTTATTATAAAAATCTTGTAAAACTTTAAATACATTTTGAATAACTTACACGATTACACAAAATTACATAAAAACAAAATTGTTTAATGATAGAACATAAAATATTTGCATTAAAAATGATTCATATTAACATAATGACATTTACACTTATTATATAAAATTATTTTTATTTTAAAACAAATTTTATAGCGTAAGATACACATATTATACACCAAATAAGGAAAAAATAAAAAAAATTATGTCCTTGCTTTGTTACTACTTTTAATCGTTAAGTAATAAAAACGCTTAATGATTACCTATTTTATATGAACTAGGCTAATAATTTTTTTAAATAAATTCATATAATTTTTATAGTACTACTACTACTACTATACACATATTAAATGTATTTATTGAATCCATTCGTAAGTATTGTAGCAAAACGAATAACTTATGCATAAATACTGAATTTTACCCATTTATCTTTTTTACTCAATTATCGACCAATAATATACACTTCACGAGAACGAAAAATTTTTCTGTTTTTTATAATATATGTGATAAATATAAATAAATAATGATTTATTTTTTCAATGAATATTTTTCATAAAAATAATATATTGCAAAATATAAAATACCACAATACGTACATCATATTACGTTTTCAGTACCTTTCAATGTTTACATATTTACCGATAAAAGGGTCATCATTATTTTAATTTTCTTTTACTGTGGTATTTAACGAATTTTATACAAAGTGTTCAGTATCTAAGGAAACAGGTCAATTGTTATAAACAACGAGAACACTAGAAGCCCGTTTCGTTACTTACTGAACACCCTACATAATTATTCAAGCCCTTGGCCTACAACCGTTCTATTTGTAAGCTCCCCTCTTTAACCATGAAACATTTTTAAAATTATTGGCATCAGTTTGTGACATAGAAGTGATACATAAATCTTAAATAATAATAAAATTACAATTTTGATAACATATAAGATTTTAACTCATCATTTTTTTTTGTGTGCAGTTAGGTTTCTCGCCTATGTAAATACCGCGTATATCACGTTTAAAAAATTACTAATACTATACATAGTGATCAGTTTATTATAACGACTTGATTACTCAAAAATAAGTATGAAATTGAAAAAAAAATGTCGACTTTTATGTTTATATATAACATAAAATCCTGTTCTTTCAAGATATTACGTTTTTAGCGTAATAATTTATTTAATATCATATTAGTATATTAAAATTATAAAATATTTATAACATAATGAAGATATAGTACAGATATATAATTAGGGTCGACAGACATCAATGCAAAAAATAATAATTTTAGAAACAATGAAATTTAAGGATACTGTAAATTTTATTTATGTTTCTCAGAAAAAATTAATTCTTTAACGTTCCTTGTTCCTTAATTCTTAAAAGTTGTTTGTAGCTTCATACCTACAAAAATATTTCGTTTAGGATTCCGTTTTTTTTTGTAATAATTTTTAATCAACACCGAATCGTCTCTTATTTCTAGGTACAATCATACAATAACGTAATGAACTCGATGAAAAAAACAAACGTTACTTTATTTAACTAAAATATATTTATAAAAATATATCAAAGTCAGCTAATATATTATTTTGAGTGGTGACTGATTTCATTGGAAATTATATATCCCCTCATTCTGCCCTTCCTTTGTACGCATCTTACTGTATTCATTATTTAAATATATTATATTCAAAATATAATTTATCATAAACACAGATACCTAAAATATTATTTATATTATTGTTCGAACATGATAATTAACTCATGTAGGTGACAATAACTATCAATTTACATATATCGTGAACAGAGTATGCAATATAAAAATATAAATTATTTCCCATCTACGCTATATACTCACTGTATTTATTAAAATGCTTGTAGCTCAATAATAAGTACATGTCCTAAAATTGTAATTGACCCATTAAAGTATTTTGTAAAAAGAGTTCTATGAAATTTTAAAGATCTTAAAAAGTTAAAAATTATTTTTATTTATTTTATTGTTAAAAATAAATCATATGAAATGTTTTTAACTTAGTCTAAAAATACAAAATTGATTTAACAAAACTACCGCAAAATGATATTTGTATCAAAAGTTATTAGAGTTTTCAGTTAGATCTATTCAACTTGATTTTCCATATGATAATTTTTATTGATCGATTGTGTTATTGAATATTATTTACAGCCGGAAAATTTATTACTGGCTAGCAAAATTAAAGGTGCAGCAGTTAAATTAGCTGATTTCGGATTAGCTATAGAAGTTCAGGGCGATCAACAAGCGTGGTTTGGTAAGTTTTTCAATTTAGGCACTTTTATAATGCGTTTTAATTGTTGAATGTTTTAGGTTTCGCTGGAACGCCCGGTTACCTATCACCTGAAGTACTGAAAAAAGAGCCATATGGAAAACCAGTAGACATATGGGCCTGTGGTACTTACATTTAATTTCCATACCACAAACATCTATTTTAATGTTACTAATTCAAAATGTTATACTATTTAATAGGTGTAATACTTTATATTTTATTGGTCGGTTATCCACCATTTTGGGATGAAGACCAACATAGACTGTACGCCCAAATTAAAGCTGGCGCTTATGACGTAAGCATACATTTAAAATTATATAATATAGGTTGCATAATTGTATGTACATATTAGATTAAATGACCTAACTGATTTTATTGTGATAATATTGGAATTAACATTGAATATTTTAGTATCCATCGCCCGAATGGGATACCGTAACACCAGACGCAAAAAATCTTATCAATCAAATGTTGACTGTGAACCCAGCTAAAAGAGTTACCGCTTCCGATGCACTGAAACACCCTTGGATATGCGTAAGTTCAACTTTGGTTTTATATTTTGCTTATAGATTATTTTTATAAATATGATCATATTATACAAATGAAGGAAGTAATCAAACCAAGAATAAACCTGTTGAGGTATAGGAGAACAACAAATTGTGAGTAGTTTGTCCCGATGAACTCTCGACATTTTATTTAATTAGATTTGGAATTCCTCTTCTCTCGTTTGATTCCTTATTAATAAACACCAGTAACAAATTTTAAAGTATAGTGATATAGATTAAGCATATGCAGTTTATCAATCACTTCTAATTTAAAATAAATCTAATCTCTACAAATACTTCAAAACGTCTTTCAAGTAGCGCACGTTTTTATATTATTAAATACAACGTGATTATTTCATGTCTACCATACAGTAATTTTGCATTCCAGTGATGTTTATCTAAATAAAAATAATAGCATGTTAACACAAAATCACGATAATTCCTTCAAATACATTAGTATTATATTTTGTTTAACTGATGAAAATTTGGATATTTCAACGAACATATTCAAATATGACATTTGATGAAGTCTAATACTAAATTCGTGCTCTTTGGTTATCGCGTTTCTTCTACTTAATAACAAATTTAATATAAACTTTGTAATTTGTCTCATATGAAATAACAGGAGATGATGGTAAACGTTTTTACTTAGACTCCAGTGTCATCAAACTTTTGATGGTATTGCGTGAACAATAAATTTATTAAAAGCTATTTTATTTGAGTTTTCCCCTATTCCCCTGTTTTGACTTGTATTCGTTTTTAAACACAATAGGAATACGTTGGTATTATTCGGGTATNTTTACTTAGACTCCAGTGTCATCAAACTTTTGATGGTATTGCGTGAACAATAAATTTATTAAAAGCTATTTTATTTGAGTTTTTGAGTATTATTCGGGTACTTTATGAATGTATTGCATGCAAACATAATAATAACTTACTAGCCCAAGAAAAACATAATGTAACTCTGATGGTTTGTGTGTTTCAGTACCGTGAAAAGGTTGCTTCAGCAGTGCACAGACAAGAGACGGTCGACTGCTTGAAGAAATTCAACGCCAGAAGAAAACTAAAAGTAAGCATATTTCCAAAGAAATAAGTAAACTAAATAATTCAATAACTATAGACTTTTCTTGAATCTTTTAAAAATATTACTATTCTATACTTTCAGGGTGCCATCTTGACAACTATGCTGGCGACGAGGAACTTCTCCAGTAAGTATGATGTACACGGTAAGTGCCTTTGGAACCTCAGACCAATTACGTGTGAATAGGTGAAAAGATGGTTTTGCTATAATTAGAATTTGTTTTATTAGATGCTCCAACGTGTATATATAAATTATAAATACATAATTTAATTCTACATACTTTTTGTTCTATATTTAAAATATTACCGATTTGAATAATAAAATGTTTAGGTGTTCTCATACTTCTATGGGTAGAGCATTGTAAATAAGTTCATCAACGGTAATATTTTTGGCTGACGTTATACACGCATATATGAGATTTAGATTTGTTTGATATTTATTGTACAAAGTAGAATTCAAGATAATACAATCACTAGGTGCTATAGATTTTGAAAACTTGTATTATTTTTATTACTGAGGATACGGTAGGTCTGTATCATACACCTACATAATGTATAAGATTATGCACTAGTATGGCATATATGCTGGAATATTAATAAAAAAAAGTACAATTTTCAATTTTCTTTAAAACAACTAAATTACTAATTCTGTTTACATACAGTACAAATGTACTTTTTAAATCTGCCAAAAATACATCTATATAATATATAAATATATCAATTCAAATAAATGTACATTTATACCTTTCATTTCTTGAATGAGTAGATGCATGCTTTAGGTACATTTACAGTACAATTTTTTAGTTGTTAATAATAAAAAGTGTTAAAGGATATGTTACAATTTAACATTTATAAAAGCTCCTTAGAAAATTTACTACCATTAATACAGTTATTCATTTAATTTAAAAAAGAGAACCATTTATTTATCATAAATAAGTTATGCACTGATATGATATTTTGAAAGAATATTAGTTTTTAGTCAAAAATGTTTTGTGGATATCTTATTTCAAATTTTAAATTAAAATATTTTATTTATTATTAATATTCACAATATCCTCGAATAATAATTATTAAATTATGATTTAATAAGAATGATAGAAATCAGTACATTTACATGATATCAACGACTGCAATATATAGAATGATCAGTAAGTAAGAAAAAGGGTTTCCATTTAAACAATGAGAACATTGTTTGTAAAAATTGATTCCTTATTTTTTGAACACCTTGTACGAGGCAAAAAAAGCATTTAATTTAAATTCAATGAGCTTTTGAAGAAAATACAAGATATTATTTTTATCATTAAATAAAATGTTTTTGAATATAACTAAAGATAAAAATTACAGGTTTTATTTTACATTATATAAACATGTTAATATAAATATTTGCATCACTAAATTGAAAAAATTGTCATTTTGTCTTTTTAAATAGTCTTCAGACCAATATTTAGTCTAAAAGAATAGACAGATAATTTTAACAAAATTAACTGATAATTTAATAAATTAAAACTTTTAATGGTTTAATCTCTTTGTAAAAACCAACAAATTATTTGCTTCGATGCGAAACTGAGAAGTTATTATTTTGTTTACTTAGTCCATTAAATCAATTACACTTTTTTTTCATTCAAAACTTTTAAATATGTAGTAATATATTTATCTAGATGGTGTATACCTAATTTTACTGACTACAATATTTAAATGTAAATTTTCTTTGACTTAATAAACACAGTTTTATTATTCTAACGCTATGTATCAATACTTCAAAATGCCATAAAACAATCTATGTAAATGCAGGTTAACGATCACTAACATTTTTAAACGAAGTTTTTTTTACTTATTGTTCCATATTTAAAAAATTAGGGATTGTTCGATTATTTTTATTTATTATAAACATGCTTAAAATTATACTGCAAATTAAAAATCATAACGTTTAGGACTTTAGAAAGGGAAAATATCATACAAAATATTAATACTATAAAAAAAGGCAAAAATTAAACATATTATTAAATTGGTAAAATTTAATGACTTTTTACGAATAAAATTAATATTAATTTTTGTGGTATGTATCTTTGGACCATCTATAAACAAATCTACAGAACTGTCATTTTAAATTTAAATTAAATTGTATGATGGAAAGTATGAGGTTCCATGCAAGGCGTTTACTGTGTATTTATCACACCTGTAAAAAAACCTATTACATCGCAATCATAATGCATTTTTAAAAAACTAAATAATGAACAATATGATGTTGGTGTCAATTTCAAATCATCTTATATCTATAATTGTTATAACTCTCATCATATTTCATTTATTTTTTTGTTTTCGTTTTTGTTCACTCTCCCTGTACTCTTCGTCAATTCTCTCTAAACGCACCACACTTCTATACCTTCTTCAAAAAATCTACCACAAATATTTTCGCAACAGGAAGTGGTAAGACTGTATTTCTTTTTAAAATTTTTCTATTTTTATACATTTTTTTTTTTACTTCATTTTCCCCATTTAATAATTAATATGTTTGTGGACGTCATTATTTTAGCATTTTTATACATTATACAACTATATACTTAATATTTTATACATTTTTAAGCACTTTGCTTTAATATTGTTTTTAATTAATCTGTATTCTAGAGTTTTATCATTTAATACATCACTACACAAAACTTAGGTTAATATTTTATCGAATATTAATATTAAAACTTATTAACTTGTTATTCGTAAAAGCTACTAATGGCATGAATATATAAGCTACTACTATTTAGTTAATAATGCATGTTTCACAAATTGAATATATATTAGTATGTATTAAAGTAATATGGTCATAATTTACATATTGTAACAAAAAGTTTATAAAGCAATAGCATGATGCATTTAATTAATTTTTATATGATTATTGTATTATAATTTAAGAACATTATTCTATTTTTAGGAAGTATAGAATATCAAAAAAAAATTGTTTTGATTCAATAAGCTAGTTTAATTTATTACTAAAACTTAGTAAAAAACGTATACTTTTTTTTTAGTAAAATAGTTTAATAGCGTAATAAAGGAACCAATGTACACTGGATAAGAAAAATTGTTTGTATTTTTTCACTATAATAACTATAAAATGTCATTAAATATGATTCAATCATAACAATTATATTTAATACATTAATTAATACGAAAAAAATTAAGTATCATTTAATTTTCATTTTATAATTATCTCCAAAACATACATTAGTAACAGTTAAAATAACATACTAAATGAAATCAAATTAAGAAATTAATTTTAAAATCAAATCTTTAAAATTATTCGTAAAAAGTTAATATCTCTCTTTTTTAAAATAATTCTTCAAATTAATAATTATATAAGTATCTACCAAGTAAATGGAAGTGAATGACGCTAATTATATGAGTGATAAAATATGTGTATTATAGAACTAATTGTATAAATTTGATATAACAGCAATAAATAAAATATAATTGAATAGAATTTTAGTTACACTGCACATATAAAAAAATCTTTAAAAATACAATTGTTTTTTTGTATAATATTGTATACATTTTTATATAATTACGCTTTTCTTTCTTTTTGGCTGAAAGTTTGTTAAATTTATAATATTCATATATACTTTTATATACATTATAAAAGTTATGGAAAAAAAACTAATCCAGTGATATTTTTATTAGGTCGTAGTATTGTAACTACAAAAAAAGGAGACGGATCTCAAGTAAAAGAATCAACTGAAAGTAATACGACTTTAGAAGACGACGATGTTAGGGGTAAGTAAAAAAATACTCATTCAATATAATTTTTTTATTTGACTACTTAATAAAAAAAATTGTTATTTAATAATTTTTAAAATAAAAAAGTTATAAATAAAATAATATTTATTGTCACTTCGATTTTTACAATCATCAGATGACAATTATATATTAATATGCATGTGTAAAAATTAGTTAAAATAAAAAGTAAAAAAAAAAATTAAATAATTAATATATAAATCAAATAATTTCAAGAAAAAAAATTATTTTTAAATAAATGTAGAGTTAGAGTATAAAAATATAGGTTTCTTTTTTAATTTTATCTTCTATGCATTTAGTAAAGCAACAAAATTCTTTAAAGTAAAAATTGTCAGATGCACAACACTAACTCACTAAAAAACGTGAACAACACAATATCGAGAGACTTAAAAAAACACAGAACACATACACAAAGAAAAAAATTAATTTCCCTGTAAATATTATACATCAAAGGTTGTTGGCTTGTAAATAAGCAGTGTGACGCTTACGACTATTAAGTACATGTGGTAAAGTTTTATTTATCCACTAGCGTTTGACAAATACCGCTGCCGTGATAAAATGTAAAAAGTTTAAAATCGAAAAAAAAAAATACCGAAAAATTCTACAAACATTCCGTATGATTTACTGTATATATATTTTTATATAATAATAATAATAATATCATTATATAGTTATAAACAATGAGAAATCTACGGCGTTCGTAAATTTTTGTAATAAAAAATGCACGTAGTAGGTCATATTTAATTCCAATATTTCATTTAATCCTTAACAAATATACAAAAACTGAAAACCTTAAAATTAATAAAAACTATATTTATTTTCCTTTTATAAATCTAAATAATATTAAAACTCCAATTGAATACCGTTACAATATATACTCAACTCTAAGTATGAAAAGTGTGTTTTTCTCCTAGAAGACAAAAAAGGGACTGTGGACCGAAGCTCTACAGTAATTGCCAAAGACGCAGAAGGTAAATATCACAATGACAAAATCAATTCACAAAAAAAATACCATTAATTGATTAATCATAAGGAATGAAAAATTAATTTCAATAATCATAGTAATATTTTATTTTGCAATTAAGCTTTTGTGATGGCAAAATACAAACACATTTTTAATTTCTTATTCTAATTACAAAGTTTTTTATTTTCTCACTCCGAATCGCGTTAATTGCTCGTAAAATTTATAAATAGTCGATGAAAAGTTTTTGATATATTTTTCATTTCTATTCTCATGCAAGTGTCGATGACAGTAAAGTTTTATAACGTATTACTCAAATAATGGTACATGTGTTGTTTTGTATGCATTGTTTTGTCGTCTGCAAAATTGAAAATAGGAACATTTAACAAAAATCAGCTTCAAAATTAGAAAAAACGTTTTGGTTCTAAGCAATTATTATTATACGGCCGCATCATTTCTCTCTTAAAAAGCTTTCATATACATGAATTTACTAAAACTCCATTGTGTGAACAGTAGTGAGGTAAAAGTTAGAAGTTTACTTAAGTTCGTATAAACAAAAGAATTAAATCTGTTTTGTATGAGAATAGAATAAGTATGGCCTTTATTACCAGGTCGATTAGACTAGCTTGGCTGTCGACGTCGAGTTACAGTCCAGTAGCAGGTTACTCGACAGCGCATCTTTTGTTATCGTACTAGTATAATTTAGTCAAGGTTGTGTTTAGGAAATACTGGCACCCCGCCACCATCTCCGGCACCATCAAACGTGTCCACCAGTAACGTGCTGGGCTTCTTCAAGAGTTCTTCGTCCACTTCATTAGGATCGAAGCCCAATAAATTGACCGTGATTAACAACACAACTTCTGCGGTCGCCAACAATTCCCATAACGTTGTCACACAAGGTTAGCACACGGTCGTGTTTATTGACATTCACGTCTGTTTTACTCTACTATACCAGAACTCTCATTACTAACACGAACAATATAATCAGAATAGCTATCGCTTTAGAATTAGAACGAGACTGAAAACATAGAATCATTTCTAACATCAAACTAATTTTAATAACTTTGAATGTGTAGTTTAAGAAACAAACAATTTTTAAGAATAAGTTGTGTCGTTCCGACACATTTCGAATGTTATGTTAATAATTTAGTTTAACATTAGTTTAGTTTAAAGGCTATCAATTGAATTAACACTTTAATATTTAATTAAAATTCAATAACGATGTGCTTAGCGATGAACATCTATCATTAAAATTGTAATCAACACAGAGACTTTTCAAACGAATTACATTTATTGTATTGGAGATAAAACTATAATACATTTCATAGCTTTACAAAATGCCTTTTATTATTTAATAAAATGACCCGATTTATTCTTAAGCTATAATATTTTATGGTTTCCTAAATTTATTGAAAGAAATTAGTAATTCCCTCGTAATCATTATAATACAATATCGACATTACAAGTCGATAAGTATCGTGTTTAACTTCAACTTTGATTATGTATCGATTATTGGTATCCCCATTCATAAATATTTCTATCAAAATAGTATTATTTTCTAACTCTGTGTGTATTTAGTAATTAAATACAAGTTTTTGTATAAATCACCATGTTTGCTGTTAAATAAACGACAAATTGGTTGGGGGGTGCACATTCAAATAATATGAGTGAAGTTATTATTAGAAGTATTACATAAATATTTCTATAACTCTCCGGGTATTATTAAGATTTTACATTTCTATTAGTTTTGTAGTCTACTGAAGTAGTTCTGATTCATATTTTTGCTGTCGCTTGTCCAAATCGTATCCATGTTTATTTGTCAGTAATATAAAATAACAACAATTTATTAGCGAACAATTATGTTAGTTTTATTTTTACTTCTACTCAGCAGTGTCGTTTTCATGTGATAATATATTGTGGTCTTTGTGGTCGCGTTGGGCTCGTGTGCGTCGACTACTGCTGAGTGCGTGGGCTTCCAGCAACAAAATATACACTGTCTGAAATTTTAGTCAAAACTAAACATATATAATTACGTGTCTTAAGACACCTAACAATTAACATGAATTAACCTAAATCTCTCGTTTGAGCCAATATAAATAGTGTTGACTGAATTCTACGGCGTTTTTCATTATTTCGTGGTTTTCACTACTCAGACTATCCTAAAACATACTCCAATGCGTTTTTACTCGGCTAATTAACGTCTATAAAAACGTCACATCGTGAACGTCCAACCAAGTCCGACGACGGCGGTGTAGTCAGTTAATGTAACAGCACGTGCACGCAACCCTCGTGATCAGATCTTTGTATCATTTGGTACGCATTTTCCTGTGCTTGCGTAGCATGACATTGTGTTTTTCTTGTCGTTCCTGTTCCGACGATTCAATAGCATCGCCCGCCACCTTAGAACGTCTGAACGATACGATGGACCGATTTACTAACGATTACGGTGGCGGCAGCAGTTCAAAAGATATCTGTAAGTACTTCAAAATAGTTAATCCTCCAAAATCGCTTATAAATTTAAAATTTGATAATTTCCTATCTATCATTACAATATACTTAAATACTAGTTTTTAGTTGTACCTACCTGCCTAAATTGTTAGATAAAATAATGCAAATTTAGAGAGATTTATGTGTGCCAATAATAATAAATTATCTGATTTATAATCTACATAATTATTATGTAGACTATTGAAGTTCAAAAAGTATTTTCTTAATAAATATCAAAATATTTTGATACATAGACTCAATTTAACATGCTAACTGTACTATAAATTACTAATATTAATAGTAATTAAGGACATAAGCGCAACTAGAGGGCTAGAAGCTAAAAAGAATTTAGTCCCCCGGTAGAAGAATTAGTCTCCACCAAAAATATAGAAAATTATATAATAAGAATAATAATTATATTTATATAAAAAAATTTACGGTGTAAAGATAATTAGTTTAGCGCCTCCAAACATTTTATTCTAGTTGCGCCTATAGCTGGGAAAACATTTTCAGTCTAAATATTACAAAAATAAATTCGTGATATAAATAGATTCATTAAAATTTTAATTTTTTAATAGAATCATTTTATAATTTTATTGTATAGTTTATCGTACCAAAGTATCTCTATTAATTAGTAAAAAATAATTTATCCGTATAACAACTTTATGAGCTGTATATAAAGTTATAATCATAATCACTCAATTACTCGCAAAATAAATACAATATTAATATAAATATTTTGTTTTTTTAGTTACATATATTTTCTGATTTATGCTAATAAATCTAGAGACCAAAAGTATTAAGCTGTATTAATGACCTTTTAATATTAAACTTTGTTACTAATATGAGTGTCAACAATATAGTTTTTTACTAAACATACATATTCAGTTAATATACAAAATAGAAAATAATCTAATTAAGAAAATAACAAGTCGGTAACAGCTTTTCAAACAGTATTCAAAAGTTATTAAAAATTTTATACGGTCAGGAGAAGTGCGACCAGTGCACATGACCCGGCGACTGCTACATAGTAGTGGCGTAATTTTTATTGTATTAGGGAGGTATACAAATAGAATATTTTCATTACCGCTTTAAAATATAAAAAATTGTTTCCACTATATAATTTTTTTGAGGATTTCTATCATTCCTCAATTCCTATTCTACTGGCACGCAAACCCTATTTTCGGTCAGGTTTCATAAATAGAATTTTAAAATCATTATAACTTTAAAAGTACTGGTTTAAAATTTGTTACCGATCCGTCATTTTTGTTATTAAATTATTTATTATTTTATAAGTTAGATAAATATGTATGTTGCTATTAAAAAAAATTAGTTGATACCATTATAAGTTATAAGGGATGGTACTAAAAAGTAATTAATATTTTTTATATTAATTTAAAAAATGATAAATCAAGAAATATATGTAAACAAAAAACATTTTTATTAATAGTGGTTATGATAAACAAATCACGTTGTATAAAAAAAAAAAAAAAAATGTTGACACAGTTAATGTACAGTATATTTTTAACTTATGATTTCGGGACATGTTGTATTTTAGACTTAGCGCTCTTTTCAGAAGTATTATTAATACATTTATTAAAATAATTTCTCTAAAACTATTTCAACAATAGTTCATATTTTAAAATCTTATTTAAGTAATCTCATGAAATGTACTTTTTACAGGTAATTTGACTGTTATCATAATAAAACCTTAGCTATAAAAAAAGAAATTATAATAAATAGTCATAGTTGTAGTTCATTTAGTGTACATATATAAAAAAACTATTATTTTTATTAGTAAAATTAACCTAACCCATCGGGAAAACAATGCATATGTAGCAATACAATATTATAAACATTTATTGTTTAATAAAACAATTTTTACTAAAGATTAGAATAAAAAAAATACTAATAGTGTTTTTTTCTTTTTTTTTTCATCCTTTTTCGTTTTTGGCATTTCTTTTTTTTCTTGTGTTTTATTTATTCACACATTTTCACTAAGACGTGAGGATTGTCTATCCCAACAAGACATTCTCGCAGCACTCGACTAATTCTTGCGGTTCAGGTGAGTTTTATATACCAATTTAGATAGTTATATTTTGGAAAAATTACACTTGTACATTTCAACCTCTTTCCTACACGTTAATATTTACATAACCCTTACGCCTTGTACATAAAAAGCAAATTAATGCATACATTTTTTAATCGTATTTTAATCATTTATATAAGCAATTTTTTTAATTAGATTATAAAACGTTTTGTATTATCTATTGATTATTGATTGAGAACTTTGATTATTTTTTACTCACATGAATGACGATTTGCATTTTAAGCTTTTGGTAGCCACCAATACTGATTTAATTTTTTTTTCTCGTACTTCATATTGACACTTGAAAACTGTAAATGGAACATTTAAACACAAACACACACAATAAAATAAAGTTTTTTATTTTAATTTTTGTTGTGTATGTAACTACTAATTTGTGTTTAACACGATTAATCAATATTAAACCATTATATTATACAACGAAAAAATATTAACGCATTATATACACACATTTAATTAATTATAACATATTAAATTATACACCTTCAATTCATTAATAACACACCTTTAATGATAGAAATGCAAAAAATACTTAATGTGTATATTTTTTAGCACGTAAACAAGAAATCGTCAAGATAACCGAACAATTGATTGAATCGATCAATAATGCCGATTTTGAAGGATATACGTATGATTATTATTTACTATACATTAAAATAACGAATTTATTGTAAATTACTTTTTTGGGTTTTGTTAGAAAAATTTGTGATCCTCATATGACTGCGTTCGAACCAGAAGCACTTGGAAATTTACTAGAAGGAATGGAATTCCACAAGTTCTACTTTGACCATGGTAGTATAACAATCTTTCGGCGCGCAACATTTTGTTGCTTAAGTACACATTTCATCTGTTAAGTATAGAATCTGTGTTGACAGTTTTAGGAAAGAACAGAGGAATTAACACCACTGTACTAAATCCTACAGTACATTTACTTGGCGATGACGCAGCCTGCATTGCATATATTATACTTGTACAATATATTGATAAGTAAGTTCAAATTTTTTTAACTACTTTCCCCCTATAGTAGGTTCTGGTTAAGAGTTTACTAAAAATAAAATGATAAATATATTGTGACGAAATTTAGGTCGAAAGAGACTTTTTTCCTTTAATTAAAACATAAATCCTTAAGTACATATCTGCATATACTTCATTATAAATACTGCTACATATATGTAACATTACAATGGTCTTGTTTTACTACTGATGTATGAAAACTAATATTGATTTGGTTATTTATAGACAAGGGGTTCCCAGATCACATCAATATGAAGAGACGAGAGTGTGGCATAGGCGTGATAATAAGTGGCAAAACGTGCATTCACACAGGTCTGCATCAGTAGCATCCACCAACAGTGCGTTTCTCCCGTCGTCTGGCACAGGCAAATAACCGAAAACAAACGTTGTTAAATTGAAAAATCATTATCCGATGGTAATAGAACAAAAAAAACCCATACAATTAGACGATTTTTTGTTCCTTTTACTTTATTTCAATTAATCTTCTACTATTTTAATTTTTTCTTTTGACTGATAATTATGTTGATTATTTATAATGATGATAAATATTAAATATACATATAAAAGGCGTGTTATATGTATATTTTGTTGTTTTTATTATTATATTAAAATTATAAATGGTTAAATTATATAAATCCTATATTATAAATATTATACCAACATTTGAGAAGGTAGATTACAAAAATCCATTAAAACAAAAATATTAAAGTATCAACTTGTAATAATTTTAAATGAGAAAACAGCTTAATGAAGTTAAAACTAATTTTGAAATTTGATTACAGTTTAGTGGGGTTGAAATATATTAATCATATATACGTGAGAACTTTGCCTCCTAAAACTACCATGCCCGGTTACAATGTTTATTCAAGTTATTAAAATAATATGTTGATTATATTTGTTGAATAAAAATTGGGTTTAATTTTTGCCAATAAAATTAATATTAATAAATTATTAAAAAAACAACTTTTATTTTATAATATGAATATAATAAAATAAATAATTTATTTGTTCAATTCAACTTTAGAGAGGTTTAGTTCATTTAAATATCCTCAATAAATAAAACTTTTCTTACAAAAATTCGCTATTCACAGAAATTAAAATATTTATTTATACAATTTTAAGCGCACCAATTTACTAAATTTGCACATTACGTAAAAATTCAATATCGATGATTTTTTGGCTTGGGCATGTCGCATTTTTATTTTTCTTATAATTAGTAATAAAATTATAACCCATCAACCGATATTAAAAATTATAGGGGTTATAGATTATATATATAATTATATAAATTATACTAATAATTAAACATTATTAAACATAACAAATCTGTTAAATTATGTGTCTCTATTCATCACAAATTATTAAAATAAAAGTATACACTTGCATAGTTATTGGTTGGGATATGGTTGTTACATCCCACCCATGACAAAAATTGTTATATGCCAGATAAATTTTTTCTTTGTTTAAAGGGGGGGTCTGAAAAATTTTCTTATATATATTCTTCTCGTAATGAAACCCTAATTACGCCATTAAAATTATATAATTTCAGTTCAAATTTAGATTCTTAACTAAATTTTTTTTACGGTTGGAATTAGTTAATGTTTGGTCAATGTTTTTCATTAAAATTTATAAAATCTAAAATATGTAATACATAGTATATTAACTCTTGTGGATTTTCTTAAAATCGTTGAACAATCTTAAGGTTGACAACAAACCATTATAATCATTTTGTATAATATGAGGTTCCTATTTGAGATTATCAATTATAATAATAATAAATATAACAGAAAAAATATTATTTTTCATGAATTTCAAATAAAAACATAATATCTTACTTTGTTATATTTTATGGTATTAGTAAATAAAGACATCCAGTTAAAAATTATGTTAAAATTTATCATACATAAGAAATAACATATTACTAAATTTTATTTCATTATAAAACTTCAATATTGTTTTTTCTAATATTTTTATCACGGTTATAATGTTTTATTATAAAACAGCAGAAAATGCTTCTTTTTGTTAATAATGTCTAATATATATATATAAACAATTTAAAATTAGAAAGATATTATAACATTTATAAACCTACTTATTATTCATACAGTAATTAATAGGCATGTATCCTATGTAAATTATGTTGTAAAATATTACTACCTTTTCTTGTATGATTAATTTTTAAGTACATCATGTTGTTCTTTCACCTCACACTTGTATATTTAACCTTAAGAAGTGTATTTAATTATAATAATTCTAGTCAAACTAAATTTTGTTTATTTTTATTATTAGGGTTTATAAATGTATATTATTACAATATATAAGTTAAAAATTTAAGCGAGTTCAAAAAATTAAATCTATTCTCTCCTCGCTAACTGTGATCGGTTTTCATGCAGAGGAAATTAATTTAAAGATAATTATTGCTGTTTTTTTTAGCATTTTAAAGGTTTTTAACTAAATATTGATTCTACATAAAATATTATAACAAAAAGACTGGTGCTTTATGTTCACTATTTAAACTAAATTTTCTTTCAATTTTTAAATTTGTGAGTTTTTCAAAATATAATTGTTTTTTAAATTAATTTAATAAATCACATTTCTGAATAATGTAAAATTATTAAACAACTTTATTTTATTTATAATTTAATGTTTTGTGATGATTTTGATCATCACATTCTTTGTAATTTGTTAATTGTATTATTACTTATTATTATATATATTCTAGCTCTATAACTTTGTTGTTGTTACTTCAACCATTATTTATTTTTATTATAAATAGTATAGCATAAATAAAATAAAAGATCATAAAAACCATAAAATAATTTAACCTTCAATTGTTAAATACTACAAAAAAATCATTGGTATATAAAAGGGTAAATAAATAATCAATGAAATAATTTTGTTTGAATTAATACTTATATTAATGTAACTAACAAAATTCTGCTATTGAGTTTTAGCTCGGCAGAAGTTGTTAAAAATAAGGAGCAGACTTTTAACTATTTAAGAAATTATTTTTATGAGCCTCTTGTGCTTTTATATGATTAATTGTAATTCTCTTTTTATTTTATGATATATAATATTTAAATAAATTTTTTTTTTAATTTATAATATAAAATTCAGTATTTTTAAGTACGTTTTTTTAGTTTAAATTTTTAAAATTCAAAAATTTATTTCAACTTAAAATGAAGCAAAAATGCATAAAAACAAAGAATTTTGGAATTATATTTAAATAGTTAAATCATACTATCAAAAAAGTAAGAATGTCAGTTTATTAATATTTAATTACTTCATTGATTAGCTAAATGATTATAACAATTTTTTATTTATTCTTTAATCTTAAATTAAAATTTCGATTTTAGAATTGATTGTTAAGTTTAAAAGAACTACTTATAAATCTGAACTAATTACACACAAAGGAATGCAAGTTTAATTTCTTTAATAAATTTTTAGTCAATTCATAAGTTTGTGGGCACTACCAATAACATTTTGATATATGTCAAAACAAGAAACTAATTATTACTGGTTACAGGCTATAGTAGAAAAAAATGTAATAATACATACATTATTGGTGATTAACCATAAAAAATTTACAAACATATACAAAAAATTGTTTTAATACCGCTTCTTATATGGAAAATTTCTTTTACCACCTTTAAATTTTTTTTGTTTCCCAATATTTTCTCCACTGTTACGTTTTTTTATTGCTGTTAATACAGTTTTATCAATTGTTCCAAATCGAAGTTCACGAGCTTTAAGTTTGTCTTCTTTTTCACTCTATAAATTATATTTCAAATAATTTATTAGTATATTATATGAATATAAAATTTTTCATTTTCAAATAAAAATTGTACTTACATCATGCAATGTTTTGGATACAGTTTCTCCAAATCGTTGAGCCCTCATTTTCAATTTATCATTGTCAGCATCTACATTAGGTTTCTATGTAAAAGAGAAATTTCAATTTATTTTCATATAAAATTAAATGACATAAATATATGAGAATTGATACAAAGATATTAATATTATGTAGAATATACATTATATTAAAATTATTGTCTATAAGACATGCATTCTTATAAATCTAATAATTAGATTTAATTATTCAAAACATATAATTATTATATGTTTTGAAAATTTGAATTTGATAGAGACAATCAAAATTTTTATTACTACCAATATGAAGTATTATAAATTATTATTATCTATTAAAATTACCTTTACAATTTAGTATTAATGATTTTCATGATATATCCTATATGCTAGTCATTTTAAAATATATAATAGTAATAATTTTTATAATAATATCAAAATTAATTGAATGATTATTTTGATTTTAAGATGCAATAAATATCTGGGAATAATGTTAAAAATCTTACACCTAACAAATAAAAAAATTACATAGAGTAAATTGTAATAAACAGAAGATAATCAACTAAAACACAATATGCTAAGGTTTGCAAATTTTATGCAATATTTTTTGTAAAATTCCTAACTACAGTGAATTATAATCAAATCTTTTTAAACCAAATATAATTATTTTAATAACCAAGTTATGATTAGAATGTAGATTTATTTATATAGTATACAAAAAAAAAAAAAAAAAAAATTGATAACTGGAGTCTGGGATTATATGCATTTATAAATTTTGAGTCACTTTGAAGGATCCCAAATTTGTGTAACTTTGTCGTATAGTTATTTAATACAGTAGAAATAATATTTGTTTTGGGGGAGAATAAACCTCTAATCACCCCCAACACTCTAGATCTAGTTATATTACACTGCCAAGTTTTCAAGCCTATTAATATAAACTTGAACTTTCTGATAATGTTTTTGAAATAACTTAACAAAATTTATAAATGCATATTAATCCATTCTCCAATTATGATATAATATAACATAGTTTTAATTATATTATAGTCAAAAATACATAAATTAAGCTTACTTTAATTATTTAGATAAAAAAAATTATACATACTTGTTCATTAACTGCTCCAAATTTGATAAGTCTTGCCAGTTTCTTATCTTCTGATATATTACTACCAAATTTTTTTGCTCTCATTAAAATCCTCTACAAATGAAACTTATGTATAATCTTATAAATAAAAATAAAAATATTAAATAATTACTTCAGATGGACTTAATATTTCAACATCATCCAATTTAATAACCCGATCTTTTTCGTCAGACACTTTATTTTCATCTTTTATTTCTTCTTCTTTTGGTCTATTATCACCATTCAAGGTAGTCACTGAGTTTCTCTTTAAAGTTACTTTTTTTGGTTGATTTGTCTGAAAAATAAAACAAAATAGAAATATCAAAAACATTCATAATATAACTTTTCTGACAGTTTTTAAAGAATTTTTTTATAAATTTTTATTTCCAAAGTCATAAAGTCAGTCCAAAGTTTTCAAAGTTGTATTCCATTATCTAGTTTTTTTCAATGAAATTATAAAATTGTTTTACAATTTTAGAGCAAAAGTCATACAAGTGAAATTTTTATTAAAATGAGTGTGATTTGAAAAAAAAATTTCAAATAAAATTTATTCAATAAGCAACTTAAATTTAAAAATTTGCATAAAAGTTAAAAAAAAACAATATTTTGAACTTTTTAACTTATTAAATAAAATATTCATTTAAATTAATAGTTACAATATTTAACATTGTTAACCAAAACAAATTTTTTTTTTATTTTTTATTTAGTATTATAACTGTTTATTTTCTCGCCTTTCTTTGTTCCTAGCCTATCATACAACTCATCATACCTCTTAAACTTCACCTTATTTACTGTACTAAAACCATTTATGCCTGGTAAATCAACAATGGAGCCATTATTTTGTGTGAAGCAACTAATAGAAAAGTTTAGGGAAAAAAAGAAAAACATTGTATGGTATTTATAGATTTGGACAAAATGTATGATAGAGTACCGAGAGAGGTTCTAAAGTGGGCATTAATGAGAAAAGGAGTCCCGTAAAGGTACATTAATATAATAGAAGATATGTATGATGCCACTTGTACCAGGGTAAAAAGCATAGGAGGAGTATCAGAAGGTTTTTGGGTAAGAGTAGGAGTGCACCAAGGTTCTGCTTTAAGCCCTTACTTATTCTCTATAGTGATGGATGAAATTACTAGAGAAATAAAAGTAGAGATGCCGTGGTGCATATTGTTTGTTGACGATATAGTGTTAATAGGAGAAAATAGGGAGGAAATTAATCAAAGGCTAGAGGTGTGGAGATCAGCTCTTGAAGAAATGGGTTTAAGAATAAGTAGGAGTAAGACAGAGTACATAGAGTACGAGTTTGACAAAGGAGAACACGAGGTAGCTGAAATAAGGAGACCAGTGACAATTGGTGAGGACGTGATTGGAGAGGTGGAAAGTTTTAAGTATTTAGGATCAGTTGTGCAAAAGAGCGGTGGTATTGACGAGGATGTAAGACACAGAATCAAGTGCGGGCGGTTGAAGTGTAGAGAAGCGTCTGGTGTATTATGCGATAAAAAAATTCCAATGAGGCTGTAAGGTAAATTCTACAAAACTGTAGTGAGGGAAGCTATGATGTATGGTTCAGAGTGTTAAGTGGTTGATAAGAAAGTAGAGCAGAGAATGAGTGTAGCAGAGATGAGAATGCTTAGATAAATGAGTGGAGTGACTAGATAAGATAGGATAAGGAACGAGCATATATGAGGAGTATAGGTGTAGTGTCAATCGTGGATAAGATGAGAGAAAATAGACTTAGATGGTTTGGTCATGTTATGAGGAGAGAAGAATCTGAAGCTGTAAAAACAGTTATAGAAATGAAGGAAGGAAAAGAAAGGAAGAAGAGATACAGGAAGAACAAAAAAGAGATTGAGAGATGTTATTGAATGCGATATGAGGACAGCTGATGTGAGCATAGATGATCTGGGAGATTGTGTCAAGTGGAAATTTAGGATAAGGGTGGTCGACCCCAAGTAGTTGGGATTAAGGCGAGGAAGAAGAAGAAGAAGTTTATAACTGTTTATTTTAAACTCTATTATGATCTAATGTAAGATATACATATTTTCAGAAAAAAAATGTTATTGATTTTACTATTATCCTAAAAGATTTATTAAAATTGAAATTCTTTAGTATTTTTGATCAGAAAATTATTTATTTAATTAGGTTAATAATTAAATATTTTCTGACAATACAATTTTAATAATAATACTTATGATAAAGAAATCATGTTTTACTTAATACTTCTACCTAAAATTAATAAAAAAATATTTAATAAAAAAGCATAAAAAATTATAAATTCTTTAAAAGTTAAATAAAATTTAATTTCAACTCATCCCTGAATTTAGATACTTTTTTTGGTATCAATAAAAATAAATCCATGCTGTAAAGCATATATTTTCAAAAACTGCATTGTACTGCCCCTTATAATCCTCATGGATTAAAATATTTTATGATTTCTGAAGGCTCATTAAAATTAACTTATACTAGAACTAGCGATAGTTCTAGTTCTAGTGTAAGTTCTAAAACTCACAAATTTATTAATAATCATTTATTCACAGGCTCTATTATATCTAAAAACACTATGAAAGACTAAATGAGTTATATATCCTATACCTGTTGATCAGTTGAATCTGTAGATAACAAATTACTTTCTAAATTAATGTCTTTTCCTGTGACATCTCCTAAAACTTTTGACTCATCAATATCAGAATCATCAAAGTCATCCTACAAAATAAAAAAATATTTTATTTTACTTAATAAGTTATTGAAATTTTATCAATATATACAAATTTAACTAACTTCCAAACCGTCATCTTCATCTAGTATGTTGTCTTCATCTAATACTGCATCTTCAAGATCTAAAACTAAAATAAAACCATTACTATTTTCGAGCAGATACATAAAAAATAAATAATTTTTAGTTATAATACAAACCTGATGTTTCAGAATGATTTATCATGCGGTCAATAAGTTCTTGTTTATTTCCTACAGTACTTAAACCTTTTGCTTTTAACTCTTTCTTCAAATCATTGACCTATGAATTTATAGAATAAAAAGAAACAAACATTTAATTTGATAATATTATTGTTCAAGATCATCAATCTAAATAAAATTACTATATTTTTTTAATTTAATGAAATACTTATTAACATTTAATAAAAAAACATTAATACAATAATAATTAAACAATCCAATTTTTATTGACTAACAGAAATAATAAAACCTTTTAATTAAACAGTTTAGGAGTCAATTTAAAAAAATATATACGAAATTTTTTTATAATTTATTGCTTATCAAAGTATTATTACTATTATAAAATATAATTTAGTGAAAATCATGTGTTAATAGCAATATCTATAATGTTTAACGTAATAGCAATTTTTTAAAAATAGTAGGTTGTTGTTAAGATTTAACTGAGGATTAGATTTAAAAATACATATTGAATACTACCTATAAAAATGTTTTGCCTTTGCCATTATGATTTTGAAGAAGCTAAAACTTTTAATTCAGAAAAAGTATATGCTAACATATAAGAATTCTCTAATAAACATCAGGGAATTCTTGTATTTGTAAGGGAACGAAAGATGTTTTCAATATTTATTTTTTTATAACTCGTCAATAACATAATATGTATAATACCACTAGATTAGATTTCCTAAAACTAGATTACTTTTAGTAAAGAAGTATTACTAAAATTAATGTTTATGTAAAGTTCACACCATATTCAATTAGGTAGAGTTTCTAATTGAGAAAAACTACTTTGAGTTTAATTTATATATTTTTTATATAAAATGTATAATATTAAATAATATAATTTTTATTTAACAACTTGGAAAACTTCCAATAGAAAAATTAATTTTTTTGTAAAAAAAAAATATAAATTTAAAATTTAATATAAACTAAATTAGAATACTACAGACTGCACAGTAAACTATATATTTATTTGCTTTTTTTTTTTAATCAATATTATTTCATTATCTTAATTGTTTAAAAAATTACTATCAAAATAATTTGAGTTATAAATTTTTATAAATATAGCATAACTGTTACTAGTTATGCTATATAACTAGTAATATAGTAAATATGTAAAAGAACACAATGTTGTATAGTTGTTTTCCAAAACAAATAAAAAAATCTCTCTTACCTTCATTTTACTTAATTCTTCGAATTTGTTTACGTTATTACTTATATCAGACATAATAAGTATTATTTCTAAAAATAAGTAAAAAAAAATGGGAATTCTAATTAAGGGCGTAAATAGATATTACAATATAAGTATAAGGTGTCTTGAATAAAGTAATTTTTATTTAATATTATTATACAACATGACAAATATAGGTATTTTATAAAGTATAAGGTGCCCAACTAACCGCATAAGAATCGGCGTGTTAAGGCATTAATACAGCGGCGGGATGGTAATCAATTTTTTGTTTATATTTTATTAATACTTATATGTCGTTATCATGTTGGTTGTATTAACAGATATTTTAGTCAGTGTTTTCAATTTTACTAAAATAAATAATATATTTACAAGATAGAAATTTCTAAATAAAATAATTGTTTTGCTTTAACATTTTTATTTAATATTTTTAACACACCCATAATAATAAAATTCTACACTTATCTACACAAAAATACTATTTTCATTCTAATTTTATAAAAATTCTATCAAAATCAAATAATTAAAATTTTGTGAACAGAAAACACTGACATGAAACTTTATCAATGTACTTGAACTGTATATCTAGCCTTTTCACGGATGTATGTTACAAATTTTGTTATACATTTTATTTTTATGGTTACATTGTTTATTATATATATTTATATATGTATGACTGATCATATAGATTGATACGGACGTAGTTTTACTAAATCTTTATAATTCAATTTTAATGCATAGTATATTTATTAAATAAAATAATTATTCATTTAAATGTTGAAAGTACTAAAAAACATTATTTTTACTCATAAGTATGATTTACTATATAACGGTAACAATCAGTTGTCTCTAACTTAAGTGCTTACTAATAATTGATCTTGCATATTATTATGGCCGGTTTGGAATCTATTGAGTTGGCCCGCTTAAGGCACCGAGCATCTAGAAGTATTTCTGAAAATTATGCTACTAATGATAGTAATCTTATGAATCCCGAAAATACTAAGTTGAATCATCGAGAAATGCTTTTAGAAATGTCAAAAAACAAAGGTAATTAATAAATAAAAAAGTAATCAATTTTTTAAAAATCAGGAAAGTAATTGACATAATAATGATACCAAATTAAAATAATTGTTTTAAAGTGAAACTTTTTATTGTGTAGTTGGTCCATAAAGAATGCATTAAGTAATAATAAAGTGGCATATTATATCAATCTTTACAGGGAAAAATATTGTAAACTAAAATTTTATAATTTTACAGGAGAACTAAATAAAATTAAACATCATAATAAATTCCATTTATACTTAATATTTAATTATAATTAATGGTAATTATTTATATAAAAATTTGTATCAATAAAATAATTGGCTTTATTGATAACGAAGAAAAAAGTCATGGTATAAACATCGAAATATTCATAATTCATTTATAAAAAAAAATTATATGTATGGCCTTTTTTTCCTATGAGCATTGATATTTCTACATTAAAAATTCAATTTCAAAAGTTTCACTTCAATATCTTTTAAACTTATTATTTCATTTTATATATTTTAGATGTTATGGTAAATGAAACGGTGAACAAATGTTTAAAGCCAACATGTATCATTTTACAACATGTTGTAAGCTATCCTTTTATTGTTTTGAGAAGACAGTGTCAAGTACGAAAAAGTTTTCATTATTTCAAATATGTATCATAAAAATATAATTGAAAGATAATGTGTATAAACAAATGTAATCTGTTTCTGTACAATTTAGGAACACAAAAAAAAAGTTATTTATTTCTATCTCTTAAATAATAAAATAAAAATATATATTATAGATTTAGTAAATAGAACATTTTTCACCGAAAATATTTTATCATCATCTCTTTAGCTTCAATATCAACTATTTGGTGTCAACCTTGCAATTTTAAAAGGATTTTTTACTACTTGTCAACCCAACACAGCTATATTTTGGCTGATAAAGCCAGCTTACTGGCTTATTATTATTAAATCTCCCGTATGATCACTTATTCAGAAACCAACAGCAAATAGCTGAAGTGAAGACTGAATAATACACTGTACCATACCACGTCCAATGTATTTCATTACTTATCATTTATATTAATGGGCTATCAAATAAAACTATAATATTTGTTAATAACATTACAGTTGTTAATAGTGAGAACGTACTCGGACTGGTTCTTACGTTAGACGTATAATAATTCCCCATTACATTAGTAGTGTAGATATCTGTACTATCAATCGATCAGATGACCCACGAACACATCACGCATGCACATAACTACACAGTTCACTATACTTATTTTATACTATACAACATAGATCATTGATTTTTGGCAGGCAAACTCTTCTATCTCCAGTGATTCTATTTAAACGGCAGTACACTACATAGTCTGATTGGTATTAAGTGCATTTAACCAGTTCCAGTACTCACTATAATATTTAGTGCCCCTGTCCTTAACAATATTAATAACTTAAAATGAGACTACTGTAATTTTTACACTGTACCCTTCAATTGTATTTAACTTCTGCATAAAATAATAAAAATTGAATCATGTTTTTAACTTATATAAACAAATTTTCAGTTGCACTATGATTCCACATGCTATCATATTGTTCCATTTACTTTAATTCCTGTAGCATATAGACTCATGAAAATTCAAGGTGTTGCAGTATTATGGAAAGGTTTTGGAACAGTTTTACTTATCAAAGGATTGACTATGGCTGTTGAAGCTTTTTTATCAGAATTTTTTGACTGGCCAAAGTAATTTAAATTTATTTTGAATAAGATTCTTTGTATATTATTGTAAAATAACAATATATTTATAGGGAAATGTCATCAATTACTAATTCAAAGAGTTTTGGAAAACATTTACTACTTAAATGGTAATACTTTTGTTTTTAATTCTGTAATATTAAGTTTATTTTTCCTCTTAAAACAATATGTTATAAACTTGTTTATAAATTATGAAATTTTTTGTACTGAACTACATAAGTTTTTCTATTATATCTACTCTAGAACCTTGTATGATAGACCAAACCAAAAAAAATATTAGAGATAGGCTTAAAAAATAATTAAGATACATTAAAAACAAAAAGAGTTAATAAATGTTTAAAATATCAACAGATTATTGAAACTATGAAAACAATCTAAAACTTAAATAATAGAGTAGTTCAGAATTTTATTTTATTGTTATTTTTTAGCCATATTGATATGGTAGCATTCTATGGATGTAAACATGTAGAAACTAGATTTAAAAAAATTCACCAAGCTGTGAATTAAAAGTTTGGATAAAAATCAATTTTTTTGTTTATTTTTACATCTCTATTTTTATGTCTTGTGTCATAGATATTTTACTGACAAAAATTTTAAATATGTAATCTACATAAAAAAAAATAAGTAACACTTGACTGAAATTTAGTTAAATATTCGCTAAGTTATAAGGCTTCAAATAAAAATAAAACAATTTTTAAGTTTTGCAACTTTTTTAAAGCTTTTTTTTGTATTTGAATTCATAAATTGGTTAATATTCAACTAAATTGTTTGTTTTTTTTATGTACAATATTATAATACTATTTAATTGTTTTCAATAAAATATCTATGATACAAGATACAATAATTTAATTTTTACTTAAACCTTAAGCTTACAAGTTAGGGAATTTTATTTATATAAAGTGTAAAAACACAGAAAGCTACTGTAGCAACATAGTCAAAAGTAAAAATATAATGGGAATTCTATACCAGCCTAATAAATAATTACAAAAATTTGAGTATAAGAAATTTAATAAATATTTTTATTCCTTTTGAAGATCGATTTATAATTTTTAAATATTCATCAATTCTTTATTTATTTAAAGTGTAAGTTTAAGTCTTGTCACACCATTTTATACTGCATGTCTTGTGGAAACTGTTCAAAGTATTATTGCAAGTGATAAAACTGCATTTTATGATGTTTTCAAAGAAGGATTTTTTAGGTTTCTTCAATGGAATTACCCACAAAAAGGTATGATGGAAAAAACAATACATTTGTTTTTCATTTATTTATCAAAAATAAAATAATTTATTTTTTACTAAAATATTATTATTTAATAAATATTTATAAAAACTTAAATCAAGTAATTTTAATTGCATGCTTAAAAAGTAAATCTCTTCAAAATCTAGGTGGGCGTTAATTTCCCATATCAGCACTAAATTTTAAAATCTTGAAGAATAAAATTTCATAATCTCTTATAAAATTTTAATTGTTAAATATTTAAATATTGTAGCAAAATAAAATAAATCATAAAATAATATTTAATTGATTATGTTAATGAAACCTCAAAAAATAACTAATAAATTAAAAAAAAAAAATTGACTGTTAGTTTAATAGAACTAAACAAATCTATTGTCTTAATATATAACCTTGTGGAATTTTTTCTAGTTATATTTTCTAATATGTTACAAATTTTACTATATTTTTTAGGACGTATGTTACCAATTTGGATTTTGGTCATTCCCACTGTTTTATATGGAGTTCTAAAGTATACATCTAATATTGTTATAAGTAAATGTGTCAAGCATTCATTAGTTAAGTATGAATTATATAAAGTCCGTCAAACTAATGTCACATCAAACAAAAATTCATTTGCTGATGGTGAACAGTTTGAAGCAATATCTGATTTGTCAGCCTCAGCTATAAGTGATGCTATACTTTATCCAATTGAAACCATTATGCATCGTCTTTATTTACAAGGCACACGTACTATAATTGATAATCTTGATACAGGATATTCAGTTATACCTATTTTAACTGGATATGATGGGCCAATTGATTGTTTTGTAACTACTGTTACACAAGAAGGACGATTAGGTCTAATTAAAGGATTTGGGGCTTTGATACTTCAAACAATTGTAGTAGGAGTGTTGTACAAAGTGATAAAAATAAGTCTTGTAAAAATTATTGATACTTATGACTCTTCAAATCCATCTACTTCAACAACTAACAATACTCATAGTATTCAACATAATGTAAGTGAGCAATTTAACGTTGGACCTTCAACTTCAAGATCAGTCATTCGATCTACATCTTTTATGATGTAATCTTGAGAATAAATATTTTAATTTTTCAAATTGAAAACTGTGTGTTTAGTTATGTTAGCTTATGAATATTTCATTAATGTACAATAATAGTTTTGTTATTTTGTTGACCTGTAAATTGTAATATTAAATAATAATTAATAAATTAAGTATTACAAAAGACATATTTTTTTTGTTAAATTTTAATAAATGTATATAGTTCATAGATATTTATTAATTTAATCTAGACAAGTTAAATTTTAAATTGTTGTAATATGGACAGTGAAGTATATACGGAGGGATGGTGGATTATTCTGCTCTTATAAGCATAAAGTAGTAAGTGCCAAAAAATTAAGAATTAGTTTTTATACTAAAATATTTGTTAGGCACATTTTTTAATTTCATAGCGTAAGTGCAATATATTTTATGATAAAATGATTACATGTATATGTATAGTTTTTTAAATATAAAAATAATTCTCCACAGAATCTCAATATCAGTCTATACTATAGATCACAATATACTAAGTAATCTCACAATAACCTACCACATTATACAGCTATTTTGCTTTATTAATTAATGAAGTTACACATACAACATAATAAAATGCTTTAAAAATTAACTGTATCAATTCTAGTCGTTTGATTTATCGTTTAAGGTAGATGATATTGTTACTTAACTCTTTTTTTTATGTTAGAATACAAACTATAATAGTATTGACATTGGTCAGATTGAAAATTTATGGATAGATACTAATAATTGGTCTTTGTGAGTGTTTAAATCTCAAAAGAATTAATTCTGTAAAGTATCTTGGGATCAAACTCGGGACTCCTTGTGTCGAAAAATACTTTTATACCCATTAGGCCAAGCGTACTCCTTACTATTTCTACTAATTCTGTCTTTTGTAATTTTGTGTTGTCAAATGCAACAACTATCCTTAAAATGTATAATTTTAATTTATGTGTGGCGAAATAAAATTATTATTACTGTTATACTCGGTATTTTATATTAATTAACAATGAGATTGTTAATTATAACAATGAGCTGCAAACCAATCATATTAAATATTGCAGAAGGAGAAACAATGAGATAAAAATAATAAGATGATTTAAAAAGTTGCTTTTCTCAAAACTACGATCTAAGTACTTACAACCTACAACCTTATTAGGACAATAATGCTTCCCCCATTTTCAGATGCATTTACATACATTAATATCTATTAAAGGTACCTATGGTGCTATAAACAGATGATTAGAAAAAGTCCTTAGCTCATTAAAAAAATCCTGAGTATGTTACGATTGCTGAAGATAACTTGAATATCAAGATTAAAACGTTAAACTTGTTATATCTAGTTAATTAATTTAATATAAGTTAATAAGTAATTAAAATATGAAGCATTATATAAGACAACTGATTTGATATTTATTTTGCGGATTTGAAGTGATATTATTTATAGTGATGTATTTTTATTTTTATATAATAATACATTATATAATATAATGTAATAAAATATTAATAAATTATTTACTGCAATGGGAGAAAAAATATTTAAATAAAAAATAATTAACATTTGTAGGGCTTATTTTCAAGATGCATAAGAGTGAAAAGAAAAGAAAACTTGTTTAAGATAAAAGGGAGGTAATGATTTGGTAAACTTCGTAAATATTCTTAGATTCAACACATTCAGTAAAGGAATATTACTATAAAAAATGTTTGTATAAAAAATTTAAATGCTTTTGAAATCCTAATTAATGGGAAATCATCGCATGTACGATATATTTTTTATATGAATACTTTAATACGTAAACATTATCTTTAGATATTTTGAAATTATAACATGATGTAGAAAATACTTTAATAATAAAATAAACCCAGCACGAGGGGTTGTGGCACAGTGGGGACGTGGCATATTTGGATCAACTATAATGATATCTGACAGTGATTAAAATCACTATCATAAAAAACGCATTGATGCAAATCTGTAGATAGTATTTAATTTTAAAAAATTGGTGGATTAGCTACATGATCTCCTATTTTCTTATTTATATCCTGATTACAAGTTTATGATTTATAAGAGTAATATATGAATAAATATATAAAGGGAAATGGTTTTATTATAAAAAAAGAAGTATGTCGAATGAAAGAGATATATAAATAGTATTAATCATATATTTCCGGAATACATTCAAAAATTAAGTTGAAAAAGTTCTATTTTTTATATGCATTTTTAAGTTTTGAACACCCCCTGTATAAAGAATAATGGTCCGATTTTTAAAAAAAAGTATGTTGCCTTAAAGAAGAATATAAATAGTACTCAACTTAAAAAAATTTTAATGATCCATACATTTTTTAAAAAGTTATAGCGTTATAATGTTAAAAATATAAAAAAAATTTTTTTTACAGAAATCGTATTTTTTTTTATTAACTTTGATGTCTGTTTTACCGTGAAGACAAAATAAAGTCGGAAATTTTTTTTCCATAATAAAGTATATTACATTAGATTTAATTTAAGAGATATATAAAAGTATCAGACTTTCCGGAACACTTACAAAAGTTAAGTTGAAAAAGTTGTCATTTTAAATTACCCCTGTGGACAGGTAATGGATCAGATTTCTAAAAAAATATACCAAATGATAAGTAAAGACACTGTGCATCTATAAAAAAAAATTATATTGATTTGGTCATTTTTAAAAAAGTTATAGTAGTTTTAAGTAAAAAAAATTTCGAAAATTAGCGATTTTTGAATTTATAATTTTTTTAGAGATTTCTCCCATTTACGGGAAACGAGGGAAATTTTTGAGGGTAATGTCTTCGACTAGATACGATTTGTGATCTTTTGACTGTATCGTTGAAAGAAATCGGTTCGGTGAGAGCTGAGAAAAAGTGGTAACAGACACAAAAAAAAAAAAAACAATAGAAAAACACATCATAGTAAAAATACATACAAGTGAAACTAATATAAGCGTGTTAATTAATACCTTCTCAGCTTCGCATCGAAGCTAAAATTAGACCTAATACAAAATTAAGTTTCACGAAACTATGATATTCCGAATATAAATAAATTGTAAAATTATATTAGTACCTATAAATTATTGAGATACTACAATCTTATTCTAAGAGTGTAATATCAGCAGCTTATCCTCTAACTGATTTAACTTTGCATTTTCAATAAATATTTAAACTTAAAAAAAAATCATCAAAAAATTATTTGGATATGTACAAAGAACGATACAGTATGATAATTTGTAACTGTCCAAGTCTCATTTAATCAGTTTCAAATTTATTTTTCAGTATTTCAATTTTTATTACGCATCTATTTATTTTAAATAAATAAATGTGTAAAAAAACACCATGGACATTAAGTTGCTAGGATTTCTTTTTTATATTGTCATAAATAAAATAAATTATCAATTTCTTAAGATTTAAATATTTTGCTCGACAAATATAGAATTATTATCTTGTTATCTACCTCGTTATTTGAATGGCTGGTGGTAATTAGTGATTATAATTCTAAGGTATAACTTGTGTTTATCTTGTCAGTTTTATACATGATAATTTGATAACGCAATATTTAAAATTTATCATTCGTTTAAGTAAAATTATAATATTAATTGAAATATTTTGTGTTTTTTATACTAAATCAAAGAATTTAGTTAAGTTTACTTTGGCGTCATCAAAATGACAGATGCTGGTGAAGGGGTAATATTTTCATTATTAACATAAAATTATTTAATAACTCAAACATTTTAGAATATTAAGATTTAAATTACATTTAATATTTATACAATAAATAAGAATTTTTATTGAGTTACTAATAATTATTACATTATTATTTCAGACACTTTTTGTAGTTGATGAAGTGAGTGATATTATTAAGGATTCTATTGAACATGTAATTGGAAGTCAGTTATATCAACAAAATATGGTTAATAAATGGACAGATTCAGTTGTAGAAAATTGTCTTACAAGGCTTTGTAAACTTGCTAAACCTTTTAAATATATTGGTTTGTATAATATGATAAATGAACAGTATTCATAATAGTAATAAATATTTTTTATTTGTTAGTAAGATTAGTTTCAAATTTTGATATTATATAATTTTAATGCATCATTTAAATTTAAATTATATCTTATAATAACTATTAGTAATTGTTTTGTCTATAAATTTAAAAAGAAAATCATTTTTAGTAACGTGTGCCATAATGCAGAAAAATGGAGCAGGATTTCATTCAGCTAGTTCATGTTACTGGGATAATTTAACTGATGGTAGTTGTACAGTAAGATGGGAAAATAAAACTATGTATGTCATAGTATCTGTTTTTGGACTTGCAATTTAAACATTATTATTTATCAGCTACAGTAAAATATTGTCCTTAATTAAAGCTTCTCCAATATTAAGTATTATAAATATGAACTACAAACCAAGTTTAATATATTATTTAATAAAATTTAACTTAAAAAGTAATATTCATGTTTAAAATTTTTTACCATTGTGGATAAACCCTTTGTTAATTATCTTATTTATATAGTTTTACATTTTTATACAAACAGAATTATTGTATGTAAAAAGTTTATTTTGATTAAATACTGCTACTAATTTAAGTTTCATTATTATAAAAAATATTATTTAAAATCATAATTGTCAAAAGGTTATAAATATTAAAGGCATAGATAGGTTTTAGAGAGACTATTTATGCCAAAACACCTCTATATCCTTTCGTTAAAGCACAATATGTTACTGAATTAGCTAAATAGACAGCCATCCTAGCTTTATTTTATACATACATACATACATATATATAGAGGCACGTTATGGCCGAGTCGGTAACATGCAGTGCTTGACGCATACTGCCTTGGGTTCAAAACTTAGTCACGGGCAGCTTAATTTGCCGAATGAGAGATCAGTTTGGTAATTGGCGTCGCTATTCCTCTCTACGGCGACAGATTTATCTCCCGTCCCGGATTATAAATGGTTAAGAAACCTCCTCCTTTGGGGGAAGCCTCTACGGCCCTTAATGGGCTGGTAAAGCAGTAAAATTATATATACATGTTATTTATATTAATACAGTTATGCTTGCTCGTAAAAAAAAATTAATCTAGTACAATATAGCTCGGTGCAATAGAATCAAACCAATTAATTATTTTTTAAATTTTAAAATAACTTAAATAAATAATAAGCATTGTTTTGTGGTCTTTTTACTATATATTTATAATATAATATTTATAAAATGTCTGAAGCAGTTGATTCATAACTCATTAAACTATGTTAAAAATAATTTTATAATACAAAATAAAATAATGAAACAAATATACACATATTAATATGTGTATTGTATTTTATTTGATCAACTACAATATTTTATTATTAATATTATTCACATTAACTAATTTTTTTTTAATCCAGGAACCCTGTACAAAAAATCTCCATTATCATCATAAAAGCAATCATTTACTTTATAAGTAAATCCTTCTTTCCATACATTTTTTGGTATTCGAATTGCTAATGGATATTCAGTCATATTATTAATCAAATGAGATGCCTCCTTTTTTGATATGATCATGGTAGACTCTTGAAAATTTGTCTCGACTAAAGGATGATTTAATTTATTATTGACAAAATTTTCAGTTTGAGAATTGTAGCAAGAATTTTTTTTTATCGATTTAATATTCAATTCTTCCAATATAAAGTGTTTCTTTTTTGTATCAGTATTCAAATCATTTTCATAAATTCTTAACAAACTTTCAGTATTTGATTCAAGTTGTTTTTGATCATTATTTACCACTGGTTCACCCAAATAACTTGTTATAATTTGACCAAATTCTTTAGGCTTTAAATAATCTGATGCTGGCCTCGGTATAAATTTTTCTGCTTCTAAAATTTTTATAAGATTTATTATTAATAGCAATAGTGAATAATACATAATATTAATGAAAATAAGTTTTATAAACAGTTCTTTATTTTTAATTAAAATATCAAATCATACCTTCTAATGTAATTAATTTTGGGCGTCTATCAGAAAATTTAGATAAATGATGTTTAATATCTTCAGGTAATGAATATTGTAATGTACCACTACGAAAGGACTCCCAATTATGTTGAACTAACTTATCATGTCTTATTATTTTAATGCCTTCATCTGCTATCCATTTGGACTTTAATATTTTCTGAAAATGAATGTTATTTGATCATATAATCATATTTTTATTAAAAAACCACAAGGTGAGTATACAAGCATTAAAATATCAAAAACTTATAAGTTTTGAATAACTTTTGATCTATTTATGACTTCATATGTACCATTTAAAAAATAACAATTTTTTTTTTGATGTTATTGTAATATATAATACATTATTTATATAAGAAAGTTTTTTGAATGTAATTTTTAAAAAATACTAAATAGTATTTTTATACCTTAGATAGGTTATAATAGTTAACAAAATATTTTAACAAGGTTGTATTAACAAAAATTGCCATCCTGAAGACTTTTTAAAAGAAAAAGGATACTTTTAAAATGCTACTTAAGGTTCTTAAATACCCGAATATTAATAAAATATGATACTAAAATCATTAATAAGCTATAGAAATATCTTGATTATTTACTTGAATAATTTCAGGAGTTGCAGGGAAACATAATGATAAGGTTTCAGGAGTCCACTCTTTTGGAGTTTTATTGTGTAAAAATTTTATTTGTTGCTTTTCTAAATAAGTAAGAAAGTTTGGCAGTGTCGATTGAATTTTAAAATATTTTCTTTTGATATTATAGAAAGATTTTAAATTCTTTTCTTTTTCTTTTTCTCTGAAATAAAATAAAAATGTAAAATACTCAATTTTTGAAGATATTTTTTAAATTAATAAAATTTCTTTATGATAATTAAAATTCAAATGAAAATAATTCATAAAAATTAATGTTAAACCAAATAATTACTTTATATATTCGTCATAAAATAAATGTGAATTAAGCATGTCATTTTCCCCTCCTTCAATTTCCTCCATTGAAATATCAACTTTATCTGGAGATTCTCCTTCTAATGTCATGGCTAACAAACGATTCCCTCCTGGATTGCCTTTTATTTCATTTCTACATTTGATTGCAAACTTAGTTTTTACACTCTTACGGTATGTTTTTACTGTATATTTAGTTGGAATATGTAGAACATTAAAAATCAATTTTTTAGAAAACATTTATATTTCAGTTTTCAAATATTTTAACTAGATATAAAAAATGACTTAATATGAAAAATGTATACTAAATTTGAATAAAAAGATAATCATATCTAATTAATTTATATGTTTACCAATCTAAAGAGAAGCTATAGTTTATAAATTTGATTTGTTAGAAGTCTGCTTTCAAATTTTGTGAATTTATGTTTGTTCGTCCGTCCTAATGATAACAGTTTTTAAATGATAAATTGATACGGATTTATTGATAATAACACAGACTATATGAAAACAGATAGTTCACTTAGCCGAGAACAATAGAAAAAAAAATCAAGCTCTCTGATTGGGCAGAAGACAAAGCAGTAGAGACTGTTGTACAATTTCATATTATTGTGCAAATATTTTACAATAATATTGTACAATTCCTCTATCAGTTACAAAAATTATCAATGATATTGGAATTAGTGACACTATTGCATTTTAAATACTTGAACAATAATTAATTATAACTGTTCGCATACTTATTTTGTTTAAATAACATTTAGTCTTAATAAAAATGTTTGTTTTTTAAATATTGTCTGACATTATGAATATTGTGTTTAATTTGTATAAAAGTTGACATTTTGTGTAGTTTATTATTTTATAAATTTTTTGTCAACGTTTAGTTAGTTTTACCTATAATATATGAAGCTGTAATTTTTTGTAAAACTGTTAATAGTATTACATTTTTTATAAAATTTGAATTATTTTAGATATAATAAATAATAATATAAATTATGTAATAAATTTTAAATTTTTATTATTATTATTATTGTTAGCCATTTTTTGGCCAAATTATAGCCATTTTCACCGTGAAGACAAAATAAAGTCCGAAATTTTTTTTTCCCAAAATAAAGTATATTACATTAGCTTTAATTTAATATATATATAAGAGCGTCAGTATTTCCGGAACACTTTCAAAAGTTAAGTTGAAAAAGTTAATTTTTTGTGAAAAAGTTGTCATTTTGAATTCCCCACTGTGGGCTGGTAAAGGGTTAAATTTATAAAAAAATATACCAAATAATAGGTAAAGACATCAAACATCTATATAAAATTTTCATTTTTGAAAAAGTTATAGTAGTGTTAAGAAAAAAATGTCAAAAATTATTGATTTTTAAAATTGTAATTATTTTGGAGATATCTCCCACTTATGAGGAATGAAGGAAAATTTTTCAATTTTTGAGGGTAAGGTCTTCGACTAGATACGATTTGTGATCTTTTGACGTATCGTTGAAAGAAATCGGTTCGGTAATNGTTACTGCTCGAGTCAAATTTAAGTAGTTAATAATTTACATTATAAAAACTGATAATTATTTAATTTTCATGACTAATTTAGGGATTTTGAGTCATAAATAAGGGATTATGGGTTTAATACCTTAATTTAATGATGTATTAAAATAATTTATGTCAATAATTATGTTTATATACGGAATTTCATAATATTTATGCTACAGAAGATTTAATAATGAAATAAATTAAAAGAATTTTTGCGCTCATACATATGGTTGCACTGATTTCACTTCTCCAATCAAAAAACCGTTTTGTTATTGGGCCAAGTGAACTATCTGTTTTCATATAGTCTGTGATAATAACTAAAACAGTGGTGCCTCCAATTTTATTTTGCTGGGGCACTGTTTAATTTCCCGCTCTTTCTTTGAGCTACAAGAACTAAGTGTGTGTAAATAATAAATATTGTTATCACAACAACTTAAAAGATTGATCAAAAATAATTCTCATGAAATTTTGATTGATGATGTTTAAATATATTCAGTATCTGTTCATTATGGTTCAAACAGATTTGGTTTTTTTTAATGACGCTTGGAGATAATATTTTTGACAATTTCTATCCGTACAAGATTACAGAACAATGGAGCCATTGTTACCATCAGAAGTCGCTCGTCTTATTTATGGTAAGAAAAATGCTTATAATTGTGTTTACTAAATTTATCAAAATAATACTGGCAATAGCTTAAAATATCAAATTTTATTGCTAGTAAATTTATTCTGAACAAATAACGTCTTTAGGGTTGTCTGACATTTTATTTGAGTTAGAAATACTTAGTATTAAGTAGTATTAACAACTAAACTTATATATATTTTTCAAGTATAACATTGTTTTATTATATTTTATTTATTTATAGGATATTTGAAAAAAGAGCTAAATGAAGATACAGCCGAGTGTTTTTTAAAAACATCACCTCATCTAAAAGAATGTTATCAAATGTTCCAGGTCAATCGTAATTTCAATTGCAAAGTTAATGGTTTTAGTTTGCATGATATATTTGATCAGTTTGGTGCAATGTGTAGTTTAAGTAAGTTTGTAATTGTATTTATATTTTTGTATATTATAATAATTTGTGAAAATAATTTTAACTTTTTGTAGTACTTAAATTTTTATGATTTTTTTTAAATATAGTTAATGAACATATATCAGAAGACTATGAATCCAAAACACTAATTGAAAAATTACAATATTTGTTAAGTGTATATAATAAAACACACAAAATAGATAAATGTATTGAAACTGAATTTGATTGTAATTATGATTCAAATAGAAATGTCACTGCTGAAAATAACACTTCACCGACAAGAAGTGTTGCAACAACTTTAGAAAATGTAGAAATAAATTTATGTAAAGAAGTAGAAAAGTCAAATTTCATAAGTTCAAAAAGTCATGTTTCATCATGTTCATTAATTGATACAACATCTAATGTTAATAATAATAATGAATTTAATAGTACTGACATAACAAACCATTCTAGTGTTCAAATAAGTCAATGTGAAACTCCTTCAAAATTGATTTATAGTTCAAAGAAATGTTTAACACCCAAAGCCCAACAAACATCTTTTAACAATTTACCATTTGTCAGTCAGCAAAATGCATCTGATTTGTAAGTGTAATTTATGTCATGTCTAAAAAAATTAACATTATGAGTAAATTTCCCTAAGCAATATGTATTCAATTTCAATATAATAAATATTTTTCTATATATACATGTAGACTATATTTTATATATAATAGCAGAAGCGTAAGTTTATTCAGTATTCTATACAAGTATTCACAACATCTAACAATTTTTTCACTCAAATACTCTTTTATTGTTTTATTTTATGTGACATTGTACACATAAATTATTTTTAAAGCCTACTTAAAAGAATTTATGTCATAATTCATATCTAAAATAAAATTTAATGAAAATAACAGACTATATTATGCCGTATCACAAAAAGTGAATTTGATTTAGAGTAATAGTAATACAAAATAATTAAAATAAAATTATTTTTTTTCGCTAGCTAATCAATATGAATAATATAAATTATTACATATTGTTTCCTTAATAGCAACTACTTGTATCTGAAAAAGTGTATGATATTGCACATAAGACTTTGAAATATCATAATTTAATGATATTTATTGTTACTATTTTAATTTTTTTATAATTACAAGTATATGTATTGAAAATTTAGTCATTAAAATTACACATAAGATTTTGAATATTTTGATATCATAAAAAAAAGAAAACAAAATGTAGTACACCTTTGATCCCAAAGAAAAAATGTTGTATTGGGTTTTAATTAATTTAGTATATTTATCACATGAGTTTTTAAAAAAATTGAAAGTACATTTATAGGAAAATTGTTATTAATATTTTGTTAATTACTGGAGAAGTAAAATGTGAGATACAATTATTTAAATAAAAGTTTTTAATTTAATTTTTAGTTCTATTAACAAATTAACATATTTAATTTTCCTATATTTTTTAAAAGTTATCTACTTTTTTCTATGTTATAAGTTTTATTTTAAATTAATATTTTTTAGTGTACCTTCTGATTGTATTCAAATACCAGAAGCAACACCTTTAGATTCAATGCCTGGATTGGCAAAAGAAGAAAAACCTAAAGAAACATCAATTATCGTTGATACTGGTGAATTAGTTGATACATTTTTAAAAGATAAAAGTCTTTTAGAAAAAATTGCCAATAATATCAATAAATCATTAGAAATTCATGATGATAATTTAGAACAAAGTGTAAAAATATTGGATCAACCTTCACTAGAGAAAGCTATTGATTCCACTCAATCAGACCCTCAGATTAAGAATATTTTGGATGAATTTTTAGGTATTTCATATTTAACTATATAGATATTAAAATTAAAAAAATTATATTTAATATCTAAATAGTAATAAAATTATTTTATTTAATTGACTATTGAACATTATTTTATAATTTATATAAACTTAAAAAAATGTATAAATAAAGCTTGTAATTGTCTATTTTTAGTTTTTAATGTAAATAATGATGAAGAAACTTCAAAAAATCAACCTGATAATTTACAAAGTTCTATAAAATCTCGACTACGCAGTGCTAAGAAAAAAGGCAAATTAAATTTTTTATTTATTATAGTATTTTACTTCTTTAATCTATTTTTAAATTAACTAAAAATTATGTTAATATTCTAGATGATACACCAAATAAAATTAAGAAAAGTATAAATAACTCCAAACACATATCTAGTAGTAACGAAGAATGTAAGAATATTGAGGATAGTATTATTCTGATTGGTGAAAGTAATGATAAATCAATTTATATTGATAATTACTCAGTGCTATCTAATCAAATAATCTTACAATCAAACATTTCGTCAAATGGACAATCATATACATTAGATTCTTCAAGTTTAACACCAGAAATAATACATGGTATGTTTAATATTTCTTAATAATTTTAATTAGAGAAAGTGAAAGATAAACTTAAGCTTAAAATTACTAGAAAAATTAGTTCTCAAGAAAAAAGTTTCTAGGTTTGTTTTTATAGTGCGAAAATATCAGAAAGTATATTTTTTTCTTCTTTATCTTTTAATATCATGCCTCTAAATATAAATCTTGATATCCTTTCCTATCCTTTGTCACTGTCCATCCGCAGTCTTTGCATATTAACCTAGACCTACTTAAAAGTCTTCCCTATAGGATCTTTTCTGACATGCATAACTAGGGATCTTTGCTTATGCCAGGCATAAGCATTCACTTACATTAGTCTTCTTTTTGTGTTTTCTTTAACTATGTGAGGTCTCTGAATTTCATTGTGTAAAATATTCTCCATTTATTTGTTTCCCTATAAAAGATCAGTTAAATATTTTTCGTTTTTTTGGTTTTTCTCATTATCCTCAGAATGATATAGTACAAAAGTTCATAATAATGTTTTAATGTAAAAATTTATTAATTTCTAGACAAAATTCTGGATTTAAGAATTTTTTGTAATCCATAATATCATTTATTTGCTTGTTGAATTATAGATAATATCTTTGTCTTAATGTCATTATATTGACTAATAATACAGTCACACAAAAAAAAATCTATTTTCAGGTTCGAGAGTCTAACCATGTTTACTGTATGTTTTTGAGGTCGCTGAATACGAATCTGAGGTCGAAATCATCCCATTGGGGTTATATAATATGGTAACGAGGTACCCGGGGGTGATTGTGTTATGATTTCAAAAGGTTAAGGAGTTTGATGTGAAGGGTTTATCGTTATATGGCTTCATGAAGGGTTTTTTTTGAAGTTATGAGAAACCCCGACCTAATGGGATGATTTTGACCTCAGATTCGGATTCAGGGACCTCAAAAACATATAGTAAACATGGTCAGACTCCCAAACCCGAAAATTGATTTTTTTTTGTCTGTGGCTGCATAATCAATCCCAAATATATAAATTGCAATACTTTTATAAAAGTATTTTCTTCTAATTCAAAATCCTGTTCTTTTCCGTCATTTCTGTTACTTCAGCTTACAATTAAGTATTCCTTATTATAGTGATCTGGCCTTTAATATTTATTTTTGATTTATATTTAAATTGTTCATGTAATTGTCATTTAAAACTCTTACATATATTGGTATCTTTTAATATGTTCAAGTCGTATCTGTCCATTTTTAATTCTTTTTCAGGTACTCAGGAATTTTTAGTTATACTGTCAAATTACCTTTAACTAAGTAGTGATCTAACAATCAGTTTCTCAGACCATTTTTAGATCTTATATAAAATTTTTAAGAATTAATGAGAACATGGATATATCTAGCTGACATATCTACCATATAATGCATTTAATGCTTTTCAAGTTCTTTTGTAAATATCTTTATGTGGGAACATTTTACTCTTTTCAATAAGTCCTCCAACACTTGCAAAGTCTATAAGTATAAGCCCATTCTCATAAGTAACATTGTTGAACATGTTTAATGTTCCTCATCATTTTTTGTAAGAAAGATTTCTATAATTTAAGACTTTTAAAAAAAAATTTGTGTTTAGTAGAAAAATATTTGAAGAAAAAAAAGTATTTTAATTTTATAACTAAACTGCTAGAAACCATAATTTATTTTTATATTTAATTATTAGGTAAATAAACATGGTATTTTATCTTGTGGTAAAACTCAACTGAATTCAAACAAGTTAAAAATGATGTTTTACTAATATATTAATTGACTGACTTAAAAATGTATTCAATAATTAAAATTCTTTTCATGTAATTTTTCATTAAAATATACATATTTTCTATCTGTTACAAAAAATAAATTGTTTTTAATTGGTATATTATTTCTATTTCCTATTTGTTTTTTAATTTATTTATTTGTTATTAAATTAACTTTATCTTTGTCATTATTTTGTTAATGTATGATAACATTTCAGAAGAAGACTATCCTGGAAAATCTAACTATGTGAAAATAGCACCAAAAATTACACCGTTGTATTTATCACAACAAGGTAATTTAATAAATAATTAAAAATTAATATAAACTTTTCAGTTAAAAAAAGTTAGAAAATTTTTTTACTTATTTTATTTCTTATACTATAAAATAATTAAATATTTTTATAATTATTAAATTAAAAGTTTATTCTCGTTATGTATTTATTTATTGATCCTTTTTTTTTTTGAAATTATAGGACAAGAAAAGCATTTTTTTCCAAAGAGAAAACGAAGAACATTAGAAGAATTTGGTGTAAGAAGTAAATTTAGAAGAACTAACCTTGCACCTATTCAACCAATGAATTCAATAAAACCAACTCCTTCTATTGTTATTCAAGTGCCAAACCAAAGTACTCTTGATGAAGCTCAATCAAAAAATGATATTATTATTGAAAATATTATTAGATTACCTGATATAACTAAAGAACCATTTAAAGTGAAAGAAAATATTTCTCATGATACACCAGATGACAGATTAAAACCTCCACAAAACAGAAGTATGAGTACACCTCGTAGACGTAGTACTCATATTAGATGCCTTGATTTTAGTACACCACAACCAAAAAATAGTTTAAAAAACAATGCTCGTTCAAAACTCTTTAATGATTCTCCAAAAAAAAATAAAAAAATTGATGAAGAACCTCCTCATAGTCCTATTCCAAAACTGCAAGCTGATTGGGGTTCAGTTAATGGCTTTGAATCAATGGTAAAAAATAATAATGTAAAGAAGCATTGGGATTCAGATATTAGAGAAATGGTAGGGGCTGGAATATTAACATCTGATGCTGATGCAAGATCAAGAAAATCACCTAGAAAAAAGAAAACACCTAAAAAAAGAGTTAATTTAAATAAAAATATAAAAGAATCAAAATCTTTGAACAACAAACAAAGTAAACTTGTAAGTGATAAATTATTAAAAAATAAAAATGTTAGTAACAATGAGGTTGTTGGAAAAAATGAAGAGACTTCATTATTAAATGAAAAAATTAATAAAAATTCATCTGATATAAAAAAAATTCAAAATGATTCTAGTAATATCAACCACAATGAACAACCAAAGCAAACAAATTTCAATACTTGTTATACTCAGGAGAATGAAAATTCATTAATAGTAGAAGAAAATTTTACAGCTAATATAAACAATACTCGCCCATCCATTGATGAAACTGCAGAAAATTTTACTGAGAATACCATTATGTCTTCTAATTTAAAACAAGTTGAAAATTCTTTAAAACATAATAGTTCAAATAATGTAATATTATCTTTGTGTGATCTTAATAATAGTTTTGAGAACTCAATAAAAGATTCTAAAACTGTTATTTCTAAAGAAATCACAACTATTAACTTGGAAACACCTTTTAAAAATTTGGAAACTCCACTAGAAATAAGTAAAGAAAATTGTATAAAAGATGTTAAAAAATCATCTCAGTGTAATCAATTAGAAAGCAAGACTAACACTAATGGTCAAAATAATCAATCCATAATACTTAACAAACTTAACTCAGATTCATTTGAAAATTCAAAGGTGGTTTCAAAAAATAATTATACTACTTTAATAAATCCTGTCATTTTTAACTCCGAAACTGGCAGCAATACAATGAATACTCCAAGTTCAGACTGTGTTTTGGTAGAAAATCCCTGTATTAATAATTTCACTTCACCAACTCAATTAGAAAATAAAACAGTTGAAAATGTTAAATCAACTGTATATCAAAATCTACCAAATCTTGAAGATAATAAAAAATTATGTGAGTTAAGTAATTCTATAAAAAATATTGAGAGTGAAAGTCAATCAAATAAGCATATTATTATAGAAACACCTTGCAAATGTGATGATTCTGCAGTTGATGTTCCTGAAACCCCTATTTCAAAGCTTTTGCGGGAATGTGATCCTAGTAAACTCATGACTCCAATAGCGTCATCTCCATTCAATTGTGAAGAATCATTAGAAACTCCATTAACAAAAGTATTCAGAGAAACATCTTATTTAAATCGTCCTCCTATTTCCCCATTTCCTCCTACACCTGGAAATTCGAGATCTGTTGATACAATAATATCACTACCTAGTCAAGAATTAAATATAAACTTTAATAATCAGCAAAAAGCTACTATTTTTAACTCTGAATCAAAATTAAATAATTCTAAAGAAATATCAGTTTCAAAACATGAGGTAACTTTACCTAATAAGAACAAATCATTAAGTAATATTCCAAAGAAAAACAAAGCTAAAAATTCTATTCAAAGGACAAAAAATGAATCTGCTATTGAATTAAAAAATATTGAAGACAAAAAGAAACAAGTGTATGAATCAGTTAAAATTGAATTATTTGGAAGTGAAATATCATCAAGTTCTAGCGGTGATGAATTAGACAAAAAAAAACAATATGATAATTTTATAACAACAAATAGCCTAACTAAGAAACTTGAAATACCAGTTAAAAAAGAAAAAAAATCTGGATTTAAACTTATTCCGCAGAGAATGCATATTAAAGCTGCACAACCTTTTAGTTGTGATGTAATACAACCATCATTAAATATGGTCACCACAAAATCTCAATTGACAAATTTTCCAAAACCAAAATTATTTTCTCATGTAGAATCATATAATACTAATAAAAAAACAATGAAGTCAATGGTACATTTTGATGACCCAGTTGAAATAATTATGAATGGTACGCCTAAAAAAGATCAAAATCAGTCTTCCATTATGACTTTTTCAAAAAAAAATATATCAAAAAAATCTAAATTGAATACAATAGAAACTCCTGAGCCACTAATTGGATTAAGTAGATACTTAAGTAAACCTAGTACACCTTACAAATGTAGGGCTGATGAAAAATTAACCATACCTAGTACTAAAAAAAAGTCTATTCTGAATGAAAATAATAGCTATGAGAAAAACATTTTTAAGAATACTAGTCATAATTTAGATAAGAATTCAGAAGAATCCTATCACCTAAGCAAAAATGAAACCAGACCCTCCCTTAGTTGTGTAAAAAATACATCCTATATAGACAATGATGATGAAGTTAAATTAATGTCTGTTAACTCAAAATTAAATTTAAATAATTCTCAAGCAAACTCCGTTTTAACACAAAGTATAAATTATTTTTCAAGCCCTATAACTTGTGATAAATCTGGATCAACAATTAATAGTAATACTTCATGTATAACAATTGGTCATAATGAAACATCAAAATCTCAATCAATATTACCTGATCAAATATGCTTAGCTGATTTTTTCAAAAGTCCAAAAATATATGAAATCATCACAGAAGATGATGAAAGAGAGGTAAAAAATATTTTATTACTAGCTTAAGTATTATGATTATTATTATTACTATGTAAAAATTATGTCACATTGGGTGTTTTCTAGTGCAAATATGACTTTACTAATATCTGATAATCAAAAAATTATTAAATAAAATTATACTCATTTTATCGGGAAGCTCTTGTATACATACTAAATAACACTTAACAAACCCTTAAAAGGAATAATTTGTTTTAATAAACCACATTATTGTTATTTTGATGAAGTAAGCCCTCACAAGCTGTTGTTTATATTTCTATTATTGTTATTAGTAATTGAAATTGTTAAGTCTATGATAGCACAATCACAAGTTATTATGTCTTTGATAAACATAGTAACTTCAGTGATTATTTTAATTTGTCTAAGATTGTTTTTTAAGTAACAGAAAAAGATTTTTTGAAAGAACATTAAAACTCTTTATCTTAATGAGTTTTGAAGGTAAAACCACAGATGTTGTACCATTGAATTCGCCATAAAATTTTCTATTAATATATATATTATTGATCTTTTACACAAAAAAAAACTACTAAACGAAGAATTTCTTTTTTATTTATTTAATTACAATTTAAATTTACACTTTTTTATAAAATTTCCTTCATTAAATTTGTTTTATTTGGATACTATATTAGGTGTATAAACCTTCAATCAAAGATCCAAGGATTGTGTTTAAGTGGTTGGATATTTCTAACCTCTTAATCACTTCTCTGTACTTTCTACATTGAGCCTTAATATGTTTTACTGTGAGCTTTTCTCCACTAGTTTAGCATATAGGTTATTCCGTATGATCTATAAGGTATCAGTGAGTGAGCTTAGTGTGTCCAATGCATAACCTATTCACCACTATACTTAATTTCCTTTTATATTTGTATTTCTCCAATCTATATATTAAGCTTTTGAATTTCCTATTAAAATATATAAAAAGGTTAATTTTTATATTTTATAACTTAAGATAGACATTTTTAGAACATATTATAAATATTTATTATTTATGTTTGAATTGCTATTTTACTAGGTGGTATGCATTCAACTATCACCAAATTTTGATTTACTTAATATACCTTCAGAGTTAAACAATTTTCAACAAAACATTTCACCATTAATTTCTAAAAATTTATTAAATGTTACCTCAGAATTGGAAGATGGTGAATTAGTTAATGATGTTGAAAACTTAATGACTAGTACACCTAAAGAAATTTATGATAAAAAAAATGTAGACAAACAAAGTAGAATTAGGAGGAGTCCATCTTTTTGGGAGGACTCAATACATTATTTATACAAATACAGAGATGATAAGCACAAAGATACAAGTTATCGAAGAAGTAATAATTATAGAGAAAATAGATATGAGCAAAAATATAGGTAATAAAATTTTAATAAACAAGAATTTTTATCATGATTAATTTATTTTTATTTAAAGGCAAACTGGTTTGTATTCTTCTTATCGTGATGAGTACTCACAACTAGATTGTCGAAATAAATATCAAAGGAGTCATTTTTCAAGCTACTCAAAAAGAGAGCCTCGAGAGGAATCAGTTAGAGAAAAAGATAAGTATAAAATAAAAGAAGACAGAAGAAGGAATTCACGTGATTATCGAGCTTATGATGATTATAAAAGATTAGATGAAACGGAAAGGCGTGGTGTTTCTCTTAAAATGTAATTATTCTATTTAAATTAACCAAAAACATTTAATTATTTATTTTTATTATAATAAAAACAATGGCATCTCATCCAAAAAATTTTTAGTTCAGTAAAATATTTTATTTCATTTTAAAATAAATTTAAAAAAATTATATATCCAAAATAAAGGTTTTGGTAATTTAACGATCAATATATTATATTTTTAACTCTACGTATAATATTTTTTAACATGAAGTCAGTAAAATAGTTAGTAACTAAAAATTTTCATTTGAATTTAATGTGGTATTATGCTTTATATTATCTGTTTTAATTTAATAGATGTTATATATTGGAAAAATTGTATACAATATAACACATAATAAATTATCATTCAAGATTTAAGAATATTATTGAATATGCTATAGTTTTAAATTTAAAAATAATTATGGTGTTGGTTTATTATTTATAGATTAATAAATATATAAACTTAAGATTTGATTCTAATCATTATTTTTTGTAAAGATATTAAATGGATGTAAAAGCAAAAATAGTTCAATTAAATTTCATTTGTTTTCCAACATTGGTTTTAAAAATTTATATATTAATTCATAATTGATCATTTATTTTACATTTTATATTTTTATATTGAATTCTGTGGTATAGTATATTAATTAAGAAAAACCATAAAAGTTCATAATGAATTAAACAGGTTTATATATTTAACAGATAACTTTAAGTTTAATTTTTTTTCTAAGTAAAAATACCTACTGCTTTAAGGAACCAAAATAATCCTCTAATTTCATGAAGTCCCAATTTTCTACATGATCTTCACTATTCTGTAAAATAAAAAAATTGAATATGATAATAATAAACTAGCATTATTTATTTTTATTTTTAGATCTCAGAATGATACACAAAAATCAATACGGGTAGATGACATTCTTAAAAAAGCCACTAAGAGGTCTAAAAGTCGAACAAATATTAATGAGGTAATTAAGCAATTGAAAAGTAAATTAATATATTAAATTTAATGACCAATGCTATTTATGCTATTAATGGTATCATGTAAAATTTTCATTTAAAGTGTAAATGTAATCCTATGAGTAAACAAATGCTACCCAAAACACTTATCTTTTTTAAAAATTATATACTACTTATATTTTTTGCTGTCACTCTTAGTTAAAATATTTTTTTCATTGTAACAAACAGTGTTTCACCAGGTTTTGATATATTTAATAACGTTTGATCCAGCAAATATTTTATGATACTTTTTTTTAAAATAATTTTTACTGTAAAAAATTAAAAATTGTTTTAAAAAAAAACCCAGCACAGGGGGTTTGCGGCACAGTGGAGACGTGGCATAGTTGGATCAAGTATAATGATATCTGACAGTGATTAAAATCACTATAAAAAAAAAACGCTTCGATGCAAATCTTTAGATAGTGTATAAATTTAAAAAATTGGTGGATTAGCTACATGATCTCCTATTTTCTTATTTATATCCTGATTAAGATAAAGTATGTCAAATGAAAAAGGGATTATTAAAAAATATTATTTCTCATGAAAAAATTATGTTGTTCCATACATTTTTCAAAAAGTTATAGAATAATAAAGTTAAAAATGTAAAATACAAAATCGAAAATTTTTACACAAAAATAGCATTTGGTAGCCATTTTCACCATGAAGATAAAATAAAGTCCGAAATTATTTTTTCCATGATAAAGTTTATTACATTAGCTTTAATTTAAGATTTATATAAAAGTGTCAGACTTTCCGGAACACTTTCAAAAGTTAAATTGAAAAAATTAAATATTTTGTGAAAAAGTTGTCATTTTAAATCCCCCCCTGTGGGCAGGTAAAGGGTCAGATAATGAAAGGTAATAATATCATACATCTATATAAAAAAAAATTATATTGATTTGGTTATTTTTAAAAAAGTTATGGCAATTTTAAGTAAAAAAAATTGAAAAAATTAGCGATTTTTAAATTTGTAATTTTTTTGGAGGTTTCCCCTATTTACGAGGAACGAGGGAATATTTTTCAATTTTTGAGGGTAATGTCTTCGACTAGAGACGATTTTTGATCTTTTGACGTATCATTGAAAGAAATCGGTTTGGTGAGAGCTGAAAAAAAGTGGTAACAGACACAAAAAAAAAACACATCATAGTAAAACCAATACCTTCTCAGCTTCGCATCGAACCTAAAAGTAATGTAAAAAAAAATTAGGACTGAAATCTCAACTTCCTCATCATCCAAAATATTAATGTGGCAATTGTTAATATATGTTTTATCTAATTATTTAATACTAACAAACTTTATAATACATATTGATATTAATTTATTTATAAATTTGATTAGTTATTTTAAATATATTTTTTTTATTGAAACCATAGATACCTTCAAAAATATCTAAAGTGGAACATCAAAGATTGCTGAAAAATGTGAATGTGGACGATTTTTTATCCATTGTTCATGGACAGTAAATTGAATTTCAATACATTATTAAGCAATTAACTACAAATGTTTTATAAATCTTGTTATTTGTATTCTTTAGTTAATAATTAATAGTTTCAACTTAATTTAGACTCGTATTCTAATTAATATTGAATATTTTTTATTTATGACATATATTTTAATGTATATAAATATTTATTTATTATTTTTTGTTATACCAAATTTATAATTTAAAATACATTTGATTAACTTTATGTGCTTTTTAATTAGTTAATAAATAATGAAAAAAAAGTTAGTACGAAAGTAAGAAATTTTTTCAATTTTTGAGGGTAATGTCTTCGACTAGATACGATTTGTGATCTTTTGACGTATCGTTGAAAGAAATCCGTTTGGTGAGAGCTGAGAAAAAGTTGTAACAGACACAAAAAAATAAAAAAAAACGCATCATAGTAAAATTAATACCTTCTCAGCTTCGCATCAAAGCTAAAAATTAAAAACAAATTATTTTAAATAAAATTGTATTTAATCTTATATATAAGTTTAATACAAATACATCAAGTGACTAAATAAATACTTAACAGTTAAAACATCTCTTTTTAATTAAACAATATTTATTTGGGAGGCAATTGATGACATTGTGCGTCAGTCTTTTAATACCGTCGTCTCGAAATTAACTCTCATATACCCTTAAAACTTGTTTCATTATTTCTATAAACTACTTTTTAAAAATAATAAGTTATAAAAGATAATTGTTGAGTTATAACAATATTTTGTATTAAAAGCTATGCAAATATACAGATGTTCAATAAATAAGGAAGCAGGTCAATTTTTACAAATAATAAAAACAATAGAAAGTCGTGCCTTATTCAATGAACACTATAAATACAGAATGATTTACTTATCATAAACCACTTAATGAATTAAAAAATAATAATTTTTTTATTTGTTTCTTTTAGTTCAATGTTTCTCTCAACTTTTCATGTTTATTCCTTATAGGGGTGTCAATTTTAATTTCTCAAATAGAATCATCCCTAATTAACTAGCTTAAGTATAGTATTATCTATATTTATTAATTATTATCTATTATATTAAGATAGTATTATCTTATTAAGAAAATGACAAATCGATAACAACTTTTAGATCAGTATTTCGAAAGTTATTGACATATTTGTAGGTGAGTAGGTGTCAAATGTTTAGTAATAAAATTAGCAGCACCCACTCTTCACCTCCAGTCATAACTTTAAATTATTCATAAATTCCAAAATACTGATCCAAAAGTAATCAACCAGAAATGTTCATAATTAGATCATTATCTATTAAATAGGCTAGTTAATTAGGATTATTTAAGAAATTAGTGTAAACACCCTTAAAAGTAAAAGAAATAAACATAAAAAAACTTTATGATTGAAAAATTGAGAGAAACATTGAACTAAAAGAAACAAATAAAAAAATTAATATTTTTTTTTAATTCGTTAAGTGGTTTATGATAAGTGTATCACTCCGTATATATTTATTATATTTGGTATTTCTAAAATGTATTTTTATACAAATAACTTGGGTGCTGGTATTATAAATATACCGAGTTTTTAATTACCAGTAGTTGTAAGTACCAACATATTAACTTTTTCAGTATATGCGTTAGTAGTTGAATTAATGTTAATAACCAAATATTGTTATTTATCAAAAATTGTTGACCATTTGTTGATAATTGACAAAAATATAATAGAATATGATTATCATTGAATTATATTAAATTAAAATTTTACAGTTACTAATATAAATATTAATGAAATAAAAACTTTAATAAAGTAATAATTATTGAAAAAACAATATTTGTCAATAAAGATAACTCAAATATTAACCACAAATTAACTGTCTATAATATGTAAATCATTTAAAGAATTTCAGTTTAATTAAAGAATATAATAAATTTTAATCATTAAATAAAAAGCTGCATTTAACAAATAACATATTTCAAATAATATTAGTCATTTAAATTTAATACAGTAAATCACTAAAATTTTAAAGCAAATAAAAATTTATAACTGTGAGTCGAATAATCACATTTTTTAAGTACAAAACGTAACGTGCATAAATAGAAATCCTATCAAACAAACATACAATGGATTTTTCCATTGTTAATTTTCAAATGGAAATTCAATAACTTTTTACAATAATAGGTTGTGTATTAGTCAACATAATTAAAATTATATTTTATTGCACAACAAATTATAATAAAAATATTTATATTTCTTAAGAAAATGCCACTCAATTATTTTTAGTCTTTAATAACTTCTGCAATTTTTTTAATGATTGCTTTATTTTATTTCATGAATTGATAAAAGTCTTTACAAAAATAAATTTTAGCAATTTTATAATAGTAAGATTTGATTGAAAATAAAAATAAAATATTTAAATAAAAATTGTATATTTTTAGCATTTGAAAACATTAATATACATTTAGAATATTTTTGAAGCTAACAGAAAATGAAATATATGTTATTTTACTAAAATATTTTGCTAGCTCTATTTTTAAAAAAATCATCTCCAAAAAACTTAAATGTAAGAAGTGGCAAACTCTTAAAACATTATTATCACAACATAAAAAAATTTGTACATTATTGCCGAATCTATATACTAATGTCAATATTCCTTAAAAATTACATTTAAGGAGACCCTTAATTTGTTTAATAGTAATAAATAGCTCATGATTAGTCTATTGTAGTTATAACATGAGGATTACGAGCTCAATAATTTTTTTAATANTTACAAATAAATTTTTTTTTTTATATATATGTATATTGCTAAAAATCGTCAATAATTAAAATTCATTGTTACTTTTAAAAATATAAACTATGAATACTTCAATAATTAATACTCAAATTTTTATCACTTAAAATTGTTTTTAATTATTAGTTAAACATTTGATCATATTAATAAATTGAAAAGTTAAATATCATTCCAAAAATTTTATGATATAGTCAAAAATATTTTTCTACATATGAATAGTAGCTGCTGTATAACGAGCTTCTCCTCTTCTCCAACCCCATTGACTAGGCCGATACTAATTGGAAATTATTATTTATTACTAAGTACTTATAGATTCATAACAGCATAAAAATTCCATTTTATACTCACTCTTATTAACAATTGACCAGATCTTGTATGTGGGTATAGATATGCATACAGTATCCAAACAGTAGACATTACTAAAAGTGATAGACATAGTGCAATAAAGAATAAACTTGTGTTAGATGTTGAATTATTAGCATCTAAAAAAAAAAAAAAATATTAAATATAATTTGCTAATTAAGTAAGCCAACAAAATTATTCACACATAAAATCAAAATATAATACAGACTTTCTGACTTAATTCAGAATGGAGGAAAAATTAATACTAATAATAATAATCATTAATTAAAATATATTTTAAATAAGCTATCTTATGAATTCATGTACTGAAATAGATTTAAAAAATATATAATTTTATGCGAACATTATTTTAATTAAAGCAAATAATTAATATCCCATAATAAGAATAATTATCTGATAATAATATGTTTTTCCTTAAGTTAGAAAGTTAGCGTAAATAGCTTCCTTAAAAAAAATTTAAGTTTATTAACTATAAAACAATAGCTTTATCAATTAAATAATTAGAGTAATAATCTTTGATCAAATTTTCTAATACAGTTTTTTACAATTCTATTTGAAATTTTGATATTTATGACTACTAATCACAGCTAGTTAATAATAATAATTAAATTCAACACACAAACTAAATTTATTTCTGTTTAGAAAATAAAAATGTATAACCAATGTAGTGTATAATAATTTCTATTTTTGTAATATTATAAATTATATTATTATATGAATATAACAATAAGCAAAACATGCAAATGAAATAACTCAAAAATTGCTTTGTGGTTGTAAATTCTTGAACTTACGTGGTTCTGCTATTTCAACAGATTTTTCACCATATATGTTACTTAATGGAGTAGATGTAGCAATACCATTTGTACACATGTCTTCATTAGAAAGTTTTAGTTTTTCACAGTCTTTTTTATGCCACTCTTGACGATACCGATCTAATCCTGATGAACAACGATTGTCACACCAAAAACACTGAAAAGGATAGAATAAAAAAAAAGTTACATCTGAAATTATGAGTATGGAAATATATATTTATAGTGTTTCAAAAGTTTTTGACAAATATAATAACTTTTCATCAAGTAAATATTTTGTGTTACTTTTATAATTTTTACAGTTTTGAACTATGTTAAAACCATATTTTTATTAGTTGTCTCTAATAATAAAAAATAGATTAATAGTAATTTTTTTAAAATTAAAATTAAAACAAAAACAAAAATAGTTATTTTATAGTTCTTTTTTAATGTACTGATGGCTCGATAACAACTTTAGGATAAGTTATCATTGGATTACAAGTATTTTAATATATAGATTGAGTGGTATGTAGTACGGATCAGTACACTTTATCTGTACTAAATGCCTACTTAACGTATTAAAATACTTGTAATTTAATAAGCATTTAAAAAAAAATGTTATCAGATCATTAATATTTTAGTGATAAAAATGACTATTATGTAAAAATAAAGATATAAAAAATTTTATTTAAAAAAAGAAAAAAAATGAATACAGTAAGGTAGCAGTATAGTAGTGACGCAGCAAAGTTGGAACCAGTAAAAATAATATCAAAAACAAAAACATTTAAAGGATAATTTTTTTTTTTTTTAGTTATATATGAAAAATATTTGTTTTAAATGCATGGATGGTGTCTTTTAACCCCCCTGTACTCAGGGTTTTCATTCAATTTTCATAAAAAACATACCATTCTTTTGGTATCCTAATTATTTTTAATATATTATATTAAAATGTCATTAGGATTGATGTTTAAAAAAGTTCTGACAGTTTTAAAATCCAAAATTTTTTTTGAAAATGTCATTTTTTTTATAGTAGTGTAATTTGAGGTATATATGAATTTTTTTTAATTCAGAGACTTTTTTTCTAGTTTTTGGTACTAATTAGATTCAACTAGATTAATAAAATTGGGTTCTTTTAACATATCAATAAAAAAAATTGAACCTGTCAGCTGAGAATTTGTATGAACATAAAAACAAGACATTGTGGTAAAACTTCCTAAACTTCACATTGAAGCTAAAATATGCTTTTAATATACCTTATGAATGCATAAATAATTTTTAAAAAAATTACAATAAAATAATAATTGTATCAAAAGTTATAAGGATTGTCAGTTAGATTTTTTCTACTTTGTATAAATATATTATTTATCTTATTATTTCAAAAATGATGATCAATATAATTTAGAATTGAATATGTTTTAATGTATATTACTTGGAAATTAGTATCAGTTTTTACACAGCTTGAACAGTTTTTCTTTTCCATACAAGTAGGTAATGCTTTCAAAAATATAACAGTCCCATTTGTTACATCACTGAATGTTACTCGATGATATTCATAGATAGTTTTTCGCCTTAAGACTAAATAAGTTCCAAAATAATTATCTAATATGTTTAGTTTTTTATTTTATATAATAAAATCAGAATTTTACTTACAAAATACAGTTTTATCCAAAACATATGCATCAGATAAACCAATTTTTACTGGATGACTGGTTGAATCTATATCTTTTAGAGTTAAAGGTAAGAATTTATAAGCAAAAACAATATCTCCATTTGAATAGAGTGAAGTCTGGAAAGTAAATTCTCCCGCTTTAGGTTTATCTTGTAAAGTTACGTTATGCCAGGTAACGGTGAAAGTAGTTCCATTATCCATATAATAAATATTTGAATCATTTGAAGTACTTAGATCAAAATTAGCCATCAATGGTGCTATATATTGGGTAGCAGCTAACCATGAATGAATGTATTCTCCTAAATATAAAAACCCTCCAGTAGCAATGGTAGTAACATTTATGAGATGTCCATAAAATGGGAATTGAAATTTAAGGTTAACAGTCTAAAAAATAGAAATGCACATAAAATAAAATATATTTAACACACTTTAAACATATATATAATTCATTACAGCTGCTCTACGATGAGATTCTGATAACATTCCATGTAAATTTGCACCTGGATGATCTTTTAATTCTATCCAATAATGTTTAAACTCATTACTCTCATTTATTGTAGTACTATTATAATAAACATGGGAATCCTATTAGTTAAAAAAACAATATTATTAAATAAATAAACAAGTATCATATAATTTATAATTATAACATAACAATGAGAAAACAAGCTAATATTTAAAAATAATTACTTGAGTATATAAGATAAATGTTATCTTTTTAAATTAATAGGATTCATTTTCTTTGATTTCACTGTCAAAGTATATCATTAATTTATAAACTGTTAACATATGTACATGTATTTATGAATACAATTTTTTTTTTATTAAGTCTAATTTAAAGATGTCAATTGTACATTTAATATTAATTGTCTACATATAAGAATTCTATGAATATGCATACTCTTGTCTTTTTTTTGCTGTACCATTGATTTATCTAACAGTTATTCTAAGTTAATATTTTTTAAGTCAAGAATTATTATGAAGATATTATAATTTAAAAAGGGTAGACAAAAATAAATATTAAAAAATAATCAATATTAATACATACAAGCCCAGATTAAGGGAGAATATGATTATGTCTCCAAAGCCTCAGATTTTTTTTGTTAAATTATAAAATTTAAAAGTTGTACCACTAGGTAATTATTTTCATTCAAATGTTCATGTCATATTTACTTTTAACACATACGCTAATTAATTTAAACAGATTATATAAAATAAAATATATCTTATATATCGCCTATAATATAGGAGTCTCATTTAAAAATTAGACTGTGGACTTATGTCTTAATCCTGGCTTGTATATATACATATACATGGACTCACTGGCAATAAACCTATACTTGTATAAAATTTTGATAACTACATTATATAAAAATAATAACATAAATTTAATTGAATAAGGTTAATAAGTACAGATTTGTAGGAATAAAGAAAATTTTAATAATGAAAATAAAATTGCCTAAATTAATAACAAAAACTATAATTATTAAACCATATATAGTTTAACTCACATTTTTGGTTTTTGTTATATTGTTCATCGCAAGTGTTTCATTTGATATTGGTAATGGAAGTTCTACAGACATAGGTTGAGATGTTGCTGAAATAAATTTTATCTATCATTTTACATAACATATTGTAAATTATTATTATTATGTATTGTATTGTAAATTTAAATAAAATTAAATTTGGGTTCGCAAAAATTTAATATAACTACTATGTTGAACAGTTATAACATGTCATATAACGTGTTAATAATTTTTACTTATTAATGAAACAAAATGTGCAAAGTTTGAGATGATAAAAGTTATATGACTCAAGAAAAAAATATAGTATATTGCTGGAGAGAGTGATGGTAACTTATATCACTGAGCTGAGTTATTGTTCAGCAAAAGGAGCTGCTATTGAATAATCTCAAATAAATAACACTGAATGTCTGACACTACTGCAACTAAATTGTTTTCTTTAATGTATGTTAAATAGATTGTTTACAGGTTAGTTGGCATAAGTAACATTTTACCAAAAACATTCAAACTTGTTTGATTTAAAGTAACAATAAGTTACTTTCATGTTTTTAAGGAAAAAAAATTAAAAAAGCAATGCAAATTAAAATAATTTATTATTTTACAATGTACTGCATAATTTTAAAGTTGTGTATAATATAACGAATGTATTTATTTTTTAAATACAATTGTTTTTTTACAAATTATACCGCATATTATACTACTACCGATGCTCAAACTATTTATAATAATAATTACTTACTAGATGTACCAGTTCAAAACTTAAAAATATTTCTGAAAATTTTAATGACAACATAATATTTTTAACCACTAACTTAATATATAGGTATTTAATAAGTAAGGATACAGGTAAATTGTTATAAATAATAGAAACTTTTCCACTGTTCCATAATATTTATTTAATATTCCTTTTCAGATTTTTAAAAAATTGTATTTTCGAAAAATAAAAAAATTATTACCTGAGTAAGTTATGTTATTCATGTTGCCATTAACTGGAGGTTCATGAGAAACTTTATTTACCTCAGCATTTGAAGAGTCTTTTGTCACAATAGAGGTTATTGATAAATCTAATTATAAATATATCAAAATATAATAAATATTAAGACTAGCAAAAATAAAAATAATAATATTAATATTGAATATTTACTTAATCTAGAATGTAATTTTAGTTTTAAAAAATAATTTAATGTTACTAATATTATGCATTACTTGTTTTTTTTTCAGCTGGTGAACTATTATTTTTAGGCATAATAGTTTGGATAGATCCATTTTTTAGGCGATTAGTATCGGGTTCAACAAGATGTCTTTTAATACGATCAAATGGGAGTTCAAAACTGACATCATACTGATCATTATGAGGTGTGACCTCATAAAAATACTCTACAAGTCAAAAATCAAAATATTTCAAAAGTATATACATAAATTAATAAATTTTAATTTTAAAACAGACAAATATCTTATAAGGATTTGGAGAAACAAAAATAAAAAAAGAGAAATGTCGACTTTTCGAAAACTAAATAAATTATGACCTGAGTAAATTATATTATTCATGATGTTATTAACTGCAGGTTCATGAGAAAATTTATTTACCTCAGCATTGGCAGAGTCTTTTGTCACAATAGAGGTTATATTTCAAAAGTATATAAATAAATTAGGATTTGGAGAAAAAAAAAAAAAAAGAGAAATGCCAACAAAAGTATAATGAACTTAAACTATATAAAATTAAACTATTGTTCAACTAAAAATTAAAAATAATTTATAAATCTTCTAAAAAAAATATTTCCATTAAAGGTGTGAACAAATATTTTTATACAAATATTACTTACAATGATTGATATTGGAAAATGTAGTGGATAAATATATAATTAAACAATTAATATTTAATGATTTAGATTGGATTTTTTTTTTTTATCAATTACAAGTGAAATATTTAAAATAGGCACATCTACTTCAAATCAAAATATTCAAATTAAACTTATAAATGAATTAGACTAATTCTAATAACTAAAAAAAAATCCAGATCAAATCATTTAAGTATGATTGGACTTAAAAATATAGTGCAATACATATTATACATTTTAATAATATATTGAGCATTTTTTATTTATTTTTGTAACATTGTAAGGTCAAAAAACATTTTTAAACAACTAAATATTTTTGATTTATGTGTTATTTAACTATTCAAATATTTAAAACTACTTAAATTATTATTTATACAAGATTTTTCCAATGTTTTAGTGTTTCATAAAAAAAAAAATCACTGGGGTATTTACTGTATAACAGCAATAATATTGTATTTGTTATATAAAAATTAGTATACAATAAATACTAATTGATCAATGTAAAAAATGATCAGTTTTACATCCATCTATTTTCTGAACTCACCATGGAACAGAGGGTGGTAACCCTCTTTTACATGTTAGGGAGTCTAAGATGATCCTTGGCTAGGCCAATGATGAACAGAACGGGTATTATTATCAACTAGCACCAGAAACCAGACACCACCAATAAAAAAATCACAAGAAACACCTTATTTGCACCCTTGGGAACGTACCTGGGATCTCTCTCATGCACCGAAACATACGTTTCTACCTATTAGACCAGACTGATCCTTTACTAATCAATCAATGTACTACCATTATCAATGCCAAAACACATACTGATATGTGTTAACTTTAAAGTTTGTATATAATGCTGCTAAGAGGCCGCACAAACCTCATTAATATTCATCCTAAAGTAATTTTCATTAAAAATTTATTAAGTGCTCAAATATATTTATAACTTAGCTAAAAATTTTGAAATTTAAGTCTTTATTCTTTCTTTTTTTGCTTTTCATGTAATTTTTCAAAATAATATGCATATTACTAATGATATTTTTATTAGAATTCAATCAATAAAAATTGCAACCTACAGTACTAGTTCTAATGATTCATTCAAGACCTTTTGAGACTCTTGTAAAATGGAGGCCACCAGAAAAAATGGATTCTGGACTATTCTAATAACTTTCAACCTGTTACACTAAAAAGTACAGTAACTTAAAAATATCTGAACAGTTACTTTAATCAGAATTCTATATAAATTATCAAAATAATGACATGCACAACATATAAGCGAACTTTTAAACTATTTTTGACTAACAATTTATTTTTGCATATTCATAATCAGTGTAAAAAACAAATAAATTTATAAAAATTTGATGAGATTAAGCTGCATTTATGACAAATTTGTATAAAGTTTATTTCATACAATTTTTATTAGATTTTTTATTTTGGTAAAATTTTAATAATGAACAACCATAATTATATTAGATAATTAATGAAGTATTTAATAACTATTGAAGCAATTATTAAAATAACTTTTTTTAATACAAATCAACAAATTACTTAAATTGGTCAAAAATTCATCAAATGATTTTAAAAAATTAGCGATTTAATCAATAAGTCAATATGAACCATCAATAATACATATTTCAGACAAAGGAATAAAATAATTGACAATTACTTAGAGCACATATAATAAAATTATTCAATATGCCCCACTTTATGTTGTTGACCTCGAAATTGGACATAAATGTTAAATAAAATTTTTTTGTTTATGAATGTAAAGTATTAAAATATGAACTCTATGCAATTATACACATTATTTTGATATTTATACAGTAATTTATATGGCAATTTTTAATAACACTCAGTTATGATAAAATGTATACATACATACTATTTGATTATAAATTAATTACCTTCATTTGGTACACAATGAGCACCAAAAATAGACCAAATAATAATAACTAAGTACGCATAAAAAATTCTAAAACTCATTTTTAATAGATATATCACACTCCTTAACCCTAATCTACGCACAATTTTCGATTACAATTCACCTATTTATACATCATAAAACGTTTGGGCGATAACATAAAGAACGCGAACAGACGTATTGCTCATCTAGTACTACAACTAATGAGTAATAATCACTAAAGTTGGAAGCATTGAACAAAACAACTGTTGGTTTTTATCGACTATCTAGTTATTTACAAATAATTATTATATTGATGGCAATCACAAAATATATGAAATTCGTATAGTTATAGATAACGTTCTGTCGCTAGAGAGCGCACTTGCAAAATATTCCTCACTGAGTTAGAATCGCGGGAAAACAACATTTAAATAAATAATACCGTAATTCTAAACAATGCATTTTATTTAATTTTTTCTAGGACTTCAGTTGCGCATTGCCACCCCAAAGTTAAAAATAAAGAAAAAATAAAAAACATTAATAATTAAATAAAATTATATTTTTTACCGTAAATCGAATAATTTGATTATTGAAAACTATGTTTAATAAATATAATGATACGATAAAGGAAATAAAACATTTTTTTCAAATAAAACCTTCTCGTGAAAAATTTTGGATATACCATCGATTATACAAGATGATTCATTTAGGTTAATTTTCCCTGTGGATAGGGGCTAAAAATACTTCCACGACCACTCTGTCAGTCGTAAGAGACGACTAATGTCAGGTCGACAGCCGGCGTAAAAATTATTGTCAAAAGTTATAGCATTTTTAAGTTGAAAATTTAAAATCGAAAATCGAAAATTTTAACACAAAAATAGTGTTTTTTTAACTACGGCAGCCGTTTAAATGTAGAAAAAAAAGTGTCGGGACAAATTTTTTTTTTTCATTTTGTAGTACATAAAATAAGCTTTAATTTGATATATGTTTAAAGGACGCAGTCTTTCCGGAACATTTTCAAAAATTAAGTTGAAAAAATTAATTTTTGTAAAAAAGTTGCCATTTTAAATCCCCCCCAATGAGCAGGTTAAGTGATAGATTTTCAAAAAAATGATATCAAATGAAAGGTAAATATCTAAGGTTTTAGTATAAAAAAAAATTATGTTGATTTGTTGATTTTTCAAAAAGTTATGGAAGTTTTAAGAAAAAAAAGTGAAAAAATTTCGAAAATTAGCGATTTTTAAATTTGTAATTTTTTTGGATATTTCCCCCATTTGCGGGGAACGAGGGAATTTTTTTCAATTTTTAAGGGTAATGTCTTCAACTAGATACGATTTGTGATCTTTTGACGTATTTTTGAAAGAAATCGGTCCAGTGAGAGCTGAGAAAAAGTGGCAACAGACATAAAAAAAAAAAAAAACACATCATAGTAAAATTAATACCTTCTCCGCTTCGCATCGAAGCTAAAAAACATTCATTAATTTGAACAATGCAGGTTTATATTCAAGGACGTCATTATGAGGGAGGATTACCTCATATAATAATAATTACCCTGTGAAAATCCAATTTTTTGAGGGGGGAAATAAACAATTTTATTTGTACATTCCCTCAAGACTGAGTACTTAGTACTTTTTATCAGCTCCCACTTGACTGATATTGCTTAACGGCAAGTCAAGAGATTACAAAATGTTTCTAGTTGAAACTATAAATTTACTTGATCAACTAATTTTAAACAATTAATAAAACGTATAAGAACTGCATATACATAATATGAACCCATAAATTTGTCCATTTTTTTTTAATTATATAAATACTTCCCGCAAAAAGTTAAAATAAAAAATTTCAAATAAAATGTTCGACAAAATTTAATTTTTATGATTTATATTATTTGAAGTAATTCCATAATGAGTTCCTATGTAAAACTATACATATATACTAATAATAATATTTTCCCCTATTAATATTCAATTTTAAAGTATACAGTACTTATATAAATTGAAATGTATTAAGCTAATACACATGATCATATTAATTTTATTAACATATATATATATATATTCATGTACTTTTTTTAATACTTACCTGTATTCCAAATTGACTCGTCCAAATATATGGAATTAATAAAATTTTCTGTGTCAAAAGACATGATAGATAGAAGACACAAAAGGAAATGAATCCAAAATAATACGTGAAAATAGATTGAATGAACCCTCACGTGCCCGGAAATCGCGGCATTTAATCGCCCCGTGTGAATGATAACATGCGATTTGTATTGTTTAATTTTAGCGATCGGTCGCGTCCGATCGCCCAAAATCAAACCTGCACGATCGGTCGCGTCAGAACGCATGTTTTTACTCATAGTGTGCATGGTTCAATTTAAATGCGGGTGTTTTATATAAATCGATTAATCGCCGCGTTTTTAAAAACGCGTACGCGCGTGATTAAACGCCTAGTGTGTAAGCCTCTTAAGTCCTGGAGAGTGAAATCTTGAGTAGAGTGTCGTAGATTAACTTATTAACTGGTTATTTTGTATTTTAAATGAGAGAACCCAGTTTTGGTGATCTTGTACATTCATAATATGTGACATACATGTACAAATGATAACATAATATTATATGTTAACATTATATGTAATAATTAATATAACAGTACCAAAATTTGAAAAACGAGTTTTTAAGAGAAAATTTAAAAAAACCTTGAATTTTTTAATAATTTTGATAGTTTTACAAAATGTTTTGGATAATTAAATATTTATAAAAATAAACATGTATCCATTAAGTAAAATTAAAACTCTATTAAAAATATTAAACATTTATTATATGTATCCATTGTCTGATAAAAAAACTAGGCACAGTCATAATATTAATCATGCACATATATATCATTGTAAATAATATATTGTAGAAACAACACAAGAGCAGACTTTTTAAACGAGTCCTATTAAGTTAAAATAGGAAAATTTGAAATGTTTTGTATAAACTAGACATATCTCATCGAATATTTTCATTTAGTCATCTCAGTTTCAATGGAACGCGCTAATGCTAGCTTAAAAAGTGGTTTTTATTGTTTTCTATTAGTTAAATATATTGGACTTATTGACCTTCTAAAAAAAAGGTGTATCTCAATTTACAAATTAAAAAATTTTGTTCATTAAATAAATTTTAAATCAATTGTAATTGATTTTTTTTTTTTTTGGCTAATAATAATTAAGCTTTGTCCTTATTTCTAAGAGGTATGGTTAAGTTTATTCTCAAATATGTAATTCAAACATTCAAAGATCGTATTTATCTTCCTCTGTCCCTAAAAATATAAAAAATAAAATCAAAATCATTATGAGTAAATTTTGTTGAAAAATATAAGCAAACTAAATAGTTGGATCAATTTTTAATAAAAGTTCACTGCTGGCTATTATATTCGAACATGACACTCGAATCTTCTAATCTGCTTAAATAAAAATCTGAACAAATGTCATGAGTTGTACATTTTTTACTTTACTCATAAAGCAGTATTAGCTAAATCATGTAATAAAATGACATTTTTCTTTAAATCACAATGGGCTAATTAATGTATAGTATTTTAATTTAAGATAATGATTTTTGTAAAAATGCTGTATAAATAGAAAAATAATAAATATGTTTTTTTTTTTATATTTTAAAACAGCTTAAAATTTCTGTTAGTGGTTCAGGCTGATATTTCGAAATTTTGGTAGTCATACTAGAATTTTAGTTAATTGAAGGATTTTTGGTATAAAATTTTGTGAAATTATTGAAGTTATGTCCTGAGATGGCATAATATTGAAATTTCGATTCTAACAGTACAAGATTTATTCTCTGTTATTTTACCAATAGCATTGATTGAAAAGTATCTGTACATTTCCACATTTAAAAATCATATAGGTTTCTGTTGAGTATACATATAGCCATGCGTTTTGAGATTCTAATATATGATATACAGGAATGAATAAACTTCGATATTTGAGTTTACAATTAAGAAGAGAATAATAAGGTTTGAAATAAAGATTTACATCACAATTGTTAGCCTTGTAATAGCGATATAAAGCTTATATGTTTGTGGAGAGTTTGGTGTTTGCCTCTCTATTAATATTTTGAAAGAACGTTACCATTTAGAGCAAGTTTCCCTTTGCTAGCCTTCCATGAATTAGAACTTTATCACCTATGTGTAGAGTGGAAAGGAACTGAGATTGGTCGTAGAAAGTTTGTCTTCGATGAGTATATAATTGCCCATATTTTCCAAAAATTCTAATACAATTCTCAAAATTAGTGTTTTGTTATATTTTTTATAGTGCACTGTGTATTGATACTCTTCTAATTTTAATCTTCATTGAGTCAACCTGATACAGTGATGGGTGGGTGGGCTAACTAGCCCAGTAAGCGACCATTTAGTAGGTGAAGGTAACACCGAAAACAAATCTCCTGGTGTCTATTAAACACGAGGAAAGTCACCCGTAAAACCAGCGATAGTAAGTTGTAAAGAGAGAAGCAAAGTTACGGTTCCAGGAGCTTCGGAGACTCTAGAAACGGCTGGGGAGGATTCTGCTGAAGGCCTGAACCAGTCGTTATCTAGCGACTTCAGCATTTTTACTATTAGGATTTGGATTCTAGGCAGGATCCAGGGGTTCACATTAAAATTACTGTCGGAAGATGTGCGAAACAGGCATCCTCCATTGGCCTAAGGGCTACCGAGGTTACCGCCATATATCTCGACAACAATCGGGTTTTAGTAGAGGAATAGTCGGGCATCAGTGCTCGTTTTTGTAACGAGATCCCTATGTCTTGCTCTGAGTTTGAATATTGGGAATATATCCAGTTGCGCTTGCAGGGAGATGATGTGGGCCTCACGAAGGTTTCCGGTCTCTCGGAAACTTCTGAATCTCTGTAACATCCATCTTCAAGCTAATTAGGTTGGACTTTGACGATAGAAGCGAGTTTTATTCCGAGAGAACAAAGGCTTATGATCCCTTCGAAGGGATAGAGATAAAAGGAGAAAGGACGAACCTTGTGTCTCAATGCGTCCGCATTGAAGGATGTAGAAAAAATGCGACCAACCGTGTCACGAATGTAGCGAAACTCGTTATCGGGGAGCTCTTATTTCCCACCCAAAAAGCTATGGGTATGGTACTTAAAGACACAATCGAGGCTTATGAGTATGGACTATGGCTAGTGAAAAGCAAAAATATTGCTAACATGTACATGTTATTTTTATTTAAAATATCTTCGCATACTAGTAAAATTCAAATTGGGGTCCTAAATCTAAGGACCTCAAGACTTTTGCTCTGCTAGTCTCTTAA